TGATCCTTTCCTCCCGGACAAATACGAGGGTCGTCTTCTCGGGGCTCGGCAAGGACGTGTCGGAGGGTTTGTACAGGCCGGTAGACGGGCATCAAACAATTATATGATTCACACCGATTTCCTCAATTCCCCCCACGCACAGCGGCCAGCAATTTCGTGCTAATCCTAATGGAAATGCATCGGCTTGTTATACATCGTGCAGAACGGCCCGATTTTAACGAGGCGATCATTGGCGACCGGTCAATTTCGCCGTCAATTCGAAAAACATCGCGATTGTTTGATCCATGATTTTCGGATCTTAACACATGACATTTTCGGACGACTACTGAGATTTTGTGATCGTAATCAATTACCTGCGTAGAGAAAAATTTCCACCCCACATTTTATTGTTACATATTCGGATTCGTTCGAGCTTTAACCGGAGTCTGACATTTGTTTTGCGAGCTCTCTCCCTTCCTCTCATGCCATAGTAGACGTAATACCCTCCGGCTACGGGGACGTCATGCGCTGGTGCGCATGTTGTCCCGCCGACTGGTCTAAAACCGTGCGGTACACTCCGGAATTCGGTATCGATTGTAAAAAAATTCGCATATCCAAAAATTCGGTATCGCCGCACCGAGTCTGAAAGCCCGAGAGAGTCGCTCGAAACCCCGACGCAATATTTTTCTATCGTAATATCGAACATACTCCCGCTTGCAAGAGAAAGGAAACATACTCTCACAAAAGTGCGTAGGCGACCGTGCTCACTGTGCGATACGTATACGCACTTTTACACACTCACACAGCCATGAACGCACTCGAGACGCCGGAGGGTAGTTTCCCACGGGAGGAGCGATTCTGAAAATTCTTCGAAGACACGTCGATATAAAGGCTGCACTCGAGGACGAGGAAGAAGAGGAGGAGACGACCGTCGCCCCTGTCGCCACTCCATCTCGACGTTGTCGTCGGCGCGGCGGAGAGCAGCCTGGGAAAATTCTATTTCGCCGAGGCGAATAGCAAAGCGAAGATGACAAAGTCAAGGAGGAAAATTGCGAAATTGCTTCCTGCGAGCGACGCGGCGCTCGACCGGTCGGCTCTCCCGCACGACGCTATGTACTATGCGCTACCGGGACGCTTCGTCGTCGATCGGTCCGACGCGACCGCCGACTTCTCGACAGTTTTCCCGAAGAGGACGAAGAAGGAAGGTGAGAAAGGCCCGAAGAAGGTCTCGGCAGCTAAGTAGATTCCGCGATGCCTTTGTGGGCGTCCTCCCTGAACGTCGGCACGATCTCTCGGACCTGGATATATCCTTGTCACCAGGAAATGCACCGCCAATCGAATTCCCGCTCGACCTGGTGGTGTGGAATGGAGCAAAGAGAGAGAGAGAGAGAGAGAGAGGAGGAGGAAGGAAGCTTAGAGATTTATCGTCGGACTTTCCGGTCTTCGTTGTGGAATTGGCTTACGAAAAGGTTGCTTCCTAACAGGAATATCGCCCGCAGGAATTGGATTAACGACGTTATTGCGGTGCCATACGCGTGAAACATCAAATTTATGATTGAAAAACGCACACACACACATCAAATAGTATCTAAATGTGAATGAGCGGTCGCGGAATGATTAATTAGGTTTGTCTAAATAAAATATTGCATAATTATAATAAAATATTGCATAATATAATAATAGTGGGCTCAGGACCATGTCGAATCAGATCGATGATTTCGTCGTATATTTATATGTTTATATATAATAAACGATATAACATGTAAATAAGCTTCAACTCTTCATTAAGGTCATCCACTTCAATCCTATCTATCTTTTGCGCACGCAAATTGTCGATTAGCTCAAGATATCTCTATCTTTTGCTTTTGTCAAGATATTTCTCAAATTCTCACGTCCTACTTTTTCTCTCCGTCTCTCTCTTGATAAACCAGCCGTGTTTGATCAGCCGTGGAAAGACGGGAAAATTTATACGGCACGATGGAACCTATTAGCGAACAGTTGCGGAGGATTTCGAGAAATCAGCCTCTTAGGTTTAAAGCTCTCTCCCTCTCTCTCCCTCTCTCTCTCTCTCTCTCTCTCTCTCTCTCTCTCTCTCTCTCTCTCTTCCCATGGGGTCGCGACACGTCTCTTTATTCGACCGGCACAAAGGTTCCGCGAAGATTACAGGACCACCAATCCCCTCCTGTATGGATTCTACGAAGGGGCATTATGGCGACACATAGTAGAGTAATATGGAAGGGCATCTCATCCCTGGACAATACTACGCCTGAAGATCCATATAGCGTCTTCTCTCTTGCTCTGTCTTTCTCGCTCTCTGGATCGTTACATAATCGTGACGATCAGCGCAATGTGATTTCGATGGTGTGAAATCTTCGCGTGGAAGAACGTAATTTAAAATGAAAGACACACAGCTTCAAAGTTTCAATAAAATCCCAGGACGATATTTCCTCTCTTCAAAGATTTATCGAAGGTTTGCAATAAATAAGGTTGAAATAAATGAGATGTATAGGTTCCATTTTTGAGAGACGTGTATTTAATAAGTCAAGAAGTTATGTACATATATATAAACAGCGAATATATCCGCAAATTAATCCATAATGCAAAATAATCGGACGTAACGCATGCAAGTCGAGGTCCATCGCAAGATACAATTGATACAGTGATATCATACATTTATACATACGTACGCGTGTGTGTATGTGTATATGGGTGTATTTTATATACAATTTCCAGAGATATCTCTCCTTCTCTTCCCCCTCAGTACATGTAATGTCTTAAAAATCTGTATGACCTCATCATTTCTGGATAATTATACATGACGAAGTACATACAACGTGTACTTAATATTACAATCTTAAGACTACGAATTATGGGTAGAGATCGATGTAACACGTACTACATTTCATATAATTCTACAACTAGATTTACGCACTGCGAGTGAATGATTACTACGTATCCGTTGAACGCTAGTGAAAAGTTTATTGATAAAAAATCAAGGAAATACGACGAGGTCCATGTGCGATCGGCTCGTTATTGGCATCGCCGACTATATCAATATTTTCTTCTCATCTCGTCGTTTTATAACGTATCTCTGTATTGCAACTGAAGCACTGAACGATAAAAACCAACATTAAGTTCAAACTTAAAATTGCATTTTTCCCGAATTGCAAATTGATTCGCATAACTCTCTTTTTATCTCCTCCCTTCTCTATTTATCCGTAGTGACTAGAGACACTAGACTAGAAACGACTTTTAATTATTAATTGCTAAGCAAGCATGCTGCTCCGAACTAACGTCGATCATAACGAACTAGAGATTACATTCGGACTAGATTATGTACATATCAATTAAATGCACCTGCCGTAAACGTCTAATGCCATGGCACCTAAAAGCTACGCTTTGGACTAGAAAGTACTCTTCCGCCCCCGAATTAATGGGGCGATCGATAATGGAAAACTCAAAAGATAACGTAAACGAAAAATTGCACTCAAGCGACAAACGACATTGTTATTGTTAAAAGCATAATATAAGAATGATCTATGCGACTAGAAATCAAAGTACATTTCGATTGACTAGACATCGGCCACGTCTCCATTCGGAGATTTGCTTTTACGATTAGAGTCGCGATGTTTGATTGCGATGTTCGTTATTTTCTCGCAGATCTTCATCTCTTCAAGGTAAATTTCAACAGATTATATCGTGGTGACTAGACGATTCTTATTACACATATCTCTAACTTACTCTAATTCTGATAACGTCCTGACTAGATTTTACGACTGAAAATTAATTTCTTAACCATGACTAGAGAGATCTATTCTATCAGACTTTCGTTATTTCTTCCCTCCCGTGGAGAACTCTCGAAGAGTGTTCAATGCTGGCTTTCGAAATTCGAGTCTGCTCCCGATACTAGCGTCGCAGAATTCGACACGAATTGCATCTCAAGGACCTTAACTATCTTTGATTTCAGCTGTATGAGATTGATCGCTGGGATCGGTGCTCTAAAGACTAATCGTCGATTTCGTCAACGTCGGTTAACTCTGACATTAAAGTAGCGCGCGTATATTATTAATATTCATACGTTCGATTAAACTTTTCGTTATCTCGCGAATAAATTTCTCTCACACGAGCGAATAATTTTACGATGTTTACGACTGGACTTACGTTGGGACTCGCATTTCGAACTAGCAATTTAGATAACGTTGTCCTGAAAGGAGACGTGGAATCAATTAAGCTGAGGCCGCGTAGTTGAGCGACGTTGGCGAAAGCGAGCCTAAAGGGTGTTGTAATAACTAATAGACGCCTAACCGCGGCCTGGTCAGCGCGGACGACTTAACGCTAGACAAATTGAGATCGTCGTGTTAGATAGTCTCTATCGCTTAGCTTAACCGCGTCTCGCTATATACATACATCGCGCGTGTTATATACAGATTTACATCGCGCGAGGTTATCACCTCGCTGCCTGCACCTCGCTCACTTTCTCATTCGTGATTACATTGTCCAGAATTTTACAAAAATTTACAGGAACACCCCTCGTACGTACGAACACCGAAAATTCCGACGCTTTTGGCGCAACCATCGCGGTACTCCCGATTCTACAGCTACTACGATCGCTATACGTTAGCCGTTTAATTAACCAGCAAAGCCCGACATGATGTACAATACAATTTGTCTGACACAATCCGCGTAATTTTATCGTGTTTCACGCTAACCACTCACGAGTCACGATCGTCAAATCGTGTAATTTGTGCTGTGCGTTAATGTTTCGATGCAAATCGTATATTACTATTAATTAAAGGCGCACGCGTTTTCTCACATGATTTTACGACCGATTTCTCACTGTCCATTACTATAATCATCTGATCGTGAGAATGTGTTAAACATTCGCGTCGGTCGTATGTACTTATAAATCGACATTTCTCTCTCTCTCTCTCTCTCTCTCTCTCTCTCTCTCTCTCTCTCTCTCTCTCTCTCTCTCTCTCTCTCTCTCTCTCTCTCTCTCTCTTCCTCCTCCCTCTCTCTCTCTCTCTCTCTCTCTCTCTCTCAAATAATGACTTAATTGTGAATATATTATCAATTGTGAATGCGTCGTGAATCATTTATGATTCTTAGTAACACACATATACAAGAATGAAGAATTTCTATTTTACTGGCGATTATCTCTCTTAGTTTTTTCGTCTACAATACGATTGACATATACATACAAATTTATATTTGATTCGTACAACAGCGAGATGTACGACCCTGTTTCTTCCCGGTTCAGATCCTGAGTGGAGAAATCTGTAGCAGCGATAATCTCTTACGTCATCTAGTATATACAATTTTAAATCTATCAATTTCCCGGCCCGAATCGATCTTTGCTGCTGCAATTGCCGAACGAAAACGCGTCGCTGGCACATCCCTGCTATGACAAGACAACAAATAGTGTGTATCCGAGCGTTCTCCACCTCTCATTATCAAAGTTTTGTTGTTAGGACTTGAAAATCCCCGTCTCTCTCGGCGGCTATATATTTGTATCGATGTAAATTAATAAAAAACGTTCAACGAAGCGGAGTATATTTCCCGAATGAATGACGGCTGATGATCGGTTGACATTAGCACCGTTTCGGCCGTTGCGACTAGAGGAAATTTTGTGCAACTGCAAAAGGAAAACCTAGGAATTGAGAAAAGCGTCTCCCCTGTCCCCCCTCGCAATTATTTCCCTCCTCTGCGTATCTATCTTTTTTTTTTATTTTCTTCTTTTCCAGTCTCCCTTGCTAATACTACGAACGAGCACGCGGATGATTTTGATTGCGCACTTACACTTACGAAAGCCTCGACGACGTCGTCAGTGGCGGCGGAGCGGATTGATAAGAAGCCAGCCAGCCCTCACAGGTCAAGGCCGAATCTCCAGTAGAGGCCGGGTCGTCTCGGCAAGGGTCTCGCCGGAAATTGGTGTCAGGTCATCTCGTTGGTCAACTGGCCGGCCGTAAGCGTCTGTACGACTTCTGGTTTCACGACGGTCTCTTGGCCGTCAACGCTGTTATTGTTGTTGATGTTATCGTTGTTGTTGTTGTTGTTGTTGTTGTTGTTATTGTTATTGTTGTTGTTACTGCTACCGGTAGTGTTGTTAGTTTCAGGATGCTGAGCGGCCAGGTGCTTCCTCAGCGCGGTCTGCCTGGTGAATTTGGCCTCGCATCTGGTACACGAGATCTCCGCGCTGATGGCCGACGACGTGGACGACGACGACGACGATGATGTTGATGACGAGGGCGAGGAGGAGTTGGTCGCACTCGTGGAGGAATTACCGTCGTTGTTCGGCAGTCTAGGCTTGTGCCAACGACGATGGGAGGCCAAGTTGGCCGGACAAGAGAAGCGTTTGTCGCACTCAGGACAACGATACTCCACGTGGGCGATTCTAGAACAGCGGTGTTGCGCCAGCTGGAAGGCATCCTCGTGAAGCTGCCGGCAAAGCTTGCATTGATACGGACCAAGTCGGTTCTCGATCTTGGCGAGCTCGGCTCGCGCTTCCTCCGTCACTTCGACGATGTTGAAGGCGGGATCGATGTCGCCGGTCACCACTGCCTCGTCCGGACCCAAAATTACCGTACCCGACACCGGACTGCTGGTATCCTCGTCGAACTTCAGTCGTCTAGCATGCTTCTTCTTGGGCCTCTGACTATTGCTGGTCTTCTCCGTGCTGCTTTGCTTTGGGGTCGCGAGGGATGCGCTACTAGCGAGTCCCGAGGATGGTGACGCGAGATCCTCCTCTCGAACTCTTCTTCGAGGGCACTGAGGTGGCGACGGAGTGCTGGGTGGCGTCATGGGTGCGTGCACACCTTGAAGATGATGTTGCGGTGTCAGTAGCAGCTGTTGATGGTAACCTTGCATCGGTTGCATGTGCGTTGGACTTGTCAACAGAAGCTTTTGGTTGTGCAGGTGGTACTTCGGACTGAAGTCGGTACCGGAATACGGCGGCAGTCGAGTGCTTTCTTCGGAAAGATGGATCTTGTCCATCACCGTGTCGTGCAGACGAGGTGATCCCTTGTTGAGGACCAGCCGTTCATAATGACTCTGGTGACTTTGTGCCGAGGAGCTGCGCAAAGTGTCTAAGTCGTCCACTACCAACTGCTGATCGTCTTCCTGATTGTCTGCGCGATCTTCGCTCGGCCGAGCTTGGAGTCCATCGCGAATCCTGAGGTCCTTCTCGTCGTCCACTTCGATCATCTCCTCCGTCTTCGGAGTGCTCGGCGTCGGCGGTGGCTTCAATGACAGGTCCAACGGACACGGCGTCGAGGACCTCGAGGACTCCCAGGACTGCAACGATGAGTGATGCTCAGCCGGGATTCGCGAGTACACCGGCGAAGACGGGTCCTCCATCGGGATGTGCCACGTGGCGGGTGGCGCGGCGTAGGCAGGGTGGACCTCCTCACTGTAGTAACTTAGGTAATTAAGGCCGGGGGCCAAGAAGGCCCTCGGCAAAGTGCCGTGCAGCATTCTTGGATTTTCCCTCCTGCCTTCTCCGTTTCAGAATCTCTTCAGAATTCACGCTGTGACTGTCGCTTCTCGCGTCGTGTCTTCATGATACCCGAAGGAAAAAAGGAAGGAAGAAAAGAGGGAAGGAAGGTAGCAAAGCCGACAAACTTGCAAGTGAGGAAGCTTCGTGGAGAACGACCAGCTACCTGAAGGCACTTTCACCGAGGAAAGAGAGCGCTGGTCTTCTTCTTCTTCTCCGAAGGATACCCTGATCGCCGATGGACAACGACACGACCTTCTCCCTCGGCGGTCGGACGCCGTTTGACAGAAGGTTGCTCGTGCCGTGTCTCGTATATCCGTACGCTCCGCCCGGGCACCCACGGCTCACGCGACTCTCATTGGCCGACCCCTACTCGGTTCTCTTCAGCGCGTGCCCGTTTAAACGCATGACGCCCCGCTCGGCGCGAGCAGACGCTGCCGAGCAGCTGGTGGGGTAGGGATGTAGCTTCTCGGCTTGCCTGGTCCTGGTGGGCTCTCTCCGTGGAGCAAGTAGAACACCCGGACAAGAAACGACAAAGCCGCAATTTTACGGAGCAGCGGCGGAGTATTGATAGAGTCGCGCGATGTTGGTCAATGTTCTAATGGGTCAGCGTTCAAATTACTGGACGCGAACCGGGAAATCGCGAGACCGTCGCCACGAATAAGATAAATAAGACACGCTTCTAACTTGCGACCTTAATGATTTCAGTATGCAATACTGTCCGTTGTTATCGGAAATCTCGGGTTGGCCAGAATACCGCGATATCTTCAACGTGAAAGCAGACGATATTTATTTCTGGCTAACAATATTTCCCGATTATTAGATTAAGTAATAATGAGTCAACGTTGGTTACCATTCCGACGGTCGTTCTTATCTTCGTTACCGCGACAGGTGATAGTATATATATATATATATATATATGAGTATATATCATCTAATCAGTGATACCGTGTAGAAAGGAAATAGTAATTAATTTGGAGATAGATGAGAAGGAGATTAGATGTTTCATTTCTATTTTCAGTTCGCCTCGCCTTGTATTATAATGAGCCGATTGAGCTATGCATATCGTCGATGCATTACTAGGACGGACCGACCGTCCGAAAAACGCAGTTGTTGCAAGCCCAAACCGATAAGTACATGGCGTTCGTTTTAATGCATGATATCGACGCGCGGAGATTACAGGGCCACGTTAAACCAGGTCGGGGAAATTTTAGCGTATCATATATTATATATACATTTCCCGAATATGTTTAATAATAAAATAACACAGCGCAATATAGCAATTACAATTTTACGTAAGACGTTCGTTCCCGTCGCGCGTGACACGTCCAATATTGTTACGCGACGTTCGCGATTAATCATTCAGTCGCTTCGATAAGACCCTTCTTACCGCTGTAACAACTCTCTACGGTCGTACCTAATAGCGAGCCACGATGCATTACATACGTTTAAGACACTATCGTGTGTATCTATCTATCTCTCTTTTTCTCTCTCTTTCTCTTTCGTGTGACATTAAACTTATTGTTAGTCTCAACGCTTGAAAGTGTTTCGTTCCACGCGCGCGTGTACGTTCGCAACGTTCGTTCTTTTGCATTGGCAGCCGTAGAAAAAAATGTGCGGATCTTACGTCGCGTCGGTAGGGACGCGCTGATAACCCGATATTATATGCGTATGTGCGCGAAATGATACGTTTCACACGTGATACGGGCCTAGTAACGTAACCGTACATACATCAGACAAGAAGCTGAAGTATTCCCGCCGCGCGCGCCGCTGCCATAAACGCCTACTCGCGACGCTCGATCGATCGATATGCGTCCGCATACGGCCCCGGATTCCGTAAAGCGCTCGTTTGCGCAAAGCGTATGACACGACGTTTCTGAGTCGTTGATCTCGTCGTCGAGTGCACGCTTTTATCAGAGGACATCGCAGCTTCGCTCGCAACGCGATTAATCGCGGCAAATAGCTACGACGACTAAATGATCGGCTGATTAATTCAGGCGGCAAACTGGAAATGGAAATTGGGTGAACGTCGTCGATGAAACATTGACAAGGTCGGGTGTATATCTAAAAGATCATTGTTTTAATATTAATCTATTCTATTTGCCTATTCTGACAAATTCGGTGATCGTCGCCGTCGAATAGGAGGCGATGTGTTCGTTCGAAAATCTAAGATCCTTGTACAGTTCGAATTTGACGACTCGTCTACTTATATATATACCTCACTTTTGAATTATATTCACTATTTTCGTCCAAGAATTATTCGCCGGTTCTCAGACAAGAAGGAGGGAGAGAGCGATGTCTCTTTTTTGTTTTCGCGAAGCGGACAAGAAGACGATGTCATCGTCGTTGTCGTCTGCCTGTCTCGGCAGTAGTCGTCGAGGAGACGATGTCTCGCGAAAAGCGCAGCGTCGTAATCCGTTGATCTTCTTACGTAATTAACGGGCTACGAGCACGTCCGATTAATCGTCATAAATATTTCCGTGACGCTGATGGACGTGTCCATCCGGAGCGTTGCGTGCCTCTCCTCACCCGAATACGCGTTCGAATGCGAAACTACGTACGTACATGCGCGTGCATACGTGTACGTGCACCGCACGTAAGTCGGACCGCCAGTTAATCTGCACCCCCAGGAGACCCACCAAGACCGAGAACAATCACGCTGTAATTGGACGAGAGGCTGTTGAGATGCGCTCAAGACGACGTTCTCATCCCCTCGAAAAATCGACAACGATTGACGCAATCGTCGGCCGTTATCATCGGTCATTATCGTCACTTGTTGTCGCGTGACCGTTCGCTCAGAAAATTGCGAGGCAATTAAAATACACTGAGGCTAGATATATCTCTTACCTGGGAATTAAGAGATGTCTCTCTATGAGTGTCATTTAAAGTAAGGAAATTAATTACATTTAAAGTAGCAAAGTATAAAAGACTGCTCTCTGAAACGGAGCTCGTTGACAGTAAAGTGTCAGATTTACTCGTTTCGATACTGATTAACTGCTCACCTCCTCCATCCCATAATAGGCCCCAGCTGAATAAAACAAAACAAAAAACGTCTAAAAGCGTAATAAAATCACAGAATATGGTGAAGCAGAAAGAAGATAGTTACCTATTTCGGGTACCACTACGTTACTTACAGCATTCTATTTTTGCCGAGATTGATTAGTCGTTATTTTGGGTCTCGATACCTCTCCCGGAGTATCTTTCTCTTTCTATATTTTGCATTCGACACAGTTATATTATTACGCCAGCGAGCGAGAAATATTGCAACACGTATCCGGAAATCCGCTCGCGTACATTCGCTCCATAATCTCTCTCTCTCCTCTCTCTTTTTCCCCCTGTCTCTATGTGCGTGTTTCCCTCTCTCCCTCTCTCTCGCTCTCCCTTCGGGCATAAAATTTCAACGCGTATCCCGCGTAATCATTCCACCGGGCGAACGAAAACAAGTGGCAAATGGTCCATTATTATCCGCCAAACGTTATTCGAACTAAATACAGACGGATGTAAAATATAGGCATTAACGCGAAGCGAGCGCGGCCGCGCGGCGCGGTCGATGCGGATTTGCCATGATTATTTGATACCTGGCGAAAACATTTTGCCACGTGTTGCGCTACCGCGCGGTGTGTAGAATGCGTTTCGCGGAACGTATATGCGAAAATACCCGCGCGATGCACTCGGATTACCCCGAACCAGCAGATATTAGATACACGCTTTTGCGCTTTTCGCCCGCGAAATTGTGCGGCGGTTTAGTGCGTCGCGTCGAATGCATTCGGGGGGTGAAACGATAGTCGCGCGCCCGCTGAATTGCGGAAGATGTATTTCAAAGATGTATTCTTCAAGATTTCGTTCAATCGAACGAGCGACTGGATCGTAGGCTGATTTAAGGATCGTTTCAAGCCCCTCCGAAAGCGCCTCTGAGAACTGGAACTTTACTTACTGATTTCGTTCTGTTTCAGATTCGTGATTTCTGATCTTCGGCAACCGAGAATCCACAGAGATACCTACCTTCACTTGCGAAAATCGAATATGTGATAAATTCGAAAAGTCTTCGTCTACATACTTGGAGTATCACAATGATGAGAATATTCAACTGCGATATATCCGTCATTTTGGTATCATCGACATTCATTCTATCTAGCTTACTTCTGCTAGGAAACCTTAATTCGTATTAATTATAATTCGCATTGGTTGCAGGTTTCACACTTTGAAGTTACAATTCAGAATAACGTGAATTTAAATATCTCAAACAGTTACTAGTCGCGAGTTCTCCGGAAAAGTCACCGTTTCAACTAGCATCGGCGTTGCCAGATTCTCCCTATTGGAGAACATCCCGATGCTATCGTACATACACATTTATCGATACATCAGCACTGGCGCCGATCGCCTCTCCACGAAGAAGGCAGGATAAGATCCCCTGATTGCGGAAGCACGACGAGAGGGAACTTCTAAATATCTCGCAAAAGCGAAACGCGCTGGTACTCGCCTCTCTTGTGTCGACGAGAGAAAACGAGGGAGAGAGAGAGAGAGAGAGAGAGAGAGAGAGAGAGAGAGAGAGAGAGAGAGAGAGAGAGAGAGAGAGAGAGAGAGGGGGGGGGAGAGAGAGAGAGAGGGAGAGAGTGGCTTCCAGGACGGGCGAGTAAGCTTTTTGCCTACGCGGATGTAGCTCTCGTCCGCTGGTATGGAGGGAACGGGACGAGAGGGCGGCTCTGCATATTTCATGCGATTTTAATGTGTCTCCGGCCGCTGCCGCTGCTGCCGCTGTTGCCGCTCGCTGCCGAATACCCGGTAGTACCGAGAGACCGTGCCACCGTCCCGCTGTACGGGGCAGGAGTGACTGCCGTGATGCTCTAATCGGCTTACGCAACAAGCCACCCTTATCCCCGGCCTCCACGGCGCGGTCTCTCGTTTCCACCCCCGCTCGCGTCCCAGGCAACCCTGCCGTCACCACTACCACCACCACCGTCGCTCCTTATCCGCGCCGGGCCCTAAACGACGGCTATTACTTTGCGGTCGCCTCGGTTCTGTATCCTTCGAGGACTCCGACGGCTCTTGACGGCGGATAGAAGAGAAGTGAGGACGGGCGGTGAGAGGGGCACGGAACATGCATCCCTCTGGGTTTTTCGATCCGACAGGAGTTCAATTAAAAAGTAGCGCATCGTCCACGAGAATCGAGCAGAGGAGAAATCGGTGATAATATCGCGAGCGTGAGTTTTCCTACGTTTGATTTCAGTCTTCGGCAACTTCTCGGCGAAAGGAAATTATCCGGGAGAAGTGTCATCTTTCTCTTCGTGACTCGACGAAAGAAATTCTTCGCTTCGATTATAACGTAATAATATATCTTTGTTCGCGATCGATCTTTCCGATAGTTGCGACACCCGACTGTATTCGGGTATAAAATTGAGGGAAAAAGGCTATCTTGAGAAAAGATCGAACTTCGCTCTTTTCGCGGAGGAAATTCTCCGGGCGAATACCTCGACATTCGCGACGATACACGGATAAATGAATACTTTTAGAGAGAAAGATTTTGTCTGTACGTGTGTGACGCGTAACTCTGCCCTGCCTTCCGTGTGTGTTTGCCGAGTGCACGAGAGGGGCACACTCGGTTGCCCTAGGCCAGAACGTGCATTATTGGATAGAGTTACGTTAAACATACGCGCCGCGCGCGCACACCACACGTTCGCTTTTCCTCTCTTCCGATGCCGGTATTCTCGAGTCGCGGACGAAACGAGCGAGTGCGTTATTCACACCGCGATATCGGATGAACCCGATGAGTTTGCCAGCGACAAACATACGAACGGCATATCATCGGCCGCGGCATCGGTGAACGCCCCGTCGTCACGTATTTCTCACCAACGGCATGACAGCTCTTTTACAATTATGCGATATTGTTCGATTATGCGCTGCCTGACATCGACAGTTCAATCTTCGGTAAGTCGCATCGATTTTTTTTTCTAGTGACATCAAAAGAGAAAGCTGTATAAGGGATCTCTGTGCGATACACACAAATGTAATTCAACATGAATCATAAGTTTCTAAAGATTTAATTTGACCTGCATACATTTCAAAAAATCGTCGATGTCAATATTATTATTGATAATCTGTAATTATTTAAAATTACTGAAAATCACATGCGAGTCACGGATTAAAATTTGCTATTTTACATTACGTAAGAGATTGTATGTATGCACTTAAATATGTATGTATACGCATATACGAAGCAAAATAAGCGTTACACCGCATTACATCCTCGTACGTAAACAAATGCAAAGAATGTTAGTGGTGTAAAGTCGATGAATACTCTATGTAGCTAATTCCCTCGTATCACAGAATTCGCACTTGGTTGTTTGATTGCGATTTTATAATTCGGTAGCACGAACAATTTCTATTATTCGGTAATTCGGTACGCGTTCTTGTACATACGTATATCACATGCATGAAGAGAGTGGCAGGAGAATTCATATAATATTAAAATCGGACGATTCAAATATGTATCTGACGATATTGTCCCGTCGAAAAGATGGAATCAGTGAAACTTGATCAGAGAAAAATTTTACCAGAAGCGAAAGAGGAAAACTTCGAAGAACGTTGTATAGATTACTGAATACACTCCTTAGGACAATTTAATTAAAAATTGGACTTGAGCAAACCCTACAAATCGTTGTTTGTATAAGCTCTTTTTCTCGTTCTCATCGTGCCTCCAAGAATGCTTATACACCAAAACTTGTCAACTATGAGAGATCGAAACTCTATCGTTTATATGCGAAAACCTAATCCCTAACTTTTAAATTACAATTATATCATTGATTTAAAGATGCGCTACTATTAAAAAGGCACAAATGCAAATAACTACTAGGTCAACGATTATTTCGCGTTGCTCGTAATTATCATTCGCGCACTCTATGTTGTGCTTTCGATAAAAGGGCGCAGAATAGGGCGTATATACTAATTTTAATTACGCTGCGATATGTACTATTAAAAGTGATTTTTATACGTATGTTTCCAGCATAAAAATGGAAAGCTGAAATTTGAAAAAGCGTAAAATGCATAAGTTCGGTCTCCTTTCAAGTAAGACAGAGATCGTAAATTTCTATATTGAAAAATCTTGAATTCTATCCGAAAAGCCGTAAAAGCTTAATCACGTTTCGGCAACGTGTCCTTTGCATAGTAACGCCTAATGAGAATCGAAGAACTTTGTAACTCGATATCTGGACCCTATTTTTTTAATTTGGCACATTCGGCTATTGTTCGTGCATATCTCAAAACGGGTTCATGCAAAGCGCGTTTAATTCAGGTAATAAGTCTGACTGAAATTTTTTATGTGAATCGTAACGATTAAGCCCCGAATATCTTTAACGTGTCTTCGACAAATCAATGTGCCAGTTAAAACTTCACCTATAAAAGAAGTAGCAAAATTATATAAACTTATTTTATTCTGTACTTCTACTTATATGAGCTGATTGCATTAAGGATAACATAAAAATTAAGTAACACATATATGCTTACCTTCGGTTATACTGATGGGTTCACTCAAAGAAAATACCGTTTGTTTCCAGTGCGTCGGTGTAGAATGAGGACTTGTGCTAAAATGTACTGGATTCTCTAGATCAAAGAAAATGTCAAAATAGCCGACCATCGCAGTTAACGATCCCGTCTTTTTCACATTCAACGTGAAGGGAGATGAAAAATTGACGCAATCCGTCGTGACATTATACAAGTCGAATACTTGGATCTCAGCGGTGCTCGTTACTATATCATCGACGTTGCAGATTTCTATACTGGGTTCGCGCACCACTTCCGCTTTCATGCAACTCATTTTGAAGCCGTACACATTCGTCCAGTAATCAACTAGATCGATATACCTCTCTGCAAAAGAATAATAGCTCATAAAAGTATTTATAGAATGTTTGTAAGAATAATTCATAAAAGATTTGTCATAATATTTACTCTTGTATGATATAATTTTGCAAATGATTTAATTGAAAAGTTGCAATCTAATATTCTTATATTCTCTTGATATTGAGCAAATATTACTATTGCTACTAAATTGTTACTATTAAAGTTAAAAGACGTACTTGTATCACCACTTCCCACGATACTAATAGTACATCTATTTGGAAGTATTGCTCCACCAGGTGCCAAATAGTGGTCCCTAGCATAAATTACAGTGTCTAACATTCCCTCAAACAAGAGAAAGTATCCCATCCACTCAGATATTATCGCGTCTACTTTCTCTTCCCCAATACTGATATCTTCTAGACGACCCTTCTTTAAAGTGATGATATCACTGAGATTGTTCTCCCTGAAATCCGTAAAAATGTATATTTTATTATTAATGTACTACATGTTGAACAAATAGCTGATTATGAAGGTACATGTGCAAAAGCAACAAGCACCTTACTATATCCATAGCATGATATATCACATCAGACTGATCAACACTGATAACTTTACGACAACCAGATTTTGCTGCAAACATAGACAAAATACCGGTTCCACAACCGACATCCAGCATTACACAATTGTGAAATCTGTTAGAATTCGTCAACAAGGCATCGCGATAGCTCTCTGTCCGTATTTTATCCTGATAAAAAATATACATTGATTAATATTTTATTTTTCTAAAGAAATTCAAGTCATATTTCCATTTTTTTATTAAAAATATTGCGATTTATTATTGTTTATAATCATGCAATCTCAAATATATTAAGTAGTGTTTGTATTCTCATTAAATTGGATTGGTAAAATTTATTCATAACTTACTGTCAACATCTCATGATGTATTGCAAAATGACTATATGTATTGAAATATCCTTCATCAACATTAGGGTTGTGAGCACTGACGAGAATATTCTTCTCTTTCCCCTCTATGTCATCACCCAGTATCAATTTCTGTGCTTTCTCTCTCATCTCTTCCATTTTCTAAAAGGACACACAAGATACAAACTTGTTTGCATTATACTATATGAAAAATTATATTCATTGATTATGGATCTGTACCTGCTTCACCAAGAAACACATTGTTTCACTTTCTTTCAATTGAGATGTGAGAGACCGTATTTTCTTTTTCATATCCTCATATTGTTCCTCTGGCAAAGTAACACTATCATTGCCATTTGAATGTATTTGCTTCACTCCTTTTTCCTCACTCATATCCTTAATAATGATGAGATCTTCGATATCTTTATTAAAATAATTAAACATATTAGTATATAATACTTTACAAAAAACAAAAAACTAACTTCTCTATACTTGCCATACATTAACCATGGATCGTTCTCTATAACAGGATGCAAATATTCCTCTTTGTCCCAAGCTTCTATACCCAATGTACTCAATTGTTCAGGTAAAATCTCCTTACGCCGAATAAAATTGATTAACTTAATATATGTATAAGTATCATGAACATGTTTTCTTATAAAATTGCACAAGTTAAATTTATGGAGGGTTTCGATATGGTGCAGAGCAGTGGAAAAGCCGTTAATAGTTTCTGTACAAAATAGACATGGAATATTGTAGTCATCTTCACCATTCTCTTCCCAATCATCTCCACTATCGTTATCACTTATATCGTTATACATGTCATATCCTAGAAAAAAAGTAAGAAAACATTTAAATGTATGAAATATATTTAACCAAAAAAGTAAAGAAAAAACTAAGTGTTCGTTAACATGAAAAATTGCTTGTAATTTTAATTATTTTGTTTATAAGTAGGAATAAAACTTTTTCTATTCTATTCTATGTAAAATCAGATATAAATTTCCTCAGAGGACTGTAAAGAAAAATATATTTATATTCCACAGGAGATTAACCGTTTCATTTGTGTCAATAGCATACATATTACAGATTGCATTACACTCTATCATTTGGCAATTTACTACACAAGACTTTCAGTAATATTTTACCTAATTCTGCCATAGTAAGGCTTCACCTTTTGCGATGCTAACCACAAAATTAGAACAGCTGCAAACACCTTATCATCCGGCGAGAGCACGTGTCGACGACTGACGCTTCTCTCATTTTATGGCAAGTTCATACCCACACGTTCACCTTCTCTCGCGTTCATACCTACATACATTCACGCTCACGTTCGCTGTACTGATTTATTGATTTATTAATATCAATCAGATTAAAACAAGGTAACTTTTCAACATAAAAGTAAAAAGATATAATAAGAATCTTTTTATGCAAAATCAATATTATATAATTACACGACATATAAAATGTAACTGCGGAGAAAGGTTTTATAAAATTAAATAGAGTACATACAATTTATTATATATTATTTTCTCTCAAACGTGTTAATATATTACATACAATTATATATAAAAATATATTGCAGACAAGTTTCATGAAATAAATCAAACACTTATAACTACGATTTACAATTATAAAAAGAATGTACATACAATATATTTCTCACAATTTCTCCAATTGTTACAAGAGACATGTTAAAATATCGTCACGATTAATGAAAGATTTAATTAGCAATGATAAGAATAATGTTTGATGGGCCAGTGTGTTTATGATTATGACAAAAACGTAGTTATCGATCACGAGTCTCCATCGAACTTATTGTTATTCAACTGACGTTTCGCGGATGTGACAACAATTTCGGTGTCTTCAAGTTTCCTTTTCACACTATTCTCGCTCAAATCTGGCTTGTTGATCTCTCGATACAAATTCTGCGCGACATGAAAATCTATATGCTCGCTGTATCTCATTACAGATATCATCTGGCCACATTCAGTACATCGTTCCAAAAGCTCGCTCGAGTCGGTCTTGATCAAGAAGTTATCTAAAATGGGGCTGCGTCTCTTTCCTTTGCCAGCGACTTTGGTCTTACTAGGTTTTCCTTTCGCCGTTTTCATTGGCAAGTCGCGAGAAACCTTCACGATCTTCTCCTGCTTCTTGTCGCGCGATCTCGCATATAATCTAGCTTCCTCTTGCAAATCGGGTGGTAGTAGAAGCAAAATATCAGGATCCATGTCGTCCAGGTTTGGAAATATCTCTCGCAGTAGCTTCGAAGGATTATGCGCGGTGCTTTCCTCTCTGAGCTTCTTCTCGGAGGAGTTCTTCGTGTCGTTGCTAGACACTAGAGTGGGCGCACAACTCGATGACGGTTTGTCCTGACCGTTCTCTCGTATCCACGAATCTGAATTACTGTTATCATCGGTGTCATTACTAGTATTTAGATTATTCGCGTTGGATACGATTGATTGTTCGCTCCGCTCTGATTCCTCCGCAGTATCGCTATTTTCGTCGACGTTCTCGTTACAATCTTTTTTATTAGTCTTGAATATATTCATAAAGAAGGAACTTTGAAAATCGTTATTATTGATTACCATACTTGACATGCGTTTATTCCTTAATTTGGCTTCGTCGTGTTCGTTGCACACCTGCATCAGCTTGAAAACTCTCCTCGATGTGGGCGAATCCTCCATGTTCGTGTTTAACGAATTATCAATAATTCTTTTGTTACCCTTTCTCGTCGCTTCGTTAGTTGTTTTGACCGATTTTTCGACCATAGTAGTCTCAGTGTTTCGAACTGGCTCTTCCTTGCCGTTAATAGTAACAGGCTTCTTCTTTTCCATTTTTGGAGATTGATCTTCTTTGCTATTAATGACAGCGAAAGATTTTGCTTCTACTACTTCAGAATTCGATTTGAGATTCGTCTTATCTCCGGACGAACTTGTAATTTTCATTTGATCGATCTGAGGACTTACTTCACCGTCATTCTTCGACTTAACAGTGTTGAAGAATTTCAGGAAACTACCACTCTCCTTCGACGGTACAAATTTGCTGGCAACAATACCTATGTATGCCACTGGACACTGTGTCGATTTAGTGATAACGTCTACACATTGGCTTGCCATTTTTTCCGGCTTGTATGAGTTCAAAATAAGTGAGCGAGATTGGGACACGGTACTTCTGTTCTGATAGTAATGATAAGAGATGGTGAGCAATGTTGCGCGTCGTTGATTTTCTATGAGATCCTGCTCAAGTCGCTCGCAAACTTCTGCCGCTAAATCTCCGGCCCAATGTTTTAACTATGCATAAAAGATTTTTCATAATATTTCCACATTATATATACAGTTTTCATACTTTCATGCAAATAAGTCGTATTATACGTAAATCTTTTTATATATTAAATTATTTCTATATTAATCAGCTTACCACTTCCAAAGAAGTAATGGCTTGTTTTCCAGGAAATTTCTTACATGCTCCGACGGACTTCGATAGCAATCTATTGGTGACAGGCTCATTGTCTATGCCTCGAGCAATATTATACAACCATAATCTGAAGAATCACAGTTATACATTGCATTAAAATTACAAATCGTTTATTACGTTTGTTGAACTTGGTTTATAGCCACAAGAACTTTGGATCTACCCTGTTTTCTCGTCAAAATGTTTTTGCAGTTGTTCCAAAGAATATTGCATTAAATCCCCCATAACATTACAACCAAGAGACTCAACTACAACGTCACCAAATTTCCCACCAAGGTTTCTGACTTTTTTCACCGACAGCGTAGAGTAAAGACTTGCAACAGCTGCTTCGGGCAATATTGTTTGACGATTCGGTTTATGTAATCCGCATGCTAATTTTGCTAATATCTGGAAATTAACGGAGTTATCTCAAATTAATGAGAATCAACGAAATATGGTGCACAGGCAGTTTCGAGAATATTGCAAAATGAATAGAAAATTATTTGCAACCTTGTTCTGTGATATTCCAGCGGAACATCTGAATCCAGTCTCGTTGTATATACTAGCTCTTATTTCTTCAACTATCATACCAGCTACAGCAAGTTTCTGTGCCTGAATGTCATGCAATTCCTTAAAAGAGTCCAATATCCATGTCTGTAGCCCTTTGTGTCTCTCCTCTATGGAACAATTAATATATATAATATCTAAATTACTGATTTAAAACTAATACAATCTACTGGATATTATAGTACCTTCATCACTTTTGCCAATTTCAGAATATCCCACTACAAATGTATTTGCAAGAGATGATATTAGTTCATTTGAGGAGATCTTATCTAATCTTTTTTCAACAATATCTGTGATGTCAAGATAAGCTTCATCAACACTAGCACGTTCTATCACATTACAGTGTTTTCTTATAACTTTAATAACTTCATGACCAGCTTTCCTATACCTATGTGAACATTATATATGTTTTTAAATGTTTAATACATAAAATATTGCAATATATAAGTAAATAATTAGCATATTGAAAAGTATGTTTTATTCAAAAATTTTGCTCTAATAGCTAACCACTACCTGGTTGTGTCTGCTTTCCCACGAAGACAAGGCACACTGGCTAGAACTATATCTGGACATTTCTCTTTAGCTTCTTTGCCTCTCATGTGTCTGGTTACTCCAAAATTTCGTGCTTCATAATTCACAGCTATTATTCTGTAAATGATAAAAAATATTGTTATTTATATATTATCAACTTATCAACATAATCATATATTCAACTAACAAGTATTATATTTATAATAAAGATTGGTACATTCTCTCTTTCTTTTTTCCAAAAGAATTATACTAAATTCTTTTGAAGAGCCAAATTAATCTTAAAATAAATATATTTAGAAAATGCTCTTTTAAATGAAATACGATTATTAATATCTTATCGAAGTAAAATTTAATGTAATAAATATTTTACCCGCCCATTTCCCACTGATTATATTGAACCACAGCAAGCGGTTTTCCCGCATATTGCGGTTGTAACTTTGTTTCCACTTGACAGAAAAAGCAATCCATATCTATCAGGACAACGATCCTGCCTGGGTTAACCATTTTTTAAGGATTTCCTCTCACAAATTTATGTTCACTTAAAATAATTATAAAACTTCATTATTTTCTAGTCAACTAATACGACAACATCGGTATTATATGTGACTCCATTTTATCATGATGCACCTTGTTGATTGTGTACAGGTATGGTTGAGTCATATGGTGTTTACATATGAAACAGCTATAACGATAAGTAACTGTAAGGTGTAGACATGTAACTGCACTGTATGTAGAGCCGATAATTGGCTGTAAGCGTTGGAGTCGTGATATTGCAAATGTGTCGATCTTCGTAAGAGAACGAACTTGTCGAAAAGAGAAGAATTAAAAAGAGACACTCTCTGTCGAGCGTCGAAAGGGTTAAGTCGAAATATATAGTCTGTTCTTTTTAGCTGCACTACTAAACTGGTGCAATAAGTTAAAGTGAGAAAAAATATAGTTGTCTCATTCTAACTTATTGCACTAGTTCAGCAGTGCAGCTAAAAAGAACAGACCAATAGTCTTATCGAGTAAAGCTGATAAAGCTAGTCAAATTAACGAATCCGTTGAGGTCGTAATTAGGTATAAGTTTAATCGTGTTCATGTTTAAATACATTTTATTGGTGAGAAGCTGTGCTGTATAATACATTTCCTTTCTGGTCTCCTTTCGCCGTACGATACATCCTGCTACGTCTTATCTATACGAGAATCCTGATATCGATCCTTGAAAATCGAGAAACTTCTATAAAGGGACAACCTGACACCTCTAAAGTAAAAGAGAATTAAGAGAGAAAGCCCTTACACAACTTTGTTAAATTTATTCTGTCAAGCTACTCTAGATTGTATTAAATCTATTCGTCCTGATCCTAAAGAACTTGTCAACTAATGTAAACTAATCTAATGAGTTAGAATAAAACAGAATATTCCTTCTTCTTATATATTTAAATAGTCCAGAAATTAAAAAGAAAAACAGATCTATTTTAGGCTAAATAACAGATATAATAATACTATAATACCCTAATATTGGCTCATTAAAATAACGGATCTATTATTTAAAATTACAAGTATATATATCTAAAAATTATATTTAAAATAACAGGTCTTTTATAGACCCCTTATTTGTTCGTCAAAATAACGGGTCAATATCGCTTATACCCTTTATTTTTGCAAACTTGAGAAGTGTTTTGAATCTCGGCTAAATTTTATGAAAGCCGGTAAACTGTGGTTTGAATCTTGACCAAAAATTTTAAGTTTTAGCTAAGTTTTAAACCACAATTTACCGACTTCCAAAAAAATTTAGCCAAGATTTAAACCACAATTTATCGGCTTCCAGAAAATTTAGTCAAGATTTAAACCACAATTTACCGACATTTACAAAATTTAGCCAAGATTCAAACCATTTCAGCAAGTTCGCTAAAGTGGTTTGAATCTCGATTAAAAATTAAATTCATTTTTTAGTCGAGATTCGAACGACCACAATAAACGAGTCCTTTAAGGTAAAAAATATAAGAAGACCCGATAATTTTGTGAACTAATAAAATGTTTATGTTATTCATTAGACTTATTATTTTAATATGCCATTAAAGAGTTTAGTTTATAAAATTATTAGATTATTCTTCTTTTAAGAAGCTAATAAACGGAGTAATTATCTGTATTAATATAATTATAATATTAATATAATTAATATTCATCGTCTCCATCTCCTTCTTCCTTTTCCATGTCCATGTCTGTATGTCCCAAAAATTCAAAATTCGCTATAACAGCTGCTTCTGTATCTGATATCATTGCTTCTGCTATAGAAGATGGCTGTTGCTGGAACAATAAATCATATATAAATGTGTAACAGAATCGTAACTATCGTAATGCAGCTTAATTCTCTTAATTAAGTTCGTATTTTACCTTTTTCGGATGTCCCCCGGAGTATAAGACTTACATCGGATGATACTTGGCTGTTCTGTGTTCCCTAATTTCCATTTAATTATATAATTAACTGGAGTATTCATTTCATCTGAGTCTGTATTATTATATGTCCCACCGCATATATTTCATTTCTCGCCTTTCATCGTGAGTGTACAGAGTACTCTGTATGTACACTGTGTACAGAGCCATATATTGAAGAAGAAGAAGAAGTCTACGAGTCACTACGCAGGCGTGCTCCACAGGCGGAGCAGTGACTCTCATTCTTCTCGAGTCGGGATACGTTCCGAAAGTTGCAAAAAAACGGTCACAAACCTTTATGTCCGCGACCGTACAGTACGCCCATATGCGTATGCGTATATGCCTATCATCGCTTTCGATTGTTTTACAGGCGTATACGACATCGCCTAAAGCCCGTATTAGACTATGGATTGGGATTAAGATTGAATTGAAATTTGACCAATTGGGAAAAAGAAAACAATCTCAAATATTATAAACTTAGTCCTGATTGGTTAATTTTCAATCCAATACTCAATCCCAATCCGTAGTCTGATACGGGCTTAACCATACCTGCCTCTGAGTGTACACCTTTCTACCTAAAGCCATACATCGAATGAACGAACGAGCAGATAATACGCGAAACTTACACCAAAACTTTTGTGGTTCTGTTTTGTTTATTCATCACATTACATGCATGCATGTATGTTGTTTCGTATATAATCGTGTCCTACTCCAAAATTCGATTCGTCCGTTGTTGTAGTGCATGAGGACAATATGCCCAGTAAAAAGAGAAAATACAACGCTCGTTTTCCGGCGGTAAGCGAACACATTTTTCTTGCAAAATTTAACACAGCGACACCGATAAAGATTCTTAAAATTTTCTTGTTTGGTACTTATATTTAAATTTAACTAAATTTTAAAGTTTTCTTGAAAAGAAAGTGTTTTTTTATCGTAATTAGCATAAGTTCACTGTTAAAGTAAGGTTAACTTTTTGTGTCTGTTGTCAGGGTCGTATCAAGAAAATAATGCAGACTGACGAAGAGATTGGAAAGGTTGCACAAGCTGTACCGATCATAATTTATATCCTTTTTAATTATATTTCTTACAATAAACAGATAGATTTTTATAAATTTGGCGAATATAACATAACTTCATGTTTAACATACGAGGGTAGTCCCAGAAGTACCTGACCTAACAAAGAAAACACAAAAAATTTGGGAAAAAATATCTTTATTTCTCTACATAGTCTCCTTTTAGCTCATATACTTTTCCCAGCAATATTCAATAACTTCGATACCTTGTTTATAGTGAGAATCGTCGAGCTTCTCAAAATAGCCATCAAGCCACCTTGGTCCATTGTTTTGACTGTTCCTTCGTCTCAGGTGTGAAGTGATGGACCCATGTTTCATCCATGGTTATGAATCGATGCAAAAACTTGGCTTTAATGCTGCAAAACTTCGCCAAACACTCAATTGAAACATCCTCACGACGCTGTTTTTGTTCTATCATAGCACCCATCTTGTGCACAGCTTTCTCATGTCCAAATTTTCAGTCAATATGCGATGTACAGCACTTTTTGAAATGCCTACCATGTCTACTAACTCGCACACTTTCAGTCGATGGTCATCCAATACCATTTTGTGGATTTTCTTCACCATTTCTGGCGTGGCACCTTATTTGGTCGACCACTGCGATGTTCATCTTGGCAGCTCGTACGGCCTCGTTTAAACTCTGCCACCCAATATTTTACTGTTGTAAACGAAGGAGCAGACTCTCCCAGAGTAGAATCTAGCTCCGCTTTGTTATTGGTTGGACTGAGTCCTTTCAAATGAAAGTATTGTATCACATAACAATGACCAATTTTTTTCCATGTTTACAAATTCACTGAGAGTGTTTACTATTGATGGCTGCCAAACAAATACTAAGCAACGTAGCGTCGTCAAACTTCAAACTTAAGTTTTATAAGGTTGGTACTTTCTACCATAGTCGTTCTTTTCAAACAACAACCGCTATCTATATGTCAAGTCAGGTACTTCTGGGACTACCCTCATATTTATGTTATAAACTTTTCCTTAATAAGATTTACCTAGGACTTTAGAACTGTTTGTACATTCGTTGCTAACCAAGGCCATGCAGATAACAAGTGCCAAAAATGCCAAGACTCTAAGTCCAACTCATATGTAAATAAATAGTTGTATTCAATAGAGTTATTAGTTCAATAAGCATTTAATGATCTGAAAAATCTGCAGAAAATATCCCAGATAATAATCACCAAATGCTTATTGAGTCATTCCTTCTGCTAAATGCAATGATCTCGGAAGTTTACCTTAAATGCTTTAACTAAAACTTGTACACATCTATTTGCAGGAAGCAATGTATCATGTCAGAGAGTCGATTTGATTTTTTAAAAGATTTGGTGAAATCTTTGCCTGATGTACCAGCACCTGACGATGAATTGCCTACTCCACCAGCAACTCCAGCAACAACATCAGTAACAACAAGCACAGCAATAAATAATGCAACACATTCAGAAGTAGAGTAAGTCCTTTATAAAATTTTATAATCATTGATTTGCTAAATTGATAAAATACATACCATCTACAAGGTATATACAAGATGGGTTTCTTAATTACATATAAGTTTTTGTATTACTTTCTTCACAATGCTTTTAGATAAAAAAATTAGTGACTTGCACAATTCACATGTGTGTGTATGTGTGTTCTATGATTATGTAACTTATATTTCTTTTTATTATTTAATTCATGGTATCTTAATCACTATATTTTCATATATTTATAGACATCAAAAGCAATTGGACTTACCAAATGCAAATCACAAATCCATGAAAAATAATGAAGAAGTTACTGCAAAAGTATCCCCACAAGTACCACAATTTGAGATGTCTATACCTGCGTCCTTTCAAATGAGTCAACCAAACTTTTATATGGAACTCAATCCTACTAATTTAAGTGAAAGCACAAGCAGTCGAACGACATCAAATTCCACTTATACTGCCGGCATCGATGAGGATTATGACACATAGTAATCACCTCAAGTAGATTTTAGGATGTTAAAAATCTGTACTGAATGTGGAGTATGATTAGCAGAAGACAATAGTGATAACGCGCTTATACACGACAGCGCCGATTTTACAATCACTGCGTTCGCCTATCGATTAGTGCTGATACGTTTGCCTTGAAATTATTTCTTCATATTTATACAGGATGGTTCTCTGGCACTAAGTGAGATAGATGTGATAATATTTAGAAATATAAAAAAATAGTGTTAAAAATCAATTAGTGGAAGTGTAAAATAATTCTAATAAAGTTTTATTTTCTTTGAACAAATGCGTAATGTATCAACTACAATGTATTTCACTTTAAAGAATTACAAACTTTATATAAATGATGATTCTTCCAATCATTATTTACAAAAATATGTAAGTCTTCTGTGCCATCCTGCATATAATTATTATGTAAAATATCGAAATCGTTAAATTTAGTTTTTCTATCGGAATCCGATATTTTCACATAGATTTCGTATATATATATATATATATATATATATATATATATATACACACATACATATATATATATATTCTATGTATACAATATATAGAACGTAATATGTATTATTTCTTTTCTGCGGTATCTTACGTATTTATATTGGTTTATGGAAATAATATGTAAAATCGTGTTGCTAAGAGCAAAACGATTCGGCCGACACTGTTAATATCATGTGGTATAGGTGGTCACTGACACATTGTATAATCTTTACATTATACCTATTGCGAAATCATTGCCTCGAAACATTGTTACCGTTATTACGTAAAAACAATCATATTTACCTCATTAATTGCAGTGTTTGCGTTTGAGCGAGGTAATATTAACAGGAAGCGAAATGGACGATTAATCGTATCAAACGAAACGCCATTCCGTTTAATGGATATTCTCTGTAGCTGTAAAGAGATACATCTTTCTTCTTTCTTTTATTTGTACATATCCATGAGTTTTGCTGTGTACAGAATAGTGTTGTCGTCTTTTTCACAGCTTTATGAATATTTTCGAGAAAATACATCACTTCGGTTAGACTATGCGGTTTAACAAATGGTGTATTCGAGTGACATGGGTTTTAACCCACCCGGGTCGATTAAACCCAGCTTCATGGGTCGAACATGCACAGGTAAGCTTTATGATTGGCTAGAAAAGATTAGATAGCCTTGTGACATCATTAATCGACCCCGGGTGGGTTAAAACTCGTGCCACTCGAATATGCCAAGAGTTTCGTCTCAAATAACACGATGATCTCACAGAGACGAAAAAAAATTCTTTAGAATTAGAAAAATAATCTTGCGCGGGAACTTCGTTAAACTGCAAAGCAGAAGGAATCGAATAACAATGTAAGCACGCGAGAAAAGACTCGAAAAAAAGAATCAGGAAAAGCTCAGGACTTCTCGCACGCGCGCATATGAAGGAAACTTTATCAGACATTTATAATGCATGTACATGAAAGAAAATTGGCATGAACTCGAATAATCAGTTCCGGAAATCTTTACTACCTTTCTGTCGAAGTACATACACGCGGTACAACGCTGTATGATTGACTCGGCTCGAGCGACCAAAATGATATTTTCAGCGCTTTTGATGAAACGGTCGATGAAACACGTGTCATATATAGTACGAGAATGTTCAATAAACACACGTGTGACTTTCGTTACGATCTGTACATAAGTCAATCGTGTCGAACGCAAAAACAAGCAATTAGATAAATAGTTCGAATCATATATGCATGTATATGTATACGTATATATATGTTCTTCGAGTGTTTTCATATCTTTTTCTCCGTTTCACTATTCGTCACCACATAACACATTGTAATAAAGAGCTTATACTATTTCAATGTTTTTCTCATTCGAACGAAACCGAGCCGCTATTACGCGCAGAATAGATTTTGCTCTTTAACACGTCTCGAGATGCGCATAGACACAACAGCGTTTCTCGAACTTGAACTTCATTGTGAAAAAAATGAATGTAAATTGCTACGTCAGCGAGACGATCTTGCATAGTAATGCAAATGCATATTTTTATACATTTCGCTAATGTATCCCGCGTTTAAGCGAAATCCGCTTCGAGCAACAAATATACTTTGGAAAAGCAAGAGGAATACAAAAGAGCGGAGGATTAGCATGCGAATCGACTGCTTGATCGAGAAGCGGCGCAGCGGCTTGATCTATCTCTTTCTCTGTTTTACACGGCTCCTCGCGACAACGCACGTGTACGAGCCAAATCGCAGCTGTAATTAGTCATCCGACACATTTTTGCGACTATCGGTCGTCACGTCATTATCGCGTCAGCGTAATTTTCGTTCCGCTCAAAAATTCCGCCGGTGATATCGCCAGTTTGCGCGTAGAATTAATCTCCGCATGCCCGAGCCGAGATTATGATAATTTTCTGCGGATTGACGTAAACGACGACGCGAAGAGGCGTAATCTCATCCGCGCTCATTCGGAAGCGCGCGCGGATATGTGTGTATCGCTTCGATGTGACCTTAGTATCGCTGACACTGTTTTAGATCCTCCGTGTCAACGGACAAAAATATGTAATATATTCGTACGTGAGTAACCAACGGACGGATAATAATGCACGGAGCGGATGAGAAGGGGTTTTGCAGAAACGTGTCTGCTTGTATCGTGGAAATAGATTATTTAGACACGATTGCAGTCTGCGTCCGCGATTCGTCCGAAGAAAACGCAGGCTATATTACCCTGAAGCAAGAGCGTAAAGAGAATTGTGCGATCGCTTAAAAAAGGAGGAAAGAGAGCTCTTCTTTTCTCCTATGAGAATACTCAAAGTCGTATTTTGAATCTTTGCGATTAAACGTTATTTGCTCGGTTGTTCGGTCGAGTTCTAAGGACTTTTGCGTTTGCTCGATTGCTCGCGTTTGATCGCATTGTAAAATAGTCCGGTGAGTGCTCGTTCTATTTTATTTTTACGTTGTACGTCGCGTGAATCTTTCTGATGCGATTACAATGGCCGCGTTCAGCAAAAAAAGCTGCTTACTAAGCGCTTAGTGATTATCGTTCCTGATTGATTCATTCCCCTGGATTCGTTAAAGATCTAAACGAATACTCCAATAGAGTATCTGTTGGATCTCATAGATAATAATCACTTTTTCTGTTGAACACGACCAATTAGTTGGGAATGCATATTTCTTAATGACTTGTATAGATTGTCGATGATTAAAACATTGGAAAACTTTATTGCAAAAGTAAGCGCGTAATATTGGCTGGGCAGATTCATACTCGTCTGTTTATAGCATTGAAAAATCAACGTGTGACATAATTTATAACATGTTTTGTAACGCAAAATACATGTATTCGCGAGTATAACGTCGCAAATATTGGTAGGCTCGGTTCATTGATGAAATGACTACATGCTGGTATTTCGTCTTGTTGAGTTGCGGACTTATCACCCTTACAAACGGTTTGTTTCGGACACGTGGGTTACTGCCACCGTTGAACGATCCTAACGAAGTGCTGGTAAGCGGAACCTCAAAGCATAATCTATCATGTACCTCTAACTCGAACCTTGTCTAAAACCGAGGCTTTACGCATCTCATTACATTTACGAATTAGTAAATTTAATCATTAATACAAACACTTGTTTTATTAAATTGTCAATATAAAAAATACGTGTAATAATTCAATCGCTAATTGCCGCTGTACCTTGATATATTGCTGTTATTCTTCCCAGCGATCGGCTCTCGTTAGTCTCTACGTTTCTACTTTCTCTTCTACATCTTGATTGAGTAGCTTGTAAAGTTAAAGCTCTGTTCCAGTGATTTGTTAATAGATTTAATTATATCCAAGATCGAAGAAGCACGGTCAAGGCTAAGGAAACCTTTAATTTATGATTTAATGCAATTATGTAGCTTACGAATCTATTTAGAATGAAGCTTTTCGTACTTACAGAGAAATGTCGTGAACGAGAATGGCTATCCATTCGAACTTCATCATGTAATAACTAGCGATGGATATATATTAGCTCTGCATCGGATACCACCCAGTCATCCGAGAAAATTATACGGCCCACATCACCGAGCGGTGTTAGTCATGCACGGATTATTAGGGTGTTCGGCGGATTGGGTGGTAACGGGTCGAAATCGTTCACTCGGTATCAGATCAACTATTTGAACGCGTTTTAACTTAGACAATAGTTAAAACAAACATCTAATATCTACTGTAAAAAAAATCTTCCTTTATCATTGTTAGCTTTCCTTTTATCTGACCATGGTTATGACGTATGGCTCGGCAACATCCGTGGGTCCACCAACTCCAAGAATCACACGGAACTCTCGGTACAAAGCGCTAAATTTTGGGACTTTAGGTAATGCAAAGTTCCGAAGTTGCCATTTTCTGTTTTATCTTTCGTGTTTATCTATATAGACCTAAAAAACGCCACATATTAGATATTAAATATATTATATTAAAATTTCACATTTTTTCAGCTCTTCACTTTCGCAATCGCGAGAAATGATAAAGAATCTGTTTCGAGATTCTTTGTTTCACCAAAATTTCCATATAGTAATCAATTCTTTTCTTTTCCTTTTTTCGCTTAGCTGGCACGAAATTGGTATTTACGATACACCCGCTATGATAGACTACATATTGGACTATACCGGTCAGAAGCAACTCTTCTACATAGGCTTCTCTCAAGGAACAACGCAATTTTGGGTGCTGATGTCTCTCAGGCCGGAATACAACGAAAAGATCAAACTCATGTCCGCTTTAGCTCCTGTCGCTTACATGGGACACATCAACGGACTATTAAAATCTCTTAGCTACATCGCTTATGTTTTCAAGGTAAGTAAAGATCGGGTAACACTCACGTTAAAGCATTCTCTACAACTTGAATTTGGATAAACAAGAAGAACGTAAGCAGTCAGAATAAAAGCTATTTTTCTAAAATGCCTTTTAGTTTGTGTTGGAGATCGCAATTCTCTATCACACACACTATCTTGTACCAAAAAAAAAAAATATATATATATATATACATTATGTAATGAATTAAATCACATAAAATGAGGAAACATATATTTCCACTGTTCGTTTCAAACAGTATATTTGAACTGAAGTAGATTTCAAATGCTAAGTATGTTCGATATGTTTGTATTAATCGTTACTCGCTCGACTTGGCAGGCATTTTACAAGTACACCGGATATTTCGAGGTTCTATCAAGCACGTTCATGTTGAAAGGCATAGGATACAATTTCTGTAGGAAAAATATGGTAACTCAGCCCATTTGTGAGGCATTAGTCTACCTGATTGGCGGTTTCAGCAATGGAGAATTAAATCATGTAAGCTATCGAAACAGTAGAAAAGAGTGGCGGATTATAAACTGAACGAAACGCACGAATTCTACGAAGACGATTGTATCGATTAAATCGCGCATTGCATATTTCCAGGTGGACATGGCGACATACATGCAATTCTCTCCCGCGGGTTGCTCGTTTAAGCAATTGGTTCACTACGCGATGGGCGTTCAAAATCCAGGTATCGATTGGCGATTAATCATACGCTCATGTGAGAACGAGATTTCTCGATTGATCATTCATGGGCGTGCGCTATTTATGTACAGCCCATTTTCGTTAGGCAGATAAATTATTCTTCTTTTTCAGGGCATTTTCAGTTTTACGATTACGGTATGGTATCAAACTTTAAGAGGTACAATCAAATCACGCCGCCTGAGTACCCTGTGCACAAAATTACAGCACCAGTAAGTTTATACATCGGTTTGAACGATTGGTTGGCTCCTCCAAAGGTAAATCAAAATCTCCCTTAATTTTTCCGCGTTATCGGGATAGGTCAAAACTATATTACATTGGTCGATTGTGCGAGGAAAACTTTCTCATCTTTGCGATTACGCATAATCATGCGTTGGGTTCAGTCTTTTATTTTACTGTAGTGTATTGTGAAATTTCAGGACGTGGACATATTGAGCAAAAAATTGCCGAATGTCGTGGACAAGTATACGGTGACATTAAAGAAACTAAATCACTTCGACTTTCTGTACGGTTTACATATACGAAGCCTTGTTTATAATCATGTGGTTGAAAGGATGAACTCCATTCCGTAAGAGTAAGACGAGAAGAGATCATCAGACTTTCGTTTGTCGCTCTGTGGTCTATAAACTATTTCGTTTAATTGTGATTTATATGTTATCAGATAATTCATTAGCATTCAGTGATCTTTGCCTAGTCGAGTGCTCATAAAAGTTGTATCGCAAACACGGGGAATCACCGTAAGAAGACACACGATTACGTTAACTAATCTTCTCAAGTCAACTGATTGCACAACTTTATCTCGCGTTCTCGCGTGTAATCACACAAACTTTGTACATTATCCGCTCATGCGTCATATACAACATATATATCATACCAAGACATAACGTTTTTGTGTCTCTCTATTCCTTTTTCTTTTTATTGGGAAAGAGAGAGAGAGGGAGAGAGAGAGAGAGAGAGACAGAGAGAGAGAGAGAGAAAGAGAGAGAGAGAGAGAGAGAGAGAGAGAGAGAGAGACACTTCTCTGTGCACAAGTTATTGATATTTACACACACACAGTCTTACGTGTATCATTTTTTATTGTACCATGCGGTTTTATACACTATTTGTGAAGATTGAATGTGATTATATTCAAAATATGTAACTGTATGCACATTGCGCTGATACGTTGATGAACTGAATCATAGTGAAATTGTAGAAGCCGAGTGGAAGCCAGTGGAAGATGCTGAAACAAAATAAGATTTCTAGGACTCTTGGTCGAAATGCTGGTACACGCAACACATTCAATCTATGAGACTATCGATCAGTGAGCTCGACAAAATACTATTCTTTTTAACGTGTTGCTCTTTTCTTTTCTCTTAGCAAAATTAGAATGTACTTTCTTGATTCTTAAGTTGTTGTATTAGAAGTACAAATTGATTCATTTCTCAATTGAATATAAATCCATACACTCAACTCAGGTTATCCGAATTCAATATGTTTGCAGAATGTAATTGTATAACGCTTATTTGTAAATATATAATTATATATATTTAATTTTAATATTAAACGTGCGGTAACTTAACATTGAATGATGACGAATCTGTCGTGTAATTCACTGTACAAAACTTGCATTATGTGTGTGTCTGCAAGAATCTATAACTTTGATATCTAAATCATGATTGAGAAATTAAAGCTTGTTTTTGTGTTCGCTTTAATTTCTACAGACTTTATACGCATAATGAGAAAAATAAACGAATAGTCGTCTATCGACATTTTTCTTTCTACAAATAGTACGTTCCTTCAAAATTTTCCGACAGAAAACCAGTTAGACTTTCAAACTGCACTATTTTTGAATCTTTTCATCCTATAATTTATATTCTAGAGGAGCGCTGCCTTATAAAGAGCAATCGGAAATTTATTACTTAGTGAACTTTGGGTATCGGCGCAATATGACAGCATTATAAAATACGTTGTTCATATATTACATTATCTCAATTTGCATGAGTCAATTGTGGACTTGGATATCAATTATGCGAACGCCATACATACTGTGGACTTTAATGTTAAACATAATACAGAAAAAAGAGAAACCGATTATCACATTTCGATAAACTTAATATCAATAAACGAAGTTTATTGAAACAAACAAAGATTCGATAAGAGTTGGATATCTCGATGCTGAAAAAGTAGCAAAGTACAAATTAGAAATAGAAATTTTTCCAATGACTCAATGTATCGATCAGGAATCATTACTGGTTCTGAGTTATATTCCTGAATTATAATTATATAATATTGTATAATATACACAGTGTTTGACAATTAAAGGCGAAACATTTGTGTGCCGTCAGAACGGATCAAAGTGAATCCATGGGATAGTGGATTTGTGCAGTTAGTATCATATGTTACCAAGAGATCATCAAGAAGATTCAAATCATTTTTTATGAGATTTTCCGTACGCTTATTCACTAATATTGTTTAATTAATATTTCTTAACAGTTATTATTGCGAAATTTACAAGATAGGATTTTTCTATGCAGCTGATCTGGATTCGGTTTGATCTGTTCTACTTACAAACAAGCGTTTTGCCTTCAATTATCGGACAGCTTGTACATTATATAATATATATCACACATTTATATACATTTTGAAAATATGTGATAAAAAAGTACATGATAAAAAGTATGTGAAAGTATGTAATAAAAAATTCTTATGTTAAATGTACGAAATTCAGCTTATCGTTATTGTGCATGTATATATTATACGAATTTAACGAATTTATACTACTATCATTTTTTTTATCATTAACGACTACTTTCCAGACTTTTTTCCATAAAAAATTAATGCAAAAGGAAAAGAACTAAAAATTTTACATTTGATGTCTTATTACCTTGGTTTGTTTCAGTCTATCACACTAAGTCTATCACACTTCAAGGACATTATAAATGACAAGATGAAATTAATGACAGCCAATTATAAATGCTCCTAACGAATTTAATTTTGGCATCGCATTATGTTGTTCTTAATTCTTATAGATAAATCATAACATACCTATCACATTTTTCATGGTATAACTTAAATGTAGTTGAGTAAACTTTTGATTGTAGCTTAATGAATTGCTATTGCTAAATCCTCAAAGGCTATTGAGCAAATTTCACTATTTGTCAATTATCTATTTTGTGATAACAAATTGTCATGTACTTTATGCATATTTTTCTAATAACGTAAAAGATGCATCTCTATCAAAAGCAAAGCACATAAAGAAAGAAACGAAAATGTAAGAATATTCTCTAATTTCTACTCTTTATTTCACATGCAATATAAGAAAATAAATATAAAGTAATAAAAAAGAATAAAAAATAAACATAAAAAATGTCTGTGTAAGAAAAGTTATATAGTATCATAAGTATAATTCAACTAAAAAATCCAAGTTAAATTATCAACTAATCTCTTTCTCAAAATGACAATTTTGTTTATGCATAAAGTATATAATCATTAATATTGTCGTCTTAATTATTCGTAAAATTACCAAAAAAAAAAAAAAAAGAAAAGCTTGAACGAAAAATTTGTACAGAATAATCATGAGAAGGTATATGTATCGAGAGTTTCTTCGCGTTTTAAAAAAGGGAAAGAAGAAAAGAAAGAAAAACATATTCCATCACTATGTACAAGCAGCGAGCTTATGTACTGCTCTTATGAAACTGGTTAAGGCTATCAGAATGAATGTACATACAACCTTGGCTCGAAGTTGTGAGGATCAGGCTCAATTCCTGTACCGATGTGACGACTTCTTACCGTCGCGATGACCTGACCTGGATCGCGATTTTCTACTGCGATCCCGAGACCTCGATCGGCTCCGTCGCCGGCTCCTGGAAATATAAGATCTCGATCGCCTGCGCGAACCCCTCGAGCGGCTGCGCGATCTTTCCCTGCCGCCGCCGCGAGACCTTGAACGTGATGTCGCGGTTGTTCTTCTTCGCTTCCCATGCGACTTGCTGCGGGAACGGCTTCGTCGTCTGTCCCTGGAGCGTGAACGGGATTTCCTCTTGCCGCGGGAGCGGGAACGCGACGACCACTTCCTGCTGGCGATAGTGGTGGACGCTGATCTGGAGCGTCGGCTACGGGAGCGCGAGCGCGACTTGGCGCGCTTACGGTTGCGCGATCGTGATCGATGTTTCCTGTCGCCGCCGCCATCACCGCTAGACCTGTGATTGCTGGAGGACCGTGAGCGGTAGTTCTTGCGCGACTTGACCGCCGATCTCGAACGTGATCTTCGCTTGCGCGAACGTGCTTCAGAAGAGCGTGATCTGGACCGCCTGGAGGACTCGTTCCGCGATTTGCTCTTACTCTTGCTTCTGGATTTTCGTCGTCGATGATCTCGCTCGCGCGATTGCTGCCGCTGTTGATGCTGCTGCTGTTGCTGCTTGGCCGAGCGTTTGTTATTGGTCTTCTTAGTGGACTCATGGCTGCTCGACTCGGAGCTGCTAGCCGAGTCGGAGCTGCTCGACTCGGAATCGGCCGATCCCGAGACAGTGCTGTTAGTTTTCGTCACGTTGTCGGTCGGCGCATTATTCTGCGTCGCCATTGCAGACGTCGCCGTCGCCGCTTGTGGACTTTGGCCATCGCTCGACAAAGTTTCGGATGCTTCTCTCTGATTATTTACCGTTTCTTTTTCATCAACTAAAGTGTGACGTGACGGAGTTACACTCGATTGCCCAGCGGCCGCATACGGTTGTGTTGTCTGTCAAAACATACCTGACTCTCTGCAGCTAGTATTACCGGTATGATTTTCCTGTTGCTTATTATACTGCTCCTCGTAACGCTGCTCTTCCCGCTCATCCTCCTCAGCAAGCCGCGCCTCGATCTCCTCCTCCGTCTTACGAAACGCCTGCTGCCTTCGTCTCACTGTTTCCTGTGAGATTGATATGCAGGTATTTATTTCTTCTCGAGGAAACATATTCTTTGAGCATATAGCGTGAATGATGATGGGCTTGTTCTTTATTGTTACACTTCTTGGTCCATTTAACAATCTTTTTATTTTCTTCTCTCTCTCTCTTACAAATGTGGAGGAAATATAAATGTATAAATACATTTGATATATTTCCTCCACAAGTGTGGATATATCAAATGTATTTATTTTATTTACAATAGATACATTTCAAATGTATCTATTCTATTTTAAATTCCATAATGCACTATAACTCAATGCAGCAATAAAGGACAGATCTACCTTGAAAAAGGAAAAGGAAAGTATGTTAGAAACCGCAAAAAGACATACAAAGTTCAGGCATATATTTTGATACTGAATATTGATATTTTGATGATGAGTGAGAACAATAAAGATATATAAACGAGGAGATATAAAAGTGATGGAGGAAAACAAAATAAAAAAGGAAAAATTAACACAAAAATAAAAAAAATAAATATAATGAACATCTTTAAAATGTATCACACAGATTTATTGTTTCATGTAATGAGCCTTTAATAATAATTATGAGAGTATTATGAATTAAATAGAATAGTTGATGTGGGAAAAGAATCAATTAGAAAATAACAGAAATACATCGAATGAAAAGAGAAACAGACCATTAAACGTAACCACTTTTTGCCTCCTTAAGAGTAATTCATTAAAATGCTCACCATCAGTTCCTCGTCGCTGTCGTCGTTCTGAACTTGCTCGCCCTGCTCTTCCTCGGAATCGCTGTTACTGTCGCCGTAGATGCCCAGACCTACGGCATACAGAACCGGAATTACATCCGCTCCCTATGCGTGACACGGCTTTCTCGGAGTCGAAGTGGCAAAAAAGAAGAAAACAAAAAGAACATACGCTCGGCTCCGATTAATTTTCGCAGCCGCTACTTTCATTGAGAAATGTCCTGAGACAGAAAGCCAGAGAGACGGACGTCTCTCTCGCGGTTGTAGTGATAAATCTCTACGACCGAAATGGTTGTACAATGTTAACACGGTTAACGCCAAATGCGGCGTGCATGCGCACAGTAACCCGTCTTTCTTTCATTTTTTTTTCTTTCGTTCTTTTTTTTCTCTCTGTGACGAGTTACTGCGCGTTGTTTCGAATTCGGCTGTTCCCTAAAGGACGCCGTTGGGCGCGTTGGTTACGCTATACAATGTCGAGCGTACTCACCGAGCTTGCGAGTGATCTGAGCAAGAGGGGCCATGTTGTTGAGGGATGCGACGGGGATCTCTCCTGCGGGGACTTACAATACACACGCATTTAGTAACCAATCGCTAAAAGTGCTACCGCACTGAATGAATTGAATGGCTCCGAATTGGCTCATTCGTGGGAGCGAATCGTCCCCCTCGTCCCCTCGTTTCCATTTCTCTACCTTAAGAAATCTTTACAGCATTATTCCACACTTACAAGTCGAACTACGGTATTCTATACGCAGGTAAAAGACATTTGCGGAGACAGCGATCATTCTGCACGCGGATTATAACAACGCGACTGGACTCCACGGGACGGAACCTGACGGATAGAGAAGTTCCACGAAGCTTCACGGGAGACGTTAAAAGGACACTTGTAAGGACTGGATCGCAATTAACGGTAAGTTTCGATTATTCGAAAAGCTAAGCGGCGATATGTGCCCGTGATGTAAAATATGTGGGTATACGAGTTTCCTACTTTTAAGCATTGCATCTGAAATATCGTGGGCCATTGTAATAGCCAAGCACATCTTAGCCGAAATAAATACCGATTATAGATTCTAAAGAGTGTTTACGCCATGGAATAATGAATATATATCGAAGTGTCTTTCTTACATTTCAAGATACGACACACGCGAAAATGCGTAAAAGCAATCACGGAAAGGAAAAGATATACCTTAAGATACACGCAAATCCCTGAAAACGCAAAAAAAAACCAACAGGATGTCACCTGAATAATGTCTGATGTTGCCTGAATAATTAAGTCTACGCATTAAGGAATGCTCTGTTTAATACTCTCAAATTCGTATTACACAATCGCATAGCTTGGTTGCAGTATGGCGCGAATAAGTTCACTGAATTGGGCTCCGCGCGCCGACGAGCGAAAGTACGGAAATTCAATCGGTTAGTTCTATCGTGTGTATCTGGGGTACCTTTGGTACGTGCGTGGCTCCAAACATCTCTGCACACCGCACCGATCTCTTCATTCGTCACTTCCAGTAGTATTTCTGTCAATGACCTACGTACCTTCAACATCTGTAAAGTAAAAGTTGCGATGATCATCATATCTGATAAATATCAATCATTAGTCGATTGTTGTCAGTTGTATTAGGTTGATTTCGAAGTATTTTCCACGGTTGATCAATGTTTCTGATAAAAATGTTCTTTTAATCAACCAAATAATTTATCCAGGTTTTAATTAACTTTCAAATCGAATAACTTATAACAAATGCATTTTGCCATATTTTCAATGTTAATATATAGTTAGAATGCGATGAATTTTCTTCCACTTACTATATTTTGCATGATCTCCTCTCGAGAAAGTTTCGGCACGACAGGAGGCGCGCTAACTGCGGCAGTAGGACTTTCGTCGGCGACCACATGAGATTCGGGTGAATCCGCATCTCTGAATCGCGACTTTCGCGGTCGAAGCACAATGTCAGGGGTGCGATCATAACTTTTTTCTACAGATTGTTGCCCGCGCACATTACTCGTATCAAACTCCTGTTCCGTTTCTTTATCCGAGTCTGAATCCTATAGCACAGAAACAGCAACAAACGCTGTATAATATGCATATAGTGAAACTCACTGCCGCGTCACAAAAATCACGTACAAATTTGCTTCTGCTGGGATTGAGTACAGCGCGCGCCTCGTCTTCGGCCTGTTTACGAGCCTCTAACTCCTGTTTCCTGAGTATCTCTAACCTTTCCCTTTCCACAGCTTTTTGCTTTTCTTTTTCCATTTTTTCCAGTCCTTCTCGGAGCCATGCTGGTAGCTGTCGCCGCTTGGCAGCATCTGTATGTACACATGACACAAATGACACGTAACATATTATGTCATATGTCAAAGCTTTCTATTGTCTTTACCTATAGTTGTAGTGGTGTCCTCCTCTGGAGTCTTTTCTCTGTCATCTCGACATCGAGCTGGATCTATCCCTCTCATATGAGATGCTCTGTTCATATGTCTTATACCCTTCATGAAACCAGGTGGCTGTGATGGTACTGTATTAGGTGGCTCTCCAGACCAATAAGCATTGGTAACCTGAATAAATAACCATTTAATAAAATACTTTGCTTGAGTATGATTCATTTAATGCTTGGCTATGATTTTTAAGTATGATTCATTTAATACTTTGGCTTTCACAATAGAGTCGATAGCACCGTTTTTCTTTATTATTCCTTTACCTGATTATATGATTGTGCAGGAGATACTGAATTGTATGAATACATTGAAGGTGCAGGTGGAGGTGTATTAAAATCAGTAGTAGTAGATATTGTTGGAGCTGGTGGTATTACTGGTACAGCCGGAAGTCCAATAGGTTTCCCATCAGGACCTACCGTGACACCAGGAGGAGGTACTCCACTCCATTCCCAGTTTCCTGTTCCAGATGTTGAACTGTTCCAATTATCCCACTGATTCCATTGATTCCAGGCTTCTGTTAATATTAATATACAAACAGTATCATATAATGTACCAAAGGGATGTGACAACTAATTAAATACTAATAAAACTAACTAATAAAATTAACTAATAAAATATAATTTCCTTTTATAAATCATTTTATATTAAGAACTTATAAACATCTGTTATGTACTGTTAATAATGAAGTCATCAAGATTATATGTTTTTACTTACCTGATCCACTGATATTTGGAGCAGGTGGAGCAGGAGGTACATCGTCATCTTTAGTATCCATGTCCATGGGTGCTTCGCCACTGCCGTCATTTCCTGGACATATGGTATTAATAGCAGGTGGTGGTGGTGCTGGTGGTACAATTGTCTCTTTCATTTTTATCCATTGTTGTGCCAGTGCTGCCCAGTCCACTGTTTCCAAAGAAACAATCAGTTATGGTTCATACATATATAACACAAAGTTATACATTGCTAAATTATAGCATAACTGTATACAAATCAGGTTACCTTGATCATTACTCATGTTTTGATAAGCAGAAGGATTAAGAGCCCACTGAGTTGGATAATCTTTCCCCTCAAACATTTCACCGCTCATCTTCATCAACAGCTCTGCAGAGAGCGGGGAAAGAAGGGGAGAAGACAGAGAAGGGAAGGAGGGGGGAGAGAGAGAGAGAGAGAAAGAGAGAGAGAGAAAGAGAGCAAGAGTGAAAGATAAGTCCTTAATTCAGTAGTGTAATCAATCTATTGCCAAAAAAAAACATATTCTAATCATTTTAGCCCGTTAAAGCAAATTCCAAATAATTAACAAAAGCGTCGCCCGACTTGTGCGACAGGAGAGTAGCATCCCCGCGCTTCTTCTGATCACTCCCGCGGCGTCGATCGATGTTTTAATACAGTCTTTGACGAATGTACCACGTATGTAGCGTGAGATTTTTGGTCAACACTTATGCACTATGACACAATTAATCGTTTATTGCTAGCCGAATCAACTGAAGCGATTGGACTTCATTTCGATCAAAATGACCCGAAATCGAGATGAAATTCTAGCAGCACTCCCGGGAATATTTTAGCGGAAAGGTGTCAAACATCTTGCCGATTCAGCCTGATCTTAGCCGCAAAGTATTGTGGGAACAGTCTGGCCATCATTGGAATATTATTTCCTAAATACTATTTTTACACAATTATTAATTGAGCTGGGTGACGATCACGTAACTTATTCTTAGGAGTGAAAAGTACAAAATTTTATGTATAAAAAGACTCATATTTTAATATCTCCATAAAAAGTTACATGGTCGATAATAGAATTCTTGATTGAAACAGTTTGAACTTTTTGGGAGAAAGTGACATTGCAGTTTCTAGCCTATCACAGAACTCATAATTGCTAATCAAACCCGCTTTAATTAAAACTGCTGTAAAATCAGCGAGTGCATGTAAAATTATCTACTTTTTGTTTTCGTTTCTAACAAAAGTTACATAATCGCTATTTTGATCTTTTATTATAAGCAGTGATGTAGCGAAAGTCCCAACAATTTTGTTTGATTTTAGCCAATCACACGCTGGGATAGAGTTTTGATGTACTTTTGAACGTATCCAATTCGATGATCTAACCTGTGTTACGGCCATTTTATTTCGCCTTGCGTAAAGTGTCTTCACAGACAGTAAGTCGCACGGCTTTAATATTATTTTCCCGTTTTTGCACATCCTGACAGTTAATCTACGACCAATACTGTACTGTAACACAATCTTAATTATATAACGTAATCACCCCTCATATTGTGACCATTTTTTTATCACACATTCCCCTTTTTCGGCTCTTAGTTATCTTCATTATCAGTTAGGTAACTCGTTCACGCACACGATCGTACACAATTTCGGAACTAAAAGCCAAATCCCTCAAAGGTTGACATTTCTTTACAAAAATTATGAGCGTAATATTGTGACAAAAAACTCTGATTTAATTTTGTGTCATGTGACAAATGATTAGTTTGAAGGCAAATCAGATCAATACATGTAAAAATTATGTCAATATGTAAAATACATACATACATGTGTTGAATTAAAAGTTGATTTGACGAATAAAATTAAATCTATAAGAACTTATGTGACAAATTATAAAATTATAAATAATTATATAATTATGAATAAATTATTTAATGCTACTAATATAGATAATAAAATTTTTAAATGGCAACTTAATTTTTTATGTATTTTATGGAGTATAAATACTATTGTTGTATGCATTTTTGTAAGGGTTTAATAATAAGAGAGACTGAACATTGCGATTGAGAATATTGTACCTTATGTATTGTTTCATATAAAATTTTAATTAAAAATAAATTATATTTTTCAAGGAACAATGGCAGGCAGATTTTTAGCAAATCGCTTGCGGCCTATGATAATACAAAGTCGTGGACTATTTACAGAAGATAGAATTGGGAATAGAGATGTTGTGGGTTTTGGCTACAATGGGGAACCGACCTATTTGGATAGATCAGATTTTCCAATGCCTGCAATCCGTTGGAAAGAGAATACTCCTGATATTATGGTAAGTAAGAAACAACCACAAAAGTTCAGTAATCTCATAGATAATATATGAATAATATATATATATATATGGATTCACAATTGTCAAACTGTTGCTGTTTTTATACACGCAGGCTCTGAGAGAAAAGGAAAAGGGAGACTGGAAAAAGTTAAGCATTGAAGAGAAAAAGGCCTTGTATCGTGCTAGTTTTCGCCAGACATTCAGTGAAATGGATGCTCCGACAGGCGAATGGAAAGGCATGATAGGAATGAGTATGTTGGTTATAACCAGTGGCATATGGTTATACTTATACTTCAAAACGTTTGGTACGTTTTTATCAACTATTAATGTGACACAAACATCATCGACTCCAAGTCAATGAAGCATATGTACAAAGAGCTTGTACTAACTGATTCGGATTATTAATTGTAATGTTAACATTTTTCTTTGCAGCATATCCACCATTGCCAGAAACACTCACGGATCCAGAGCGCCGATTGGCACAGTTAGACCGTATAAAGAAACTCGACATGAATCCGATTGATGGCATTTGTGCTCGAAAGTAAAATTAATTAGTCTCTACTCCAATATTTAGTAATTGTACAGTAAACCATTTTCTCCTTAAATATTGTGCTTAAATACTGTATGTCATGCCTGATGTGACAAAATTTGAATAAATGCCATGGATACGCGAAAAAATTATTCGGCATTGAGAAAAGTATTTGTTATTGAATTCATAATAGCACTTGTTACAATATAATACATGACATTAAAAATTATAAAAATTAAAAATTATAAATTACATTAAAAATGCGAATGTAAACTGCTGGATCACGTTAAATCTGATTGAGAAGAAAAAGGTAAGTAAGGTTTATTTAATCTCTGTACATTTTCATATTCGCTTCAAATTAGATATATGTATACAAACTTATAAGTAGATAAATGTATGTATATATGTGTGTATATATACATACATACATACACACACATGTATGTATGTGTATGTAATATATATATATAAGTACAAATCGCTGCCAGAGAGATCAATGATTCCTAGATCAAATTTAATTTAATATCGCATAGTCGCCATCTCCCCTGCTATCTTATTTTCTTTTTCCCTCGTGCAAATTTGAGAAAGAAAAAAAAAAACACAAATAGAATGTTACTAAAGCGCTAGAGCAATATTATTGCAGATCATAAATTCAGTATATATAATAATTAAATAATACTTTCACAATCTCAACGATTGCAAGACGACAAATATGATTCTACAAACGTAAGACGTAATTACTTATCATGTTACATCGCACATTACATTATCGCTTATTTAAAAATATATTCACACGAATATAAATACGATTATATATCAAAATTTTTGCAAAATACGGAGACTATTATATTGCTATTAAGAAGTCTAAACGGTCTACCTGGTCTTATAAATAATAGCTGTGAGGTAAAGTCGCTTTCCTTAAAGTATACGAACGACGAGAAATAATTAGGATCAGAAATCGGCATCATTCATATTTATTAAACTCTTTTTTTCTTTTTTTTTCCTTTTTTTTTTTACAGAAGTTCCAATAAATCGGGAAATTCGATAAATATGAGTGATTACGAAGTTTCCTTATCAAACTCTCAATGATTACGAAATTCTGATATTTATAAAAAACACGTAATTTGCTGAGGATCACTAAGCGCGATGATAATAATAGTTACATAGTTTTAAAAATGTAGTATGGCTTTTTATAATGCTCTTTTTACAGTGTAACATTTAAATTATATATTTATATATATTTATATATATCTTCTTAAGCAATTGACAATTTAATTATTAAATTCAATCACAGCATACAATATTACATTACGAAAGAGTTTTAAGTTAAACAATACACGGAATACTGGATATAAGAGTGTTACATAATTTAAAATGGCTCAAAAGCTATATTTCCTCAAATCCCGTGGCTAAACTAAAGTTTTTACAGGGGTAATCTTTGCACCGCACATTAAAAACTGTTGAACACAAAAGTGCAGCTGCACCGTAAAGAATTTTAATCTGACATCGTAATTAGAGATTTGTTGCAGTAAACGCTTTATTTTCTTTTTCTCTCTTTCGTTCTCATTAGTTATTGCGTCAACGGAATGTAATATTCGTAATATTCGACAATGAACTACACCTACTATGATCGAAACGTAACATACGGAGCTTTTAAGTAATGTCAAGGCCTTTTCACGTATTGTCATATACATAAGTTTCATCAAATGCAATGTAAGATTCATAAATATCAGATTCCTTGTTCTCTTTTTTTCTTTTTATATAATATAAACGTGTACTTTTTAATTATCTGATATAAAAATAATACATCATTGTTCAGGGAATATTGGATAAGAATTACGAACTAACATTAAGAAATTAACGTTTCTGTACAAAAGAGATAGCTAATTTGCAAGAAAGTTGTTGCTACGAAATAGACTGCCAAGATTCGAAGCGTGTCATCACTCTCTGTCAGTATAATATATATATTAAGCTAGAGTTTTTAAAAAAAAGTTTTAATCAAAATTTTATTATTTTTTTTACCTTTTTTAAATCACCAGTATATGAATCTGCAATTTTATTAAAATCTGAAAAAACATACCAAAATCTTCCGACACAACGATACTAAGTATACGTTTGATAGAGAAAAAAAATAAGATAGAAAAGGAACAGTTATTCACTCTTATAAGATATGGCTTTATCCGCGAATTTATACGATAAAATCACTGTAACAAACACTCTATTTCAAATAATTACAAAATAAAAAAGAAAAAAGATTTAGAAGGTAACTCTTAGACTTATTGTTCTATGTTTGATGATGTATATTACAATATGTACATTAGATAAGTCTCAATATCACCGAATTCGCTGTCACACATCCCCTCGTTATAAGAATATAGTTTCATATAGAAAACTAAGTTTTTGTTGTCACTATCTCAGCGTGTTTCACAGTTTTGTGTGAAGTTCCCGAGAAAAATGTACCGCAACTTATATCGGTGTGTACGTTTCTATGTGTGAATGTGTATGCGCGCGCATATGTATAAATGTGTATGTATATATGTATGTATATGTATGTACGTGTGTACTTTTTTGTATCATATAAATGTATTACAATACGTTTAATTATGGCTGTGAACACAATTGCTATTCGAAGATGGCAATAAGAATCGTCTGATTTCGTAAACGATAATGTTCAAGAATGTTATTACACTTGTTTCCGGGTACCGTTTATATTATAGCCTGTGTAATAAAAGTGAAGTATAAACGGAGATCCTATCTCGATTCGCGATCAAAAATTCTGTACGTCTTTCTTTGGTATGTAAACTTTCGTACAGAGCAATATATAATTGTGGCAAACTGAAAAAAAGAAATATATGTATACATGTATAGTTACTACTTGGGCATTCTTGTCTGCGCAAGAATCGTAACATTTTCATAAACCATAAGCTCTCTCTCCCTCTCTCTTTCTTTTTCCTCTCTTAGAATTGTGGACATTGTGCCCATACTGTACATCGAGTTGAAAATAAAAGAAGATAAAGAAGAGTCGCGTAGGATAATTCAGTTGTTACGTGACCGACGATAATCGCTGTCTTTCTATCACACAGTTATGATATTGAGCTCGCTACTTAAGTGACGGAAGTAATGTCCAAAATTATCGCGCACGTTTCATCACCGTACACAATCTCCGGTTCCACGCTGCATCGTACACTGCTTCTTCCTTTTCACCGTGGTTTGCCTGGAGCTTGGACTGTGACTAGTATTGTTGTTGTTATTGTTATTATTATTTCCATTACTATGGAGTGGATGTTTGGTCTTGTTTTGACCGGTTATATTGATGTTAACGCGATGATGAATACCTTTGTAGTTCTGTTGGTGATTCCCTATAACATCAACAAAATGATAACATGAAAAAATACCCAGCATGCGATATTTTTCATACAACCAGACATTCGCGAGATCCGTCAAAACGGACAATATATAAATACGGGGATTGTATTAGAATCACTTGTGCTTGTCGTACCATAAATAGTTGCTGCTTTGAAAGCTTTTCTCCCTGGATAATGATGTATTTGCTGATTATTATAAAAAAGCCTATCTTTGTTTTTATCGTTGTCGTTCTTTCCGCCAGTGTTCGGAGAATTGCCACGGCTACATTCAGAGTCCTTAGATAAAAAAGGAATCGCTATTAAAAAATCTTATCTATTTAAGAATATGTACGCTTATACAGTAGGCAGAATTATAAATAAATTGTTGTAAGATATAAAATAAATAGGTCAAAAAAATTTAGATATGGCTCGATTCTTTATTTTTACATACTATTTGTTGTAATCTGGAATGTGATTCTTACCGTATCACTGGCGGGAGCTGAAAGAGTGGATGCATCAGAACCAGTTGAGCTTGATAGAGAGTCTCCCTCACTCAAAGGTAGTAGGAATGTTTCTTTAATCCATCTACGGTAATCTATCACTTCGTCGGTCACACGAATTATTCTTCCCAGTATGCTGTATAACAATAAAAGTATCGTTGCTTTACACAATTAACAATATACAAATAATCGATAAGAAAATAACGTCAAGACAGATGTCGTAGACATTCTATCAGTTGAACTTACCTTACTTTACTGGCGTCATTAATTAAAATATTTAAAGGACTGACTGCTTGAGAAAGGACGAAATAGGCCCAATCAAATGCATCTTTTACATACAAAGCACCATAACTACTGCGGCCGATATCGTTGCCAGGTGTGAGTGGATCTTCTATGCACAACAGAGACGGTCGATGACCGTCTATCATGTCTCGCTGTACCTGTCAATCAATTGTAAGTAATCAGTATCGTGCCGTTTTCACGAATATAGGGCGCATTACTGTAAAATATAAAGTAAGAACCTCTTCTTTAGATATGTAAGTACCACCGTCCTTTACACGTATGCCAGTCTTAACATAGTTGAACTTTCTACCATATAACTCTAGAAATTCGATTAACAGTACTCCCAGGTTGGCGTTCGAACAGTAAGCATTTTGCCTCGGGTGTAACTAACGAATAAAAATCATTTAATTCAATAAAGAGCATTGATATTTGTTTCTTATGAGCTATTAATAATTATTGACAACGAATGCATGTCTTTCTTTCATTTATGGCAACTGTACTCACTTGTAAAAAACTGATGGTCATGAGTATTAAACTGTACGACGATATACCACCGGTAAACACTTCGTTAAGATCTCTCTGCAGTAGGAATTGTTTCAATACCATGACTAGTTTCTCGAGTACTGGGTATTGCCTCTTGAAAGAGTTTATTAGTTCCGCAGATTTGACGCCGTTATTCATATTGAAACTGATGTCCACCTTAATCTCGCTCTCTTTGTCGGTCAGTTTGACGATCGGCACACTGGCTTTATCCAACACTTTAATAGAAGATGGCTCAGCGATATTTTGATCTAGTAAAGCACGTTCCAAAGTACGTAATGGCAGATTTTTCCACATTCCTATTACTACCAAATCTATGTCACTGTAATGACAAAACTTTCATGAGAACACAGAGGTACATCTATGAATAATGGCAATTTTTATTGTATATTATTGATGTACTATTATTGTTGCTCTATATGTTTATTTATTTTTTATTTACTGTTTGAATTAAATATTTAAGTAATTTGATATCTAGAAATTTCTCAAGTTATAATTGACAATAGCTTTCTCAGTATTATACTGCAAACAAACAAAAAATGATAAGATGAGTCATCATTTTCACCAAGTCAGTTATTACACTAATATGTGTAATAGTACATACAATATGCATAATATATGATTATATGCAATAATATATACCTTGTAGGCAAATATAAACCGGTGCGAAAACTGCCAAATACCTCGACTTTAGAGTCTGGCCAGAGATCATAAATTACATATTCTATTCTTTTTACAACTCGCATTCTTAAAACATGTTCTTCGTGTGATGGACACATATAAGCAAAGAAATCTTCTATCTCTTCATGTAATCTAAACAAAACATATAACTATTCAATGCACCATATTACAAAGAATCAGTTTATTATTTTTATTACTGAGATGTAATATATTTCTTTTTCTCAGTTGTCGATTTAACACACATCTTAAACATTTAAATATCAATCTCACAAGATATCATTCACAAAATACTTCTTATATAATAAATTGTTAATGTTGCATACAAATGATACATCCATTGGTTCTATGAAAATTTGAGAAAGCATATATTATAATACTCAAGTTGTTTAATAAATGACTTTTATATATATATGTATGTATGCTAATCAAGTATGGACAAAAGAATATCAGTGAAACCTACAAAAAACTAACGCTTATTCCACTTTTATATGCTGACAAAAGTAAAGGCATCTAACAAATGCAAATGTAGTTTACAATAGATATTAGAAGATATGTTATCTCTGCATCACAATATCTTTGTCTTGTCTCTTGATGTATTTTGGGGTCAAAAGGGAACATATATCTTTAGAACCATATTTCCAAATATACTGAATGTGTTTACAATTTTTTCATCCTTGTCTACCAGCTTATTGTTACAATGATACAGCTCTTCAAACTTTCTGCAGATTACGACTTTATTTGTAAATCTGTATAAATTAACGTTTCGCACATTTGGCAATTCCGTCGACAGCTCCACGATGAAGAAGTTTTTGTCGGCGATATTTAAATCCCAAAATGTTACGCGCTCAGTATCCGGTCTTTCGTTCCTCACGTAGACGTATCGTCCTGAGTATTGTCTCAATGTGCTCGGTACGTTGAAACCTAACCTAATTCTAACCGACATGGACTACATATACGGTCCGCGACGCATCCCGAATATGGTACATATACATATCGATATGCCGGATTTACTTACCCGATCACACCTTTGGAGTAATGCTTGTTCGGCATACGCCAAGGGCATCCTCCGTATTCGCCGACTAGGGCGTCGTAATTGTAGTTCATGCCGTAGGTGCTAGCGCGATTATCGCTTTTCCTGCGCGACGGGTTATAGTAACTGTTGCAGCAAGCGTTGTGGGGCACGCGGTGCTCTCCGTTGCTGGCGACGGCAGCGGTGGGGATTGTGCGGCCGTTGCCGCCGTTGCCACCCCCGTTATTGGCATTGCCGTTGCCTATACCGCCGATGCCGATGCCGCCGCCGAAGCCCGCGGCGGATGACGGCGTGTTGGCGGTATTGGTGCCTGTGCCAGTGCCGCCGATGCCGGTCGCCGTCGAGCTCGTCGTGTCCAGCGCAAGGAAGTCCTGCTGCAGCCGCACGCCCATCGTATTCGCGGGATCGTTACGCAGGGTCAATACGTCAAGGCCCTTCTCAGCCTCCCAGATATGCAACCACAGATCCTTGGCGGGGCCGTACTGCTCCGGTTGGTACCAACCGATGGTCGGATCCATTAAATTGGCGCCCGGGACGGGGGATCCGCAGGTCTCCTCCGTGCGTGCGTGTATGTGTATATGTGTATTGTGTGCGCTTATATATATATATGTATGTGTGTGTATTGTATATATATATATATGTTGGTATGTGCACGAGTGCGTGCGGAGTGTATGTGGACGCGCGTTTCTCTCGACGCTGTGCGTGCGTGCGTGCGTGCGTGCGTGCGTGCGTGAGTGAGTGAGTGAGTGAGTGAGTGAGTGAGTGAGTGAGTGAGTGAGTGAGTGAGTGAGTGTGTGAGTGAGTGAGTGAGTGAGTGAGTGAGTGTGTGTGTGTGTGTGTGTGTGTGTGTGTGTGTGTGTGTGTGTGAGTGAGTGAGTGAGTGAGTGAGTGAGTGAGTGCGTGCGTGCGTGAGTGCGTGCGTACGCGCGAGCGTGCGGGCGGTTAGTCGGTCGGTCGAACGGTCGAATGGTCGAACGGTCGGTCGGTCGCACCACACACACTACGTCGCGTGTCACTTTCTATCGCGCGCGCCGCTCGTTCACCCGGCGAATTCCTCTCCTGTCACTCTCGAGTGAGCCCTCGACACTGTCGCGTTTATCAACGCACCGTATCGCTACTGTTCGGTCGATCGGTCGGCTGGTCGGTTGATCGGTCGTAACCTGCGAGACACTAAACTAAGCGAGATTCATACGCGCACAGCCGAGAAACACGACGACGATCCGAGCGCGAGCCCGAGAGTCGCCGACGATACCCGATTAAGGCCACGGGGACAGTTTTCGCGAGGGAGAAAGAGAGAGGGAGATTGATCGCGCGGCGCGTCGCGGCAGTCGCGGAACCAGTTCGCGCTCCAGTTCGCGATACGTGGAAAAGCGCCCATCGCCTATCACCCTGTCGCTAGGGTAGTGGGAAATCGATCACTTGATCCTTTCCACTGAATGTAGCCATTGCCTTATTCCCGGGGGCCAATCGTGAATTGTCTCTCTCTAGCGTGGACGCGTCTCTAACGTGGAAGGGTAAAAGAAATATTCTATTGTTTCAAATTTGAAGATTAATCAGTCTTCGCGAGATTTCACGCTAGAGAAAAAGCGTTCACGATCGAGCCCTTGCGGCGCGTGTGCGCGTTTGAGCGGATCTTTGCGGTGGAAGTGCGCGAATCCTTCGCAGTTGGCAGCACATGACGTCGTTGCGTGCGTTAGGTTGCTTATCGCGTATCCGCGCGAACTTTGTAAATTTGCAACGGCTCACAACAATTGTATATTTGTGGTGTTAGGTTAGATTAGATGCATGTTGATGCGATTGATTTGAAATTCATGGGTTATGTACCCGGCGGCAGTGGGTCCGATGAGGAAGAGCGTTTTGTGCGATCCATCGTCAATTGACACACCGTGATAATGGCAAAATTGAATAAATTTGTTCCTAAGATTGTACGAGGTTTCGTGCAATGTGCATGCGTGACGTATTGCGTGTATGAATACGTTGGAGATATCGTCGTGGTGAGTGTATTAATAGTATAATGTAGCATTGTTTTGAGAAATTTTCCTCTGTTGAAAATTCTGATATTTTGCCTGACACTGTTGGATTTCATTTCTGTAATTCTATACTATCAAGAATTGCTTCTAAGAGAGCTCTCTTTTTCTCTTGAATTTCTTATGTAACTTTTGCAAAATCAAGGATGATATATAATATAATATGAAAATACTCACACAGTACAATTCAGAGTGCTTTTTTATTCAAAAAGGAGACTGCAACATTATAGTATATGTGGCTACTTTGTGCCAATTGATTTTGGTTTATGTGTTACTCAATTTTTCATGTATTATAGTGTACTGGACCATCTATGGAACCTACATTATATACTAATGATGTATTACTCATGGAACGAATATCTGTAAGGTTACACAAGCTTGACAAAGGTGACATTGTCATTTCTAAGTGTCCCTCTAATCCAAAGCAAAATATATGCAAGCGAATTATAGGTCTGCCAGGAGATAAAATTTGGAATAATTTTAGTATAACAACGGTAATCTGTAATGATTTTACCTTTTTAAGAATTGTACATATATTGCTTGTGATTTCTCTTGGTTTATTGTATTATTACAAGTTATAGCTAAATAGAAAAATATTAATCAGGATTTTGTATATTGATTAACAATATTGGCTTAGGTACCTAATGGACATGTATGGCTAGAAGGAGATAACAGCAATAATTCTACAGACTCTAGGATATATGGGCCGGTACCTCAGGGATTGTTACGCGGCCGAGCTATGTGTAAAATATTGCCATTGAGAGAGATAACACTGTTCACAACTAAACATGTGACCTAAATTGATCATATATGTCTGATATCTATTTTTGTAGATATCTATTTTTGTTAACAAAGTATTTTGAAAATACCTAGTAAGTTATTTAAATTATATAGTGTAGCCTCTGGTTATATATAATTATATTTATTTGGACATTGTATGTGTTATTATATTTAAACAAATTTATTCTTCACTGATATGTCTAGGCATTTGTTTTACTTATTAGAATTTGGCAATATCAATGTGTCATGTACCTCAAAATGTATACTATGTTAAAATCTGACTTAAATTATTTGTCTTAATGATTGTAAAATATCAATTTAAAAAGCAAAAAATTATATGTACCATTTTTTATAGTATATTCCATCCACATATTTTTATTTAAAATTATGTTTAGGTATAATTGTGTACTTAGATATAATTCTTAATATAAACCAATAAAATTTGCATATGAATTATAGATTCAAAAATCTGCAAGACTCATTCAATCATTGAATTCAAACTTTACAGAGTTTATATTTTCCATAATGACAATTATAACAATGGTATGTCAACAATGAGATAAACATAGTTTGAAATTGTGCAAAAAACAACACAATATGCTACATTGAAAACAATAAATCTCCTTTATAATCGTTTTTAAACTATCGCGCGTTAATAACCGGACGTATTTTAAGGTTGTGTGAAAGTCAACGAGCTTGATATAAGCAACGCCTATTCGACAAATGGTCAGTACACTCGAAAGTGTCTTGTGATAAACGTCTTGCTGTCACACCAATGTGAGTATTTCTCTCTCTCCCTCTTCTGGTAGACGTAATATCAATAATTTTATTATAAATATCAAGGTGTACCGAAAATTCGTTGGAATATTTATTTCAATGATTATTTGCAAATTAAGGTTAAGTCACCGCTTGAAATTATTTAATATAGGGTGCGGTCCATCAATCGCTACAAATGCTTCGAAGCGTTTTTACTTCTCTCTGTTTCTTCGTTTGCATCCGAGAAATAGAACGAGAAAGAGAAACGCTTCAAAGCATTTGTAGCGATGGCCGGACCGCATTCATAAACACAAGAAAAAACGCCGGTTGGTTGCCAGCGGATTTGTTGCATTATTTGATCAAGAACAATCTAGATAAAACTGAGAATTTTTTCGTTTCATTCATACAATTTATTTTGATCTATGCTTTCTTATTCCTTTTTTGCTTATTTTCAAACTTGAATGTATATATATCTTAAGCTTATATGCAGCTGAAAAAATTGAAAAAAATTTAATTGGCCGTAATGGGAATAAATTCGAATGAATACGCTGTGAAAATGATTTCTCAATCAAGCGATAAAAACGCGATTTTGCCAAGTCAGAGATTAAATTCTGCGGAATTGTATATTACAACTGCCAAAATGACCTTTAAGAATGTCAGATAATATTAAAATGTTAACAAAAGAAATTGTGTTATCTCTCAGATAATATTTGTTTGTGTCAGACTATTTGCATCAGATGTGTAATGTATACTTGAAAAAATAATTTGCCAAGTAAATTATTTATTAACTCTTCGGATTCCGTTACACTTTCTGATCTTTTCTTCTAATGAAACTGTTAACTGATGAAGCTGAACTTTAACCGATTTGTAGTACCAAATTCTTGTTGATTTTTACATAACCTTGAAAAACGATCAATTAACAAATAATCGTACATCGTATACCGTTCTATTAATAATATTATTTTGTTTGTATCAATTCAGATGGCTACTCGGTGGGGAATCGTCAGCGCGGGACTGATCTCGCATGATTTTGTCACGGCGATGAACAGTTTACCGAACGACGAACATGTTGTGGTTGCTGTCGCGGCGCGAAATTTGTCGCACGCGGAAGATTTCGCGAAGCAACATAATATTCAAAAAGCCTACAATGACTATGAGCAGTTGGCCAAAGATAAAGACATTGGTATCTGATAATCAGATGTCAACAGCTTTTTTTCTATTTGTTCCTTTTCAAACCAAATAAAAACAGTTAAATCTAACAAAAGTACCGCTTTGAACAATCGTATTCAATGACTTAAACGATTTGTATTTGAGCAAATATTAAGTGTATTTATTTGTATTCTCAGAAATTGTGTACATCGGCGCGATCCATACTGAGCATTATAAATTGGCGATGATGATGCTAACTGAAGGTAAACACGTGCTGTGTGAGAAACCGATGACGATGAATCCAATAGATACGACGAAATTAATTACATACGCAAGAAACAAAAACTTGTTCTTAATGGAGGGAGTGTGGAGCCGATGCTTCCCCATCTATGACAATATAAAGAAAATGCTCGAAGCTGGTTGTATGGGCGATATTCATCATGTGTCTGCCTCCTTTGGTTTTGATCTTATGGACGTAGATCGAATAACGTTCGTAACATTCGATAAAGACAGTATATAACAAATAAATAGCGAAATAGAATAGTACATTTGAAGGACGATTAAAATGTTTCCTACACATTTGTATTGTTCGATATAATAGCTGCTAATCTGTATCAGACATTGTTATAATTTGTTATAAATTGTTATAACATTGATTACTAATATTCAGAACAATTATTATAGTTGCCGGAATAATAATTGTCAATCTTCCGTATTGTTATTAATAATTTTACTGATAAGATTAAATGTTAAGTTTTTACTCTCATTCAATTTTATATTATTATTGAACTTCTTATTCGGCGATTCTCTCATGTTTTAGTAAAAAAGAGTTAGGCGGTGGTACAGTCCTGGATCTTGGAATTTATTGCCTTCAGTTCGTATCCATGGTTTATAACAACGAGATGCCAGAGCGCATAATAACTTCTGGCTCCTTAAACGAGGACGGTGTCGATATATCCATGACCGCCAGTTTATATTATAAGGATAATCGCTCCGCAACTATTACAACAAGTGCCTTGGTCAACTTGCCAAACAAAGGATACATATGTGGCGCCAAGAATACAGTAGAGGTACCGACCTTTTGGTGCCCAACAAAGCTGATCATAGGAGATACCACCATAGACAAACCCTTACTGGAACTAAAAAATGCTAAATTCAACTTTATAAATTCTATTGGTTTAGCTTATGAAGCTGCAGAAGCTCGTGCTTGCATTCAAAAAGGTGAGATTATTAATGCGTCTCAATCTTAATTGTTAACATTTAAGATTTTTAATTGGAAAATCAAAAATTGACGAGAAAATATATGTGATAATATATTGTTATAAATTTAACTTTTTAGGTTTGGTGGAAAGCCCACATATAACACACGACACATCTTTATTATTGGCAAAACTGGAAGAGGAAATTCTTAAAGCCTTGGGTGTTAATTATTGAGAAAATGTTGCAAAGCTGCATGTTATTGCAAAGCATATAATTTGAATTTATAATATTGTTATATGTACAAATCAGTTTAATTGAATTGCAAATGTTTAATTGAAAAATAAAGCCTTTTTTGCTAAATACTTTTTATGTGTATTATCTAGCATTCTTCACTTTATATTCAAATTCCAATGATTTAAGAAATAATTATTTGAACGATTCGTTTCATGTACATAGAGAAGTTCAATTTCTCGATCGGCAATATCACTGGTGTTATCGAATGTGAGTTTCGTATGTTAAGAAAGAGGGCAACATCAATCTCTGCTGACAAAGCTACTAGCGACACTATTAGTGACTGGATGAAAGAGGAAATTATTAAAACGAAAGAGAAAGACTGAGTGAGAGATATTTAACGAGATATTTACCGCGTAAATTTCTCGTAAGAAGAGATAAAAGAAACTTATGGAGATACTTGAAAATACGCGAGTATCACCGCGAGTATTCACGGCGATACAGAATGTCGACATCAAGGAGCTCTCTTTGTGTTCGCATAAAGATATCAGGCCCATCTTACCGTGTTTGGTTAGAATGAGTCTTATCTCTCCTCTGGATATAACGAGAGAATGTGTAGAGGGTAGAAAACAAGTACTCACGATCCTTTCTGGCATCGAGTCCGTTAACTCCATTATAGCCCTCTTATCTATTGATTTCCATGCACTGGAAACTGACGTTAGAAAGGAGCAACAGTTAAGGTTAGGATTTGTACATGTGTGTACTTGATTCATCCATTTTTTATTTGTTAAAACTGATAGTTTTGATACGTGTTACTGTAACATATATTTTAGAGTATATATTTTAATATTGAATCTTGTTTTTTTAGACAAAAAGCAGGCAGCACACAGCGGGAGAGTGTGTTGGCGCAATCTCTGCAGAGTGGCTTAGCTTTGGAATTTGAGCGTAGTGAATCTACTCGCAGGATTAGATTAGTGTTGTGTGAGATATTGTTTATATCTGCTCAAATTCAGGAACTGCAAAAGAATCAGGAGTTTCAGATCAAGCAATCAGATCTGTTTGACAATGCTGTATATATGGAAGAGATCAGTTATGTCATCTGTATAGCACTGGCAGAATTACCAACCTTATTGTCCATAGTGGATATCATAGAGACCTTGTTGCATGTAAAGCATGGTCCTGACATTATCTGTTGGATAGTAGCTAACAGTCCAGATAGTTTTTCAGAGGTATGTACTCAATTAATTGCCAATGGTGAGAGGCAAGAAGAGTCAGCATTAGGTCGAATTAGAACACAGGCCCTGACAATATTGTGTCAGATGAATCCGAGCCAGTCACTAGCGGTCAGGGCCAAGTGTGTAGAATTATGTAGAATGCCAGCGCTAGCGATCACTCTAAGCCTAGAACACGCAAATACAAACAGCTCACAGCCGTGCGATATAGAGAGCGACGTTGTCGCTTTTGTGTCTGGTCTCTTACTAGGTAGTGATCAGCAAGTGCGTTCATGGATTGCAATGTTTATTCGCAATGGTCAGAAGCGCAAGTGGGAGTCACATACAGCGTTACAATCTCTGCGGGAGGAGTTGTTAAAGCGATTGCAGACTATCGCATCGCACAGTACAGACGGTCAGCTGGCAGAGTCGCAAGTGGTACAAGCGAGCGCATTATTAAGGCTATATTGTGCTCTTCGCGGCATTGGTGGCATCAAGTTCCAAGACGACGAAGTAGCAATGATAGTACAGCTGTTAACATCGCATCCACCTCCGTCACCAGCTGGCGTTCGTTTTGTATCGTTGGGCTTATGCATGCTCATAGCTTGCCCATCGCTGATAGGTCATCACAATCTAGAGAAACGCAGCATAGAGTGGGTGCAATGGCTAGTACGCGAAGAAGCATATTTTGAGAGCGCTAGCGGTGTGACAGCCAGTTTCGGCGAAATGTTGCTACTGATGGCCATACACTTCCACAGCAATCAATTGTCGGCAATTTGCGAGCTAGTGTGCGCCACCTTGGGCATGAAGATACCAATCCGGCCGAACAATCTGACAAGAATGAAACAGATCTTTATGCAAGAGATCTTCACTGAGCAAGTGGTGACGGCGCACGCAGTGAAGGTACCTGTGACGGCGAATCTCAATGCCAATATTCCTGGCTTTTTACCGGTGCACTGTATCCATCAATTGCTGAAGTCACGGGCGTTCGCTAAGCATCGCGTGCCCATAAAGAACTGGATTTACCGGCAGATATGCGACAGCGTGCCGCCTTTGCATCCGGTATTGCCCGCTCTGGTCGAGGTCTACGTCAACTCTATCCTCGTGACGAATACTAAGACGTCGGAACACACGAACAAACCCATTACCGAAGACGAAATTCGCAGGGTATTCCAGAATTGCGCGTTCGGTGCCAATTTTGATGCCAAGAAGAATTCCGCTAGCATCATGCAGGCCGATGTTGACGGTATGGACGTCGACACTACCAAGCCTTCACTCACCTCACAGTTATTATTATTGTACTATCTCCTGCAGTACGAAGATGTAAGATTGGCAAATATGCATACTTTTATATCCCAAGGTAGGAAGGTCAAATCATACTCGGCGGATTTCCTTACCGAGTTGCCGATCAAGTATCTGCTTCAACTGGTTCAGCGTGATCAGATGAATTACGCCAGTCTGTTCTCGCCACTTCTGCGGTTACTGGCTACACACTTCCCTCACCTGTCTCTAGTGGATGACTGGCTGGACGACGAAATGATCAATATAGACTCCGTCATCGCGAGTTATGAGAACATGAAGATCAACGACGCTACAATCATTGAGGCATTCGGCCATATTAAGACTTGTCCCTCGAGAACGGGAAGACTACTGAGGCAATTGATGACACTGAAGCCGACTGAGATCTGGCCTCATGCTGAGTTAATAATACATTATTTTAAGGATATTCTCGATGAACAAGTTCCTAGATACATACAAGGTAAGTTTCTGTTCTTATATGCATAAAAATATCAGAAATATATACATTGTACATATTATGTATAGATTCAATGTATACCACACGTAGAAGTCTTTTCATTTTTCTTCTAAAGAGAAAAGAATGGCAATAAAAACTTAGGCGCTATATTAATTAAAATTAATATTTATTATTGAAGTTTAAACAAAAAGTTACGAATGTTTCTTTTTCAAAATTATATATAAAATAAATTATATAGAAAATATAAATTAATGAGTCATGATGTAAAAGAGGAGAACTTGCTAGAAATTTATCATCAACCATCAGTTTACATTATCCAAAATCTTATTTTTTATCTTATATGAATCTTTTGAAATTTTCAGAACTCTATAAACAAGTGTGGCTTAGGCTCAATACTGTTCTACCACGTTGTCTATGGGTGTTATCTATAAACGCGTTGTTAGTAGAGAATGCAATTGTGAAAAGTGTCTTCTTAACGCAAGATAATATCGTATTAGATCCCCTTCAAGTATTGAGGTGTGACACAAGGGTTTTCAGATGCGCGCCAATCTTATCCGTGGTCCTTAGGTGAGTCAAAACAATTTTAATAAATCAGCAGCGATAAAATACTAAATTAATTTAATTATAGCAAAGCAAGAATTGTTGCAATTTTATCAACCACAAGTGTATTGAACTATCTGGGATTGTTTCGATAGGATATTGCAAGCTACCTTAGCCGCGTCCCGCTCTCAATTATCCAGGCATATGCAAGACAAACCTTTAACCGAAAAAACTGGGCAGTTGACAAGCGAAACGGAAAGAGAGGATTTGAGGATAGCTTTGGTGGCAGGCCAGGAAAGCGCGGCGGTGCAGATTTTATTAGAAGCATGTCTAGAGACGGCGATGGACAGAGAGACCCCTGGTCAAATGTGGTCTCTCAGAGAAATACGAAGTGTCGTGTGTTCGTATTTGCATCAAGTATTTATAGCTGATCCTTCCCTGGCCAAATTGGTCCATTTTCAGGTATGTCATCGATTTTAACATGTACATTACTATTACATTACCATTCTTGTTGTTATTAATTTTTCTGTCATTTATTATCTTATATGCATATTAATAATCGCTTAAGCATAATTATTTATGACTAAAAACCATTACAATAAATATTTTTATCCGTAGGGCTACCCTCGGCAGTTGCTACAAATCACGGTTCCGGGAATCCCATCCATGCACATATGCCTCGATTGGATTCCGGAATTGTTGTCACAACCTGAACCGGAGAAACAAGTATTTGCGGTGGATTTGGCGTCGCATCTGGCAATCCAGTACGCTCTACCAAAGACTTTGAGTGTTTGTAGATTAGCAATCAACACTCTGATTACTCTTTTGGGAGTATTACCTGCCGAAGAACGAGTAGTCCTCTTCATGCCGGTATTAGAATCATTAACGCGGATATGTTTGGCTTTCCCACCGTTGGCCGAGGACATCACGAGTTTGCTACTCCAACTTGGTAGAGTGAGCTCAGCTCAAGCCGCTTTGGGTGACAAATCAGCGGATTTGCTGTGCCGAGAAGTGAAAGAGACATTTTGCAAGATGCTGAGCAAAGCTATACTGCAAACGCAACTTTATTGAGACTTGAGAGACTTAGCGATTTGTATAGAGAATCAGGCGTTAACTGTGTGTCTAGAGAGTTTTATAAGTTATATAAAAATTTATTGTTATTATCATCTTGAATGACGACACGAAAAGCGAGAAAATACATACCATCCTCTTTGCCAAGTGTGTTGAAATAAAAAAGGTATGTCCAGAATAGGCATAGAGCAGCAGTGATCTGTATCTTTGTGTATATATAATTAACATATATTAATGATGCCCGGTATATTTAATCTTTCGGTATAAATAATCCATTCATTTATAAGTAAAATGACAGTCAATTTCACAAGCTATTTTGACAAAAATAAAAAATGAATTGTAAATATATATCTTTTTATATTAGCGTTAGTTCTCCGTAAAGGATTCTAATAGTTTCTTATTTAATATAAATTTTTAACTATATACAGTATTGATTATAGTTATTAAGAAAAATAGATATAAAAAGGAACACCTGTTCCAACACCTGCTCCTTTATGTCTCTTATAGAGATGAGCAATTTTTTCTTTTTGAGAAAAGTATACAATATTTTTTTAATTTTAATATAAATGTTGCAATATTTGTGCAAGAATAAAGAGACGTTATATCATATGTATTTACAGGATTTATTACATGTTTCAAATAAAGATGTAATTTATATAGTTTTTATACTTTTTTTCTCACATCTACAATACTTTGTCATGTTTTGAGCATTGCTGTGTCTCATAATTCATAACGCAGATTCATGTAGAGATTATTGTACATTGCATTCTTCCAAAAGAAACGGTTGCTGACTATCATCGAAATCATACCGTTACATAGAATATTTGTTATGCATTTTATGTGACACAATCACTACAAACATACATATTCACTTCGAATATTAAATATATTCAGATCATGCAGTCATAACATTTAAAGCCAAAATCATGAGCTTGTTTATTCTAAGGAATTCAACATCAAGAGTTGCTTTAGCACTTTGGTTTGACTGGTTTCTCGGATTTCCCCTGCTAAAAACATCTCATCCACAACAGTGTATACCTAAAAAAATTATTATTATTGTTATGAAATAATATAATTAGTAAAACAATGCAGATTAAATAATTTGTACAATATTATTAGATTAAAATTTCATTTATACTAAAACATTAAATAGCTACTATAAAATCTGTTAGAACACATGTTACCTTGTAAAAATTAAACACTAAATCCAATTCACATACATTGTGAAAGTATTCATTCAATACTTCCACAAAATTATGGATTGCTTCTAAGTAACAGAGATTATTGTCATTGACATCAACACAGATGCAGAAATATAAGCCTGCATACCTCCTGTATACTATCTTAAAGTTGCGAAACTAGAAAATTCATTTACATAGTTACTAGTTTATATTCACAACATAAAAAGAAATTATACTTTTGTCAATTTTACCTCAACAAAATTTGTATGCTTTGCATCTCTGACAGTGACAACTGCATGAACCTCTTCTATCAACTTCTGCTTCTCGTCATCGTCAAAATTCATATACCATTTTGCTAATCTAGTCTTACCAGCTCTGTTTTGTATGAGGATAAAACGTATCTGCAAAATGAATGGAAGCAAATTGCAAAAGTCTGCGACTGAATGAATTATTGAATTAGTCTTGTGTGAATCATATCTCTAGTTAATTTTTATAGCACTAATATATTTTTATAGCATTAATCATAGCATTAATATTTTCAAACACCTTTAACTCAATTGTTTACTTGTTTATTATTGTCACTGCGAATATGTGAATAGTCACTGAAAATATTCTCGATTGTTTTCTTTGCAATTTTTACAGGATAGAAGTATTTCTATGATTGATCTATAATCAAATGTCACATAAGCCCAGACTTGTTAAAAAGAACGATTCAACCACCTGACGGAAATATCGAAATGTCTATTGAATAAGATGTAATTGCAAGCTTCGTTTTAGCTACTTTCTACTCTTGCTTTTATCATTAATGAAAGATATTAATTTATTTTATGACTACAAAACTTCACATACCATTTTCGAGATTGATTAATCTGTCAGTCGGACTGAGGAAATTTTGGTAAACATAAGATCGTATCAATTCCCCGCCCTCTGATCATGAACGCAACGATATTCAATTTAGCCTAGAAAGATGCGAACTGCAGCGCTTTCTTACAAAGAAGTTCGTAACTATGTACATTATCGACTGTCGATAATATACGAATGGTAATCGTATTGAAACTATCGTGATTATCAACATCCATAGCGCCACACAGCCATTTCGTACTTCTGCTAGTGCATGTATGTAAAGAATTTCATCTGACAGTCAACTGACAGCTCAGAAATGTCTACAGTATGGTTCGTGATTTAACGATGACTGGCGTTGGAACAAAACTGCTCTGTTCGGAGCCTTCTTCTTCTTCTTCTTCTTCTTCTTCTTCTATACTGGCTCCGGGGGAAAATAGGTGTCTCCATACGCCATTCCCAAGCCATCTGTTCGGAGCCATCTATTGAACCATGAACTACGTGGTCTGTTCTTTTTAGTTGCACTGCGGAACTAGTGCAATAAGTTAGAATGAGACAACTATATTTTTTCTCACTTTAATTTATTGCACCAGTTCAGTAGTGCAGCTAAAAAGAACAGACCAATGAACTTATGGTTCGTGCCGTTGTTGTCGTTCGGGTTGTCGCATTGTTTGTTTTAACGCAATATAAGATAGAGAAATTTACAAGATTTGATATTTTTTTAATTACTAGAATAAATAAAGAATGCTGGAATACGTGGATAGTATCTTTATTTTGAGAGGAAAAAATAAAAAACACAAAGTTGATTTATTTCTTAATAATTTTTGTTATTAAACGGTAGATCTAAATATAATACACGACACAGAAATAAAATATAACGAGAAGTGTTATTAACAAAAAATAAAAAAACAAATAAAATGGAAGATCAAAACAAGAATCTCATTGCGTTAAAACTAGGAGATTCACGATTAATAGTTAATAGGAAACAGCTGATTAGTAAAAGTCAATATTTTGCCTTGCTTCTTTCTGAAAGCTACATTGACCATCTTCAGCAGGAACATATAATCAATTATGATATTTCTGTCTCGACATTAAAGGTTAATATTATTTTTTTAATTTATATTTATCTATCCTTACAACATCTACATCTACCTTTCTTTTATCATATGCAATATTTATTTTCAGTTCAAAATTTATCTCCTTGTTTTTCTAACAAAGTAGTTCATATATTTGAAAATATAGTACTAAATATTATATAAAAATATAATCTGATTATACAATTCATAAAATATATAAAAAGAAATCATGCCCTTCATTTTTTTATAGGACTATATTAATTGGATTCACGATGAAAACTTCTGTTTGGAATTTGATTCTGTATACAGAACATGCCTGGAGAAATTCTGTAATTGTACTTCGTATGAAGCTCTTATAAATTTATTACGTTTAAGTGTCTTATTTTTAACAGATCAATTAACAAAGGAATTGACAATTATAATTGAGGCTATTCTGATAAAGCCAGAGTTTATGATTGATATTTGGCTTGTAGCAATGGACTTGGCTCTTTCTGAATTGCGAGATGTTTTTTTTGCTGCATGCCTAGACTATTTTGAAAAATTGCCATCTGAAAAGCTCAGTTGTTTAGAATATTGCAATTTACAGAAATTACTTAATAATAAAAATATATCATCTACAGAGGAATATATACGTAATATATTTCTTATGTGGAAGATTAATAACGTAAGTATTATCTTTACATATTATAATATATCCTAGAATTAATACATAATATAATCGAATATTATGTTTTTGTAAGTTACATATAAAAGTTTACGGAGATTTATACATAATATATTTAAATGCTCCATTTTTACAGACTGAAGAATTATCATCAATTGAAATGCCAAATAGAGATATAAAGAATAAGAAACCAACAATTTTAAATTACATTATAGACTATGAAAAGCCTCAAGATCATAATAGCAAAATCTTCCTCTATTGTTGGGATGGTAACAATTTCTTCAAACATTCCACATTAGTATACCCTAAACAAATTACTGATGAACCACAAGCATTAATAGGAATGCAATTTATTGGCAGAAGTATATATATGTTTCTTATCTGTGTGTGTGTGTGTGTGTGTGTGTGTGTGTACACATGCATATATAAATTATATTATATTTATATTGATATAATTATTTAGGACATAATTTATACATTTGTGGTGGTGAACATGGTCTGGGCAAAGGAAAGTTTAACCAGAGAATTTGGCGTTATTCCCTTATATCTAAAAAATGGTTTATTGATACACCGTGAGTATCTTGATGAGCAGCTGTTATAAAATGAATTATAGTACAGTAATATATGGAACTAATAAATAAATATTTTAGTATGCCGATTCCGAGAAGACACATGATTACTGTATTTTTCAAAGACAAATTATATCTTGTTGGTGGTGTAGGACGATATAGGAAACAGCTAAAGAGTATCGGTATTTATAATATACATTCGCGTGAGTATCTTTATTATACTATTAAATATATCACATGTGAAGTGCAAAATATTCCCTTGTAATATTCTCTCTCTCTTCCCTTCCCTCCTTTTCTTTCCTCTCTCCCTCTTTGCCACTTTTTCTCTCTCTCCTCTCTCTCTCTTCTCTCTCTCTTTCTCGTTAATTTTTTTATCATTCTTTTTTCTTATGTTCTGCAGGTATTTGGACTATGGGTGCATATATACCTGAAAGTTTTACTAAGATCCCCGAATATTGTGTCAGTGATGACAAATTAATTATATATATGTCCCAGCCTCATCTTTTTATATATTGTAGCATAGAAAATTCATGGATACATCTTCAGCTATCTTGCAATGATCTATCTAAGGAAGTAATATTGATGGGCTTTAATGAGACTATATGTTTTATTGGTGAGTAATATGACTCGTATATTATATAATGTTTATGCATAAATGAATGAGTGTAAATTTGAAGTATTTTTCATTTTATAGATGTTACAAATAAAGATGTCACAGACAATGTAGTTATCAGATATATAAAATATGAGACAAATGATAAAATATGTAAAAGTGACACTAATTACACATGTGAGGAGAGATATGTCAATTCCGGGCCTGATCTGGAAAATACAAATGTTTACAGCCTGAAATACCTAAAAACATTTATCATAGACTTTAAAGGTAATAATAATAAATATGTGTGGTTCTGTCACAAAAGTTCTTTATGTTCTTTAAGTTTTGATACCATATGTACAAATTTTCACATACATACTTCCCCTTTACATGAATCTATAAAATTTGATTTGCTATTCTCTTCCTTTTCTTCAATTACAAGAAAGTTTTTTAACATACTGGATCCAGCTGATTTATATTCCGGGTCAGAAACTATCACATAACAATCTTCTTTCACATTATTGTGATCTACTTGAAGTTCTAGCAAATATGAAGTCATCAAATAATCGTTCATCTTATTATCGTTTACAACTATGGAAGAGAGAGAGAGAAGGGGAGAGAATAATTATTTGAATAATTATCTATATAGCAATAATTAATTACTGGCAATAATTAATTACTGAAATCTATGAAACTTACTGATTATATCATATCGATGACTTGTTGAAGAATCAATTTATATCCGCATAACTCAATATGTATAGATATACAGATTATTGTGAAATAATTGCGTATATAATATATCAATAACTAAAATGTTTGCAATATGGCAGCAGATTTTATTAAAATATTATGATAAATTTGACGACAACTTAATTCATATTAAGTTTATGTTCTTCCTAATCAGAGTTTTCTGATACAACCTAACAATAAATTAATGGCAAAGATTGAATAAAGAATAGAGAAATAAAATATAGCCTGCACTATATTTTATTAAGATACACTTGAATGATTATAAAATAGTAAATCCTTTTTGTTATTAGTTTATCGTCACATTTCTTTTTAATAGGTCTTTTAATATATATATATTCCTGTTAGCTATCTATTATAAACTATCATTCAAGTTTGTAACGGACACTTGACAAAATCCGTCTTGATAAATTTTGACTGTCCAGGTATTTAATGATTGTACACATAAATTTTCCTACACACACACACACACACACACACACACATTAATGCATTTCTATAATATGCTGTATGTTTTTAGTAAAGTGACTTTTTTATGCGAAGAGCGAATGATGTATTTAAAATTATAAAATATATTCCTACCTTTTGTACATTATATTCTTTTCTGAAAAATGGTCAATATCCTGATGAAACTATTTATTTTGCTTATAGTATTATATTAATATACCGAAACACCAGTTACAGTTAATTTATGTAGGTATGACAATGGCGAAGGAATGAAAGCAATTTGGCTCATTTTAAATCATATCTTTTATTTATCGTAAATTTTCTGACGGAAGCAGTCTTCAAACAAGTATAACACGACGGTGCGTACCATTAACGTGGAATAAGAGGACACACCGCGGCAGTGCCATGTAGATATCATGCAGTTGTTTTGAACGTCGCCAAGAGATTCTCCCGATGAGATTTTTAGATGTTGATGTTAAAAATAGATAGTCGAGGATGCTGGCGATCTCAACGGGGAAATCTCGTTTGATCGTAATTGTTTGTAGATGCCCGATTGATTTGAGCGCTACCGCGATATGTCGTAAATAAAGTGAGTATGTGTGCGTATGTGTGTGTTTATGTATATATTCAAGTATGCCGAGTCGTGTAATACAGCAAAGCCGAATATTTAGCGTAATAAGTTGCGAGTGCTATCCACATTTAATGCTTGCTGGAGACGCGAATTCGAAGTTTTCTTGTTTATCTCGACTGCGCGGTTCATGTGACATGACAAACACACACACAGGAAAAAGATACAGCGTTCCCAAATAATTTACGTATAGTATATACGCGAGAAAATATAAGATAGTCTTCCGGTTCTCCTTATTTTTACACAAAGATGTTATATATCTTAAAATATATCGCGCGATCGTTGTATAATGAGCCGTTTTTTATTTTCGGCTCGCATTCGGTTTTTCGTTCGTATGATGTATGTGTGTGTGTGTGTTTCTCTATGTGTACGTGCGCGCATATGTACGTGTGTGTGTGTGTGTGTGTGTGTGTATATGTGTATACGCTCACGCAGGCGATGTTTCATTAATGATAAGTGCGCGCGCGTGCGCGTTGCGTATGTATATTCTCGTTAAGTCTCGCGGAAGCTGAAAGGCCAGTAGAAAGCGTGAAAACAACCGGTCGGAGGTGGTTTAACGTCGACGTTGAGCGTCTGCATCAGAGGCATATATTCTTCTTGGGGAACGCGATCAAAGACCGACCCTTCGTAGATGTTGCCTTGCGTTTGGAGAAAAAAATTCGCAAGTCCGGATCTAGATCCGCGTGTTCTCCGCGTAGAATACAATGTAGTTGACACCCCGCGACTCGGTCGTATTGCAATAATCGACGTATAATCCGGTACTAAGATTTATTTCACAGTTCGCCGGCGCCAACAACGTTGAGGGCGAATGCCGAATTCGTCTCGCCCTTTTGGCCGATCACGCGCGCCGAATATTGGCCAACGTCGCTGGCCGTGCACGTCTTGATGCCGAACTCGAAGGACGTGTTACCGTCTGAGCTGAAGTGGTATCTGCTGCTCGTCTCGGGGATCGCCTTGCCGTCCTTCAGCCAAGTTACTGGAAGATTCATATGTTATTAGCGCATATATCACGTAATTTAAACACTACCTAGATGTCTGTTACGTATGGAACAGATATATATTTATTTATAAGATAATTGCTAGATAGCCATTCCAAGATATTCTAGAATCATCGGTAGAAGATTTACCTTTCAGAGGCGCGATATCAGTCTTGCACGTGAAAGTCACCGACTCGCCTTCGCTCACTGTTGCAGACTGGGGGAATGTCGCGAACGCTGGGCTTTTCGGCTCCTCATTTGGAGCTGCGAACAGAAACGTTGGGCGTTTTCAGCAAGAAAAAAGGGAGAAAACTCACTATTGATTATTCTCCAATTCGTATCCTATTGGCAATTCCGGAAATTAAATTCCACTTTGCGCATTATCACTAATGACATTTGAATGACTCAATCTCAATGATTTTAACGTTAACGGAAATAATTATTATTTTTGCGTCCTGCAACTCCTTACCGAGTACGCTTAACGTGCACGACGAGTAGCTCTCTCCTGCATCGTTGAACGCTTCGCACGTGTAAGTGCCGGAATCCTCGGGGAATATCTCGGCGATAATCAGTTTGTAAATGTTAGCCTCGTTGGTATACTGGAAGTCCTTGCTGGGCTTGATCTCCTTGTTGTTGTGCAACCATATCACGTCGAACTTCTTGGCGCCAATTATTCGGCAGCTGAGCGTCACAGCCTCGCCGTCCTTCACATACATGCTCATCAGGTGGTCCACGATCTTTGGCGATTTGTCGTCGCCCTTCTTCTTCGCGGAAGCATTCTCCACGGCTGAAAAGAGAGCACATCGGTATAGCGAACAATAGTTTCTCGTGGTTAAAATCCTTCCGTTTAAATCATGAAAATCGGCACTCGCCGATTCTCCTTTGTAGTAAGCTCGTTTCCTGACTAGATACATAAAATCATAAAACAGCATAGGAAATCAAATGAATCTTAATTCAACTCAAGAAAATGAAATTAGATGTTATCTAATTGAGTTGGAGGAAAAATTAAAGCGACGTTTTTAGATGAAAGTATCGATAAAATCTTTGGAATGTTCTTACGTTTGACGGTCAGCTTGCAGGATGTTGTGTCGCTGCCAATGCTGTTGGTCGCCAAACACGTGTACTGGCCTTCGTCCTCGGGGAATACCTCGTTGATCGTGAGCGTGGCCACTCCGTTTTTATATTTGAGATCGATAATCTCTGATGAGCTTAGTAACTGGGAAAACGAAAAGGAATTTATCGCATAGAGAAACATAGTTATCAGCTTTTTCTTTTTCTACGTAATCAATGTAATTTTGATATATTTTAGAGGATTTTGCTTAGTTATTGACTGAGAGTTTGCGGGTATTTACTTTGCCATTTTTATTCCAAGTAATTTGCGGTTCCGGATCACCGTCAACTTTCACCGTCAGCTCTAGCTGTTCACCGTCATTGACTGTGAGATTCTTCAGCTTCTCAGTAAACTGTGGTGGTCTCATCGAATCGTCCGAGGGACCTTCAACGTTTATTATATCGATTAGTAGAATTAAAGACAAGCTATTTTAATCACTGCATATTATATATTAGAACAATACAGATGAGTTCTTTGGTGGTGCTCCTGGATCGTGACGGACTGCCGGTGGTGTCAAGTTTCGAGCCATATTTCTTGATGCTTCGTTTGTCGGAGGACTCGCTGATTTTGACGTCCTGAAATTTTATATTAAAATATGCATCAGTAATTGTAATGTTTCCATTCCTAAATTATATCTAATCGCGATTTTTGAAAACAAATATAATATATATAACAAAGTAAGAAATATATACTCTCACTCAGAAATTTGAAAAAAGAAGAAGGATAAGTTACATATTTCTTTTTTAAGTGTACCTTCTGCAAAGAGGAAGTGGTGGATTGCATGCCGTTGTAGGAAGAGATGGAAGTTTGACCCTGACTGGTTGTGGAACTGTAGCCGCTGTAGCCGCTGGATTTGTGGATCGTCACGATCGGTGGTGGTGCCGGTTTCAGCGGTTGCTCGATGAACCTTCGATCTTAAAGACAAATTATGTGTTACTAGACAATCGCATAAAATGCTTGCGCGTAATTCATTAATTTTACCAAATTTTCTATATAAGCGAAGTCTATAAAAATAAATGTAAAAAGATTGTAACAAATTTGCACTTTACTTAAAGTGACACGAGGATGAAGGAAATAATAAAATTGAGAAGCTAATTATAAAATAAACGGGGATATTTCGGGGAAAGCGTTAATTCAACGTTAAAAATTCGACATATAGAGGGAAAGAAAATGTGCAAAGAAAATAGATACTTGTACGATAATTCCAGAATCGTTATCTTGAAGGTGTATCTTGATAAAATTCGCAGTTCTGGTTATTTAGTTTGAGTAATAAAAAAATAATTTGTTAAACATCATATCTTACAAAACATGAATCACAGAAATTGATTGCTGAGCTAAGCATTGCTTGTAATAATGGAGGGGGGGGGGGGGGGGCTGCGAGAGGAAATAACAAAGGGGATAATTTCTGAAACAGCTCTACCTCCGGAATGTAGGAGGTCGTGCGCTAATTTTACTTGCTCTGCCGTTTCTCCAGTGCCTATAAACAAACGCTCAATGAGGTCTGCTTCGTGAAAAAAATCGGCGTAGATTATTCAAAAGATATTATCGGTATTAGCAACAAATTGTAGAGTTCAGAACAGAAGTGAATCATATATTATAAAGAAAGACATAATTAAATTCATCAGATATTTTCAAATTTTGATCGTGGACATTCGGATACAAAGAAATACCCGGATTATACTGACAACATTGATTAAAACTGATGAAATCACGTCTTCAAGTATTGTAATGTAATATTTATCTGCAATATTCTCACAATATTCAATGTAAGATGCTTCATCTATTTACTCGTTCGATTTTTATACAATTCATCTGCCGAGACGTACCTTCTACGATGACCACGCAACTGGTCTCATCCTTGCCGTGCTTATTGCTGGCCACGCAGCGATATTTGCCACTATCTTCCGGCTTGCAGTCGATGATCTCCATTGTGACGACGCCGTCGGCATTGCTCATAGGATAGTTATACTTAGACAATTCCTCTCTGTCCTTGTACCATTTCACAGTAGGTGGTGGATTACCACTCAAGCAGCAAAGCAGCTTGCAGGTCTGCCTGACTTGGATCACACGAGGTCGCAGCAGGAAGGTGAAGCTCGGCGCCGACTCGATCATCTCCAGCCACACGTTATAACCGAGCGGCTCTCGTCTGCGCACTGGTTGCAGTTCTGGCCTATATCTCGGGATTTCTCTAGGTAATGCTGAAATTAAAGAACAAACCATCTTTCTGCATTAAATGACGAATACCGTTAATAGAAATGGAAAATTTAACTATCGTTAAGCGAAACTGGTGTTTAGAATATAATTGAATTTATGAAATGAAATAAATTTTCCAACGTACTAATGAAATAGATGATACTTTTGTAACCGTTACACGATCGAAAAAATATTATATCTAAAGGAATATATTGAATTATATAATAAAACACTTATAAATATAATAAATTATGTTGTATTTAGAGATATATAATTATAGACGTCTGCAACTTACGCTGCACGTTAAGGAAGACGACCTCCTCGCGATAGCCGTAATGGTTCTCCGCGCGTATGATATATTCTCCTCTGTCTTCCAACTTAACCCTGTTGATGATGAAGGTATAATCATCACCGTGGTAGCGTTTCATAAATTTAACGGATTGCCGCAGTTCTTGGTTATTGTGCGACCAAGTCAAAGTAGGAGCCGCGATTGCTATGACACGGCAAGTGAACTTTACGCTCTGTCCTTCGTAGGCGAACGCACTTTGCGGCTTGATAACGAATCTGGGCGCCGCTTGTCGGCGATCTAGACAAAAACATCCGTTATTGATACAAATCACTTCCAGTTATCTGTAGATCTGGTTTGTATACATACTTTCGATGTTATATTACTAAAAAGAAGGAGAAAAATAATAAATAAAACCATGCACGAACTGCGATTGTATATCAAGTACTCACCGAAGCAGGAGTCATAGATCCTATATTTGTCGATTAAGAGCTTCCTGAGCGACGAGTACTCGGCTAGGCGGCCAATGGGAAGTACATACTTATCCCAGTTCTCATACTTGGCACGCAGTCTGTCTCTGATGCTGAGGTAACGGCTGCTGGCGATCGGGTTGGTCCATTTGCTATGGTCGCCGGTCAGCCACGGGTGAAGAAGGCACTCGTGTGCGGTCATGCGCTTCCTGCGAAGAGCGAGGACAATAAGGAGGACACATGATAATAATGACAATAGAGCAATGAACAGAGCGATAAGAATAAAGGAATGTACTCTTTATTCTTGACGAGTAACCGTCTGATAAAATCTTTGCCCTCTTCGGAAACGTCGCGGAACGCCTCCTCGTCGAAGTCCCAGTCGCACGCTTTCACGTTTTTCAAGGTCTCGATATCGTTGTCGCCGGCAAATGGCGAGAGACCGCTCAATCTGCACAAGTAATGCATAGTGATCGATATGTTTTCTTCAATCAAAATTTTCTTACATAAAATCAGCAAAATACACTAATGCAAAATTGGCATTAGTGTAGAAATATAATTTACAGACATTTGTGTCAAATCATTTTTAACATGGCTGAATATGGCTACTTACAGGACATAAGCCAATACACCGCAAGCCCACATATCAGTGTAAAAGCCGACGGGCTCACGCTCAACAATCTCCGGAGCAGCAAACTCAGCCGTGCCTGTACTGATTTTCACTACTTCATTCGGGTCGAGTTTAGTGGCGAGACCGAAGTCGATCAACTTCACATTCGTACTATTGCGAGTTTGGCACATAATATTCTCCGGCTTGATGTCTGGAAATGTTTGCGTTATAAGTGATTGGAATTTTAATGAGTTGGTTATTCATAATGAAGAATAGATTTCTCTATATAGTTGTTCCTAAATCTATCTTTTCTACATCTTTCTTTTCAGCAGTTTGAAAATTGATTTCCACATTGCATCGAAAATCAGTATGGAAGGAAAAGAAAGAAAAAGATATTGAGATCTCACCAAGGTGGATGATGTTCTTCTCGTGCATATGTTTAACGCCTTCGCAAATCTGCCTCATATAATTGATGACTTCCGCCTCGGACATAGTGTAGCCTTCGGCCGTGATCCTCTCGAACAGCTCGCCGCCGGACAGGCTGATGAGACAAATGATCGAGATCAAGTCTAACGCGAAGCCGTCTTATCTGACACGCGGATCAACATCGTGTCTAAAAGTGGATACTTACAACTCGAAGATCAGCACCATTTCATCGTCGTCTTCGAAGGCGTCGTGCAGGTTGATCAGCTTAGGATGATGCAGCTGATTCATGATGTCGATTTCCTTGCGAATCAATTCCTTCTCCATCACATGCGATACTGGGATGAACTTGGCGGCAAAGATGTTGCCGGTGGTACGTTCACGGCAACGGTGCACCACACCGAACGCACCAGTACCGATCTCCTCGAGGATGTCATATTTGTCGTAGACTGATGTGTGCTTAATCTCTACCGGCTGCGGCACGTACTTGCTGTAGACGTCGAAGACAAACTGGTCATAGTCACGCGGCTTCTCGTCACTGCGCCCGCGAATCTTCTTGCCGGTCGCGTCCACTTCGTATTCCTTCTTCTTGAATTCTCTCTTGATGATGCCTTTGGTGGTGATGAGCGGTGTCACCTCACTCGGGTCTGAACGCCCGTACACGTTCTCAGCGCATACTCTGAAGTCATATTGGTGTCCTGGACTGAGACCAGTTACCGCTAACGTGCAGAATCTGGTATGGCCAGCTCTAATCCAGGTGCTCATTGGGTGCTCCCGCTTTTCCACTACATAATTAGTGATATTGCTGCCGCCATCCCAGACAGGCGGTTTCCAGCTGACTGCCAGCGAATCGTGGCCGATGTTATCCACTTGCGGGAATCTGGGAGGATCTGGACGATCGCTAATTTGGATTTTGATGATGGCGGAGTCCTGGCCGAGGTCGTTTTCGGCGGTGATGCGGTACGGGCCGGAGTCCATGCGGCTGCCGTCGCGGATGGTCAACACAGCATGCCGTTCCTTCACCTCGACGGCGTAATGACCGCCGGACTCGATCACCTCGCCCTCGCGCACCCATGTGATCTTCGGCTTGGGGTAGCCGGTGAACGGAATCTTGATGATGACGTTCACACCTTTGTCGAAGAAAGCGGTGTCGCGGAATCGCGGCGGTACGTTCAGTTTAGGTGGCGTCTTAATGAAGAGTTCGCCCTTCGTTGACTTCACGCCGCACTTGTTCGCCGCACGGCAAAAGTATTCGTCCGCATCCTCGCCAAACACATCGTGGATAATGAGATTGTGTACCTCGCCTTCGGAGTAGATGTTGTAACGGCTACCGCTGACGATCTCGCGGGCTCCCTTGAACCAGGTGATGGTCGGTTTCGGTGTGCCGATAATCTTGCATTGGAAGTGGGCGTTGTGGTTCTGCACGCAGTTCACCTGTTGCCGTGAAAAGTATAAGCATTTTAATCGTGTTACGAATTTTTTCAGCGATAAAAAATAACAATAATGAGTTACTTTTGAAAAGCAACTTTTCGAAACCTGAATTTCAAGAAGATGCGAGTTGGAAAGATACAAACCTTCTGGAGTGGCTGGATAATCTCCGGAGCCTTAGCCGCCTGCGGGTCGACGATCTTCACGGAGGTCGAGGCCATCGATTCCGGACTGATGCCAGCCACATTCTGAGCGAACACTCGGAACTCGTACTGCCTGCCTTCGATGAGGTTGCTGATGTTGATTTGTGTCGGCAGGCAGATACTGACGTTTACACGCTGCCAGGCCTGACTGCCAATCTCTCTCTTGTCTATCCAGTAGCCCTGGATCTTGGCGCCGCCATCTGTCTCTGGTTTCTCCCACGATAGATTGACGAAGTCGCCTCCGACCTCGATGACTTTTGGTGTACCGGGTGGTCCTGGTGGATCGAAGGGTGCCTTCGCCTTGATCGGATTAGTACCCTCTAACGGCGGGCCCATGCCATTGTCGTTGACTGCCATCACCCTGAAGAGGTACTCCTGACCCTCGGTGAGACCCTGTACGACGAAGGTAGTGTCCTTGCAGAAGGACGACACGATGATCCAATGCGTGTGGCTGATATCGCGACGCTCCACCACATAGTGGGTAACCTTGAGGCCGCCATCGTATTTGGGCGGATGCCAGGATAGAGTGCAGGTATGCTTGTCGATATCGGAGACGTCGAGAGGACCGATCGGAGGTCCAGGCAATCCGGTAATATAGACGTTGAAGGACGCGCTGACACTGCCGCTGTCGTTGGAGATGGACAAATCGTAAGTACCAGCATCGTCCTTCTGGATATCTTTGATGAAGATAATGAGGTACTCGTCGAAGACCGTGTATTTGATGTGTGTGGTCTCCACAATCTGGCGGCCGTCTTTCTTCAAAGTCACTTCCATCGGCTGGTCACCGCTGTAGTAGATCTTGATCTTCGTGTTGTCGCGTTCTGGTAAGTAGAGATCTCCTGGCATGCGCTCGATGCGTGGTGGCGTGCCGATCTTTAGCCTGCACGTGGTCGTGGCGATGCCAAGTGTGTTCGAGATCTGGCAGCTATAGTCGCCGTCGTCCGCGTCCCACACCTCGGAGATCACCAGCCTGTAGATGCCGTTCAGCGCTTCCGAACGGAAACGACCTCCTAGAGTGATCTCTCGGCCGTTCTTCAACCACCTAATGCAGTAAATGAGAAAGAGATTAATTTTAATATCAACGTTATTGGATATAAGGTTACAAATAATAAATATTTTTTATAATATTATATAATACTCTAAAAATGTTTGGGAAGTATTTAAAGTATCTCGACTGACCTGGCAGTCGGCAAAGGTTTACCCGTGGCCTCACATTCGAGGACAAGGGTCTTGCCGAGTGGTATGATCTGACTGATGGGCAAGTTTCTGATGAATTCGGGCTTCTCGCCACCTTCGACTTCGCAGATTTTCACCGGGGTAGTGCATGAGCTCGGTTCGGACTTGCCGGCCGCGTTGACCGCGAAAACACGGAACTCGTAGTCTCCCCGCTCGATCAGATGCATGACAGTGTACTCGGTGTCCATGACGTTATATTCGTTGCACTTGGCCCACATTGCGCTACCCACCTCGCGCTTTTCAATTATGTAGCCAGTGATTCTGCTACCACCGTCAGATATTGGTGGCTCCCACCTGAGATCAACATAATTCTTGCCGACTTTGACGACTTGCGGCGTGCCAGGTGGCGATGGTACGTTGAACTTGCTCTTGAGCCTGAAGGGTGCGGACGGTGGGCTCGGCTTGCTGAAGCCGGCTGCGTTCTTTGCACGAATTCTGAACTCGTACTCGTGGCCGCTCAGTAGATTGTAGCATACGTACGTGGTGTCCTTGAAGAGGTAGTCATTCGCCACGCGCCATTGTACGTCTTCAGCGGGATCGCGGAATTCGATTTTGTAGCCCTGCAATTGGTTTTTTTTTTCATATAGATTGTGATTCTATAAAGCACATAATCTTTCGGTACGACATTCTGGTAACTTTAAGAATATAAAATAAAATATAAAACAAATATTAAATAAAATAAAAATATACAATAAAAAATATAATTTCGATACACAAATATATTTCGAAAGATATGCATTACGGTATTTGAGTTTCCTTCTTATAAGCCCATCATACATACCTGAATGCGAGATCCACCGTCGGACAATGGCTTTGTCCAAACCACAGTAGCGTTCGAGGTGTCCCAATCGATGACACGTGGTTGTCCAGGTGGATCTGGTACCGTGAATGGGAACTTGGCCGTTATCGGTTCGTCAGCTTGCAGCGGATCGGACACGCCGTACTGATTCTCCGCTCTTACGCGGAAGTTGTACGTGCGGTTCGGCTCTAGACCGATCACGTCATAATGCGTGTTTCTTACGAAGCTGCTGAGTTTCACCCAGAACTGAAAGAAATCCAATAATTTACTGAGAATACTGATATCTCGACGATTGTCTGTGATGATACATCTTTATGAAGAAAGAATTAAAAGAGAAATTATCTTTTTTAAGTAACTTACACCAGCCGGATCCAGCTTCTCAACGATGTAATTTGTAATCGGTGAACCGCCATCGTCGAACGGTGGCTTCCATGTCAACGTGCAAGTTTCTGGAGTGATATCGGAGATATCCAAAGGTGCCAATGGTGGCGATGGCTTGTCTATGGAATAAATAATTTTTCATGATATATAATTGTACAAAATCATATTTTTATCATAATTTATTTATCATGATTTCTTATAATTTAATATTTGTATTATTTAATATTTAAATTAAATGTGTGTGTTATATATGTAATATATTTTAATATAAATTAAATATAATTGTAAAATTAAAATATTCTTGCAGAGAAAAATCACATAGTTTGATTAGTCATATTATAAAATAATTTCTTATTTCTTTTTTCGTGAGAAATACGCTATTCCAAATTAAACGCCAAGGTTAAATTGCAGTATATGAAGATTGTGTGAAACAAACTTACCGACAACAAGGACTTTGCATGAAGCGAAATCCGTGCCGACAGTGTTCGTGAGATATATCGTGTACGTTCCAGTGTCCGATCTCTTCGCCTTTTTGTTAATAAATTGTGAGGCCACGTCGCTCGTCTCGAACTTAATTCTCTCACCGGTTAGTACTTCCTCGCCGTTGATGGACCAGCTCGGTCTTGGCTTGGGGTTAGCTGTGTACGGTACCGTGATAGTGAATGGTTCTCCAGCGATCACGGTCATATCGCGGATGCTGAGATCGCTTGTGATCTTTGGCGGGACTGTAAATAGATAATAGATATTTCAAGTTGCATTCTTGCCTTTTAATATGAATGTGTAATATGTATTTTATCAAATAAAAAATATTTGATACTGGAAACTAAATAGTTTTAAATTTATGACACAATTTCTTAAGTTCTTACATTCCAAAATTTTTTTAATTTAATTTTATTTAACCTTAATGCATATATCTAATATATATATGTGAGAATATACTTACATGGTGGAGCACTAGCACGAATAACATCGGAATTGGAACTCCAAGGTCCACGACCTGCAGCATTTTCCGCAGCTACACGGAACTCGTAATCGTGATTCTCGATCAGTCCAGTGACCCTGTAATGTTCACGAAGAGGAGATCAGTGGGACATCTTCTTAAGATTATCTTCAAAAAATTGCATAGGCATTTTCAAAAAATTTGTTAAACATTACAACATTACAAATATACCTGTAAGTGGTGTCGTGTACCAGAGCCGGTGTGGCCTTGACCCATTTGTCCTCACTTAGGAGACGCTTTTCGACAACGTATCCAATGATTGGAGAACCGCCATCGTGACGAGGCTTAGTCCATGTGATGGTGATGCTATCCTCTGTCGTCTCCACACCGCGAGGTGTGCCAGGAGCGCCCGGAGGATCGAAGGGATGTCTTGCCTTGATTGGATCGATCGTTGTCACCGGGTCCGAGGTGCCGTACTGATTCTCAGCCATCACCCGGAATTCATAAACTTGGCCAACTGTTAGATTCCTCACTCGCACAAACGGTGTTGTGACGTAGCTGCTCACCTGTAAATTTTTTTTCCTTTAGATACTACTCTAATATTTATGTCTAAGTAAATTCTTCATATCTAACAATATTCACGTACTTCTCTAATTATCTTCCTTTTCTCTATAAATTTTTTAAATATTTTTCTCACCTTAGACCATGTAGCGGCCTTTGGTTCTTTCTTCTCAATCACATAGTTGGTGATATCAGCACCACCGTTATCTTTAGGCGGGCTCCAGAAGAGAGTAAGAGCATCACCACCAAATTCGTCAGCTCGAAGATTTTCGGGTGGCATTGGACGATCGAGGACTTTCACGTTGACAGTCGCCGTATCGAAGCCGGATGGGTTGCGCAATTGGAGTCTGTATTGTCCTCCGTCAGAACGTTTCGAGTTCTTTACCACAAGGCTGCAACGAGAGATTAGTTTATCATCTTAGAAATTCAAGAGCCACAGAAATTACTTTGTCAATCTATTAATACAATCATAATTAAATTCCGAGGTAACATACCTGGCAAAATCATCGGCCAGTTGCTGATGCACGCGCGGATCAGTCTCATCCTTGACGACGTCATTGGCAAACCACGCAGCAGTCGGCTTGGGGAAGCCGACATAGGGCACGTGAATGGAGAAGTCCTCGCCAGCGCGAACGGTGATGTCTCGGACACCTCCGAGATCCATGACTGGTTTGTTGGGTTGTTCCTCGATGACAATGGGGTTGCTAGGTCGGCTTGGGTCGCTGCTACCGACATCGTTCACCGCGAATACTCTGAAGAGGTACTCTTCACCTTCCTTTAGCTTCGGCACGGTGTATACGTTGCTCGGTACGGGCGCGCCATTCACATCTGACCACTCATCTTCGCCCTTAGCCTTCTTCTGGATGATGTAGCCTCTGATCTTCGCACCGCCGTCACTTCGTGGTGGTCGCCAACTCAACGTCACCGAATCCTTGGTTATCCTGTCTGCCTTAGGCGGCTCAGGTGCGTCAGGACGACCTATAAAGTTAGGAATAACATAATGAGATATGGAATATAGTGAAAAATGTATAATGCCAATCAAATAACATTTGAAAATTATAAATAAAAGTTAAAAATGGAAAAGATAATTCAAATTTCACCGGAATTATAATTAGAATTAATAGTTACATCAAACGCTAAAACAAAGTTCTTGAATCACAACTTTTTACAAATGATATTTTTACAAAATGATATTTTTATATTCATCGACTTGATCGTTTAACCAATATACTTACGACGTTGGTGTCCAGCTGTAATAGGTTCAGTGGGCTTGCTAGGTTTCCCAGGGCCAGCTTCATTGACAGCAATCACCCTGAACTCGTATCGGGTGCCCTCATGAAGATCTTGTACAGTAAATGTTGTATTCGGCGTCGGGTAATTGTTCACCTTCAACCATTCACCACCACGCTCACGTCTCTCCACATAATAACCTTACACAGAAAATAATTGAAATTAAATTAATCATATGTAAAATGTAATGTTCAGTAGTGTCTTCAAATACTCCAACATTTCTGGAAGTCTTATATTTAAATCTTTATGAGATATATAACATAAATCTCTAAACAGTTAAAAGGGTATTATATAAAATTCATTCCAAAGTAATTCGTCGATAACTCACCGGTGATAGGTTTGCCGCCGGTATTGATAGGCGGGTTCCAAGTGAGGCTGCAGCTGTTGGGAGTGTAGCCAAGAATTTCAGGCTGGCTAGGCGCATCTGGCGGGTCGTAGGGACTCTTGGCGATCACAGGCTTGCCCTCCAGGGGCTCTGATACACCGTACATGTTCTCAGCACGGACCCTGAAGACATACTTCTTGCCCTCAGTCAGGCCTTTTGCCGTAAAGTTTGTCCTGGGACAATAACCAGGTGCCTGTCGCCAATTATCAGATCCGTAATCCGACACCTCGACGATATAGTTGGTGATGTCGGATCCACCGTCGTCTGCTGGCGGATTCCACGAGAGACTGACGGACTCCTGCGTCGTGCTGGTGTACTGCAGAGGACCTTGAGGTGGTCCAGGCTTGTCCACGACTATCACCTCGATATCGGCCGAATCCTTTCCATGCTCATTCGACGCGGTTACTGTATAACTACCGCTATCATCTCGGACCGATTTGTCGATCAACAACTGTGTTCGATCGCTCTTAGTTTCGGTCTGAGAAAAGAAAAAATATTCTTAGTACAAAAATAATCTTCCTGATAAATAAGGAAATAGAATAATAATGTTGGCTTTTTCATTTACATTTATTTTAATAAAAAGATGAACTTACGGACAGACGGAGGGTTTCCATGAGCGATCTTCCAGACTTGGTCCATTCGATCTTCGGCGTGGGCGCGCCGGACAACGGTATGTTGATGTTGATCGGTTCTCCAGCACGAACCTTGATCTTGCGGCCGATTAGAGCGTCCAAGTAGAGCTTCGGCTTTTCTTTCATGGGCTTAGCCGTGAACACGGACGAAGTCTCGCTGGGTTTTCCAGCACCGGCGGCGTTTATGGCTGACACTCGGTACTCATACTGATGACCTTCGGTTACATGATCGTCGTAATACTCGGGGTACTTGACAGGTTCTTTGTTCTGTTTTATCCAGCGTCCGGTAGCGCGATCGCGACGTTCCACGTCGTAACCGATGATTTTGGAGCCGCCGTTGCTGATCGGGGGAGTCCATTTGATCTTAATGTGGTCTTTGTCGGCGTCCACACATTCCGGCTTGCCCGGTTGTCCAGGAGCCACTGAAGAATTGATATCAAATATAAAAATATTAAAGATTAAGATTTTTCGTTATGATCATTTCTTTTCTTTTCCTTTAAATTATATTTTACATCTGTTAATAACATAAAACTGAGGCTTTGCATTAAAAATTCAAACCAAGATTTTTCAATGGTTTTTAACGTAAAATAATTTCTACTTTAATGCAATTAAAAAATCAATGTTTCTTGCATTCATATCGCTAATTTATTCTTATTTCACCGAAGAACGCCTTTACGTCCATCATAAGCGCGGTAATTTTCCCTTTCCAATAGTTTTTGATTCAAGTCGCTACGACGTCTAGAAGTGGAGATATCAACATTTATATCTGCCCGCGCTCTCGGTCTTCCCGGCGCTACCGCGCGGAGTTGTTTACATGCGGGCGATACTCCGCGTGGGTGGAGAACAATAACCGCATTCCGCAGATGCTTTTCCTGGAAGGCATACCTCGCATCGTATATAACGGTACGCATATGGCGAACGCAGCCTTGCCCTACTTTCGGCGGCCTTACCCCTCTCCATAGCCCAAGCGAACATGGCCGCTTCAGACCACATGGTCGCTCCGCCATGTGATCACCCTACCACTTGCCGCATTACTCCCACCGTAGTGGGAGTGACAAGTGCAGCACGAAATAAACACAGCCACGTTCGCTTTGGCGCTAACACCGAGCCGACAGCTGACGTCGATGCCGCGGTTGCAAACGGCTTTAATTACCCAGCAAACATAATATTACATGTAACGTGCATGTTAGTTATAATTTCCTACTCAACAATATAACTGTTATATAACACAACTGTTATATAACACATGTGTTACAGTTATATTGTTGAGTAGGAAATTACAACTAACATGCACGTTATATATAATATTGTGTTTGCTGGATAGCTAATAACTTGACGTAGCGACATGAAATAAAAAGTAAGTAACATTTTTTACATATTCTCTTGCTGTTGTGTCGCTACTTTAGAGAAGTTGGGCGTTGTAGATGAAGCGCAGCGAATGTGTTTTCACGAGTTTAAGTTACATGTACTCACCGAATTGATTCTTGGCAACGACAGATCGGTCGGTAGTCAATGGCTCTGAGCGGCCTTGAAGATTTTCCGCGCACACACGGAATTCGTATGTAGTTCCCTCGAGCAATCTTGGCACTGTAGCGTGATTGTACTTGGGATTAACATGCGTAACTGCTGGTACCCAACCACCACCATGAGTGATATCGCGTTTCTCGATAACATATCCACTGTAAAAAAACAGATGTGACAAATTATTCTGTAATATTTGCACTATTCTACACGTTAGTCTATAGTACGATAACATTCATTATTTTAAAACATTTATGATTATAAATTTATTATTTTAATAATTATAACTGCAATATAAAATTATAATTTACAAAAAGAAATTATAATCTTTATAAATTTTTTATAAATCCTGGTCTTTATATAAAATGTCTAAAGGAATTTATAGGAAAATATATGAAGAATTTTTACTCACGTAAGCTCGCTGCCACCGTTGTCCTTGGGTGGCTTCCAAGAAAGTGTGACGGACTGGCTGGTGATCTCTTCATATTGCAAAGGACCTTCTGGTGGACCAGGTTTGTCCAGGACGGTCATTTGGAAACTACCCTCGTCTATGCCGCTGCTGTTTTTCAGCAGCAGGTGATACAATCCCGAGTCGGTTCTCTTAGCGTTGACTATGTGCACGATCGTGTGGTAGCCTATTGACGTGATTGTCGTCCTGTCGTTGGTCTGCAGCTCGTTGCTTCCAACGCTCCATGTTACCTCCGGCGTTGGCTCGCCGATGAAGTCAATGTCCACGTGGAAAATGAGTCCAGCCTTAATACGAATATCTTGCAATGGTGTCTTGATCTTCGGAGCCACTGAAGAAATATTTAATTGATATAATAAGTTTGTAATAAATTTATATAATGCAACGGTACTTTAATCTTTGTTTAACTCGAATTTAGATTATGTATATTATATAGATAAAAGTGTTGGAAAAACTTGGAAAAGAAATAAGATAAGTGCTTCCTAATTGTGAAATGAAATAAAAGTATGTTGTTAAAGTAAAATTACAATTTGTTTGATTCTACAAAGACGATTCTACGACGAAGAATCTATTCTATCTATCTAGAATCTATATAGAATTCTAAGACGAAGATTCTACAAAGAAAACTTACGATATCGAGGTTTGGCAGTGACGAGGTCGCTGGGCTCAGATGGCTCGGATTGACCGGCGGCATTGACAGCTATCACACGGAACTCGTATTCCTGGCCTTCCGTTAGGTCCGGAACGGTCGTGCTGGTTTGACCTGCTGGTACGTGTACCGCGTTGACCCAATAAGGGCTACCTTTTTCCTTCTTTTGAACGATGTAGCCCTTGATCGGCGAGCCACCATCGCTCTTCGGCGCTGGCCACTGTAAGTCCACGTGATCCTTGTCCCAGTCTGTAATAAGTGGCCTGCCAGGCGCGTCTGGTTCATCTGTGAATTGCAAAAGATAATGAGAACTAGTATTGCAAGAATATTTTTGAAACCATGTATATTCTGAAAGGTCTTAATATTGGAAACTTCCACTTAGATTCGGAATTTTAAAAACTATTACTCACCGAATTCGTTCTTCGCGATTATGCTCTTCGTAGTCTCGAGCGGATCGGACTCTCCGATATTGTTGACAGCTTTCACACGGAACAGATACTCCTTGCGATGAGTCAAACGACTGACCTCGTGACTCAACACCATGCTCATGCCCGCGTCGGACCAAGTTCCTCGAGATAGGTCCATTTTCTCGATAACATAATGCAGAATGGGACTGCCGCCGTCGTCGAGAGGATGACCCCAGTTCAAATGACAACCTTCTTTGGTGATGTTGCTGACGTCTAACGGCGCCTCCGGTGGCGCCGGTCTGTCAAGAACGGTGACTCTTGCGCTGGCGCTGGAAATTTAACACCATCGTTCTCTCAGTCGATATTATTATTAAAAATATAGTTGATTGCAGTCGTGAAAAAAATTATATTACAAAATTATATGATATTATATCAGTTAACGATCTTTTGGAAGAAGGATAATCTTTCATTAAAAATTTCTTATGATTTATTATTCCCTTATTATTCCCTTAGGTGTTATTTGATATATTAATTTGTGATTTACCTAAAGCTGCCATGCTCATTCTCCAACGTTAAAGTGTAACGTCCAGTGTCACCGCGCACAGAAAACGGAATCTCGAAGGATGTCTCCGTGTTGGTAGTATACATCTCGTGACGGGCGTCAGCCACGATTTTAATTCCGTCGCGAGTCCAAGTTGCTTTTGGTTTAGGCGACGCCACGATGGGAATGGTATAGCCAATCTTCTGACCAGCGCGTACCACCAAGTCATGCAGTAAGTGTGTGTCGAACGAAGGAGCAACTGTGAAAATAATATCATAAATAAGAAACAATGTAAAATATAATATATATTAAATAAAATAAAAATAAAATGAGATATAATTTCAAAAGATATAATTACGTTGACAATAAAGATAACAATACAATTATCAAGTGCTTTCTGACAAAAATAGTCTGTAACGGAAACAACGTTACAAATAACTCATTATTTTCCAATCCTGAATATAAGTTATACTGAAACTCACTGAAACGCGGCTTGGCGATAACCGGCGCCGACGCATCGGATGGCTCGCCCGGTCCACCCTTGTTCACAGCTATCACCCTGAACTCGTATTCCTGACCCTCTACCAAGTCCGGCACTGTGGCACTGGTTTTGTCTCCGGGTATCTCGGCAGCCTTCTCCCATTGTCCGAAACGAGGTTTCTTCTCGATGATATATCCGGTTATAGGCGACCCACCGTCTTTCTTGGGTGGTGCCCATTCGAGATCCACGTGGTCCTTGTCCCAGTCAGTGGCTACCGGTGCTCCGGGTTTGTCTGGCTTGCCGAAAGGATCCTTGGCAGTGATGATGTCCATTCCAGTCAACGGCTGAGATTCTCCCTGCTTATTGACTGCGCGCACACGGAACTGATAGTCATGGCCTTCGATCAGATGATCTACTCGTGCGGAGGTGGTGTTAGCTTCGGCCACGGGCACCCAACGCATGTTTTCCGTATCCATCTTCTCGACCTGATAATATTGGATCTCGGAGCCACCGTCGTCCTTTGGCGGTCGCCACTTCAGCGTGCATCCGTTTTTGGTGACGTTGTCCACCTTTAGCGGACCTTCCGGTGGAGAAGGTACGTCCAGTACGTTTACGGTCAACGTAGCGCTATCTTTACCGTTCACATTCCTGGCTACTAAGGTGTAGACGCCGGAGTCGGAACGTTTCGCCTCTATTATGCGCACTTTGGTGTTGTAATCCTCGTTGGTGATCTTGATGCGGTCACTCGCCATCACTGCCACATCCTTCAACGACCATTCCTTGCTTGGCGGCGGCTCGCCAATCACCGGCACGTCAAAGTCGAAGAAGCCGCCGGCACGGACTTTCACATCCAGCATATATTTCCTGTCGATCTTCGGTGGAACTGAGAAAAAACGCATAATATACATGTAACATATATCAATTGTTTCTTTTAGAAGTAATATAAAAATATCAAAGTATATAATATATTCGCGAAACATTTTTTAATTAATTTATACATTAGTTAGAGACCTTTTATTAGTTATTAGTTTTCTTTGCATGAAAATTTCTAAAAATCATAAAAATATACATAAAATGTGATAAACCCAAGATAGCAACGTTTTCTTTTCTCAAACGCGATAAAACAACGTCGGATAAAAATTTGTAAATGCTTACGGTTCTTAGGTCGTGCCACATGAGCCTTCGACGCCTCGGACGGTTCACCAGGACCAGCCTTGTTGACAGCCCTTACGCGGAATTCATATTGAGTTCCCTCAACCAAGTCCTCAACTTTACCACGATTCACGTCACCATCAACTTCCGCACATTTCTCCCATGTTGGGCTATACTTGTCGCGTTTCTCTATGATGTAACCAGTGATCGGTGATCCACCGTCTTCCTCAGGACGATCCCATTGAAGCTCGACGAAGTTTGTGTCGTAATCAACCACCGATGGCGTACCGGGTTTTCCTGGTTCGTCTATACAGGACATTTTTGTCATGAAAAATAACTATATATTAACTATATGAAAAATACAAAAAATTTAGGTACCTTGGATTTAAAATTTAAAACTTAAATTTTTAATGAAACTAAATATACATTTAAAATTCTAGTAACATTAAATTTCTCTAGTAATAAATTTTTAGAATTTTTTGAATTCTTGCCAAGAGTTTTCTTACCGAATGGATTTTTCGCCTCGATGCTCTGCATGGCGGTGAGCGGCTCCGACTTGCCCTGCTTGTTGACAGCCCTTACCCGGAACTTATACTTGTGGCCCGGTGTCAGACCCTCCACTTGCAGGTTCGTTTCCGGCCCATCGGTTTCTCCGGCCGGCACCCAGCGGCCGGTAGCCTCGTCCATTTTCTCTACGACGTATTTGTCAACCGGCTGTCCACCATCGTCTTCGGGTGGTTTCCACGTGAGTTTGCATCCTTCGGCGTGCACGTCGGTCGCCCTGAGCGGACCCTGTGGCGGACTCGGCTTGTCCAAGACAGTGACCTTGACGAAGGCCTCGTCCTTGCCATTGATGTTCTCCGCGATGACGGTATACTTGCCAGATTCCGCCCTCGTGGCCATTCTCACATTCAGACTGGTGTTGTAGTCTACGTGTTTCACTTTGACACGTTCGGACGGCCGAACTTCTTTGCCGTTCAGCATCCATTTAGTAGTCGGTGGTGGCTCACCCGTCACCTTGCAGTCGAAGCTGAAGTTCTGGCCTGCTTTGATTCTCACCTCGATCAGATTCGTGCGATCGATTCTCGGCGCTTGGTTGCGCGGCTTGGCAATGATGGTCGGTGTGGCGTCTGAAGGTTCACCCGGACCGGCTTTGTTCACCGCTCGCACGCGGAACTCGTACGGTTGACCTTCAATGAGGTCGGGTACGGTAGCGGAAGTCTCATCCGCAGGCACTTCCAGCGCCTTCTCCCATTCGCCGTATTTGTCTTTCTTCTCGATAACGTAACCGGTGATCGGTGAACCGCCGTCGCTCTCGGGTGGCGTCCACTTGAGATCTACATGATCCTTGTCCCAGTCGGTAGCACGGAGATCACCCGGTTTGCCCGGCTCGTCGAACGGATTCTTGGCTAATATCGCTTGCTCCGCTTCTAAGGGTTTCGACTCTCCTTCAGCATTGACGGCGGCCACGCGGAAGAGGTACTCTTTGCCAGGTGTTAGACCTGTTACCTCAAGATCTGTGGAAAACAAAATGCATTACAGGAAAAATTTGCATTACAGGGTATATACATTCTCCGTTAAAAAAATATATCTCATTAAATAATTATGTCTCAAAATAAAATTATAAATTTTTAACGATTGAATTTATAATCGAGAAATTTAATGAGAGAAATATCAGTACAAAAAGTATTAAAATTAAAATGGAAAGATTAAGTGACATGATGGTAACACTTTTATACAATAAATTCTTATAAATTTTGAAGAGACATTTATAAACCATGATTAATCCATCATGATTCGGGTGATTACTCACTCGGCTCGGTGGAACGTCCGCAAGGTACCCAACATCCGGTCTCCGGATCCATCTTGTCCACCTGGTAGTACTCAATAGGTGTGCCTCCGTCGTCCTTAGGCCTCTTCCACTTCAGTTTGCATCCCTCCTTGTGCACATCCGTCACCTGAAGCGGTCCCTCAGGCGGCGTCGGCTTGTCCGTCACTGTCACTTGCACCGTCACCGAGTCTTTGCCCGACGAGTTGCTCGCAGTGACAGTATAATCGCCGCTGTCGTCCCGCGATACCGGCCGTATGCTGAACTTGGTGTTGTAGTCGCTGTTGTCGATCTGCACCTTCCTGTCGGAATGCAAAGGTATCGCGCCGTAACGCCACTCGATGTGTGGCGGCGGCTCGCCGATCACGTTGGCGTCGAACTTCAGCATCGAGCCAGCGGACAGGGTAACGTCCCTCAAATTGCGCCTGTCGATCTTCGGGGCCACTGTGACGAATGATTGTCAACGATTAGGTGCCAATATCGTTTTAGACATGTACGCGATATATTAGGATTATTATTATTGGAACGTGCACATGTACGATGACACGATGCAAGGATGATGTCTATAGAAAGATTATTTGAGCAATTAATATCTCAGGTATAGGCGCCAACAAGAAAATGCGAAAAGTGCAATATATTCTTTTGGGTATGAGGAAGAATAGATAAGAATGCAATGAAAGTTTCATCGAATACCGTAACAATTAGGTAATAAACAGTTATAATTATAAAACTTAAGATCGAACTACTTCAGCACTGACATTAGGACTGAAAATATTAAATTGGCAATGCGACAAATACTTACAGAAGCGTGGTTTAGCCGTGAACGTCTTGCTGGCTTCACCTGGCTCCGATTGACCGGCCTTGTTCACGGCAATCACGCGGAACTGATAATCGTTGCCTTCTATCAGACCATGTACCAAAGCTTTAGTAACTGGTGTATCAGTTTCCAAGGCCTTCTCCCACATAGTACTATATTTATCTTTCTTTTCGATGATATAACCCGTGATGGGTGAACCACCATCGCTAACGGGCTCTTTCCAAGTGAGTTCTACTTGGTTGGCTGTCCAATCGACCGGCTCCGGTGCTCCAGGAGCAGTTGGCACAGCTGTAAAATAACACAGACAAGAATAAAGTCAATATAATTGTACAACTTAATTATTTTTTATTATAATTATAATTATTTTTTATTAATAAATTGGTTATTTTTCTATGAAAAATATAGTTGGAAATTAAAAGTAAAAAGAAAAAAACAATCGATTTAAAATACTTTCAAAGTTAACCGAAAAAATGATTACTAATTGCACAAGATTCCAAAAATTAATATTTCACTTACTGAACGGATCTTTGGCTATGATGGAGCTGAAGGTCTCCAACGGTTCAGACTCTCCTTCCTTATTGAGCGCCTTTACTCGGAATTTATATTCGTGTCCAGGTGTCAGTCCTTCAACTTTCATTTCAGGCCCAGTAGTTTTACCGACTGGTAGCCAAACTCCAGTTTCTGGATCGAATTTCTCCACAAGGTAACCCTCGATCGGTTCTCCACCATCGTCCTTGGGTTTCTTCCATTTGAGTGTGCATCCTTCCTTGTGCACGTCGGATACCTCCAGTGGTCCTTCCGGTTTGCCAGGCTTGGCTGATAGACAATTGAAATTTTATTTAAATTATCGTATATATGTGCCAAGAATTACTTTTTTTACAGGTTATAATATATTATTCTTATTTTATGTACGCATATATTATATCATATATAAGGATTACTCACAAATAACGGTAACTTCAACTTCAGCGGTGTCAGATCCGTGCTGGTTGACTGCCGTGATCTTATAAGTGCCACTATCCTTACGCTCGGGCTTGTCGTTGTAGAATTTGGTGTTGTAAGGGACATTCTGTATCCTGCGATAAGTGGTCTGCTGGATACTCTTGTTGTTGATCACCCACGTGACGTCTGGCGGCGGTTCGCCAATGATCTTCACGTCGAAGTGGAATCCCTCGTTCTCGCGTACAGTTATATCGCGCAGATTTCGTCTGTCGATCTTCGGTGCGACTAGATTAAGAGATACAAAATTACACATATATTCCTTGTGTTATTATTTATTAATTATATATATATTAATTATATATATATATATATATATATATCCATCACACGCAATGTTATCTTCTTTTTTTGCAAATCTTTTTTCTTTGCAAAATTCGTTCTATTGAATGCGAATTAGATATGAAAAGACTAATCAGACCTCAAAACATTTTATGTTTCTAAAAATTACTCAGTGAAAATGATAAAATTAAAACACAATTCTTAAGCTTTATATACTTTCGTAAACTGGAGAACTTACGTCTTCGACTCTTGGCGATGACCGGTTTGCTGGCGTCAGACGGCTCACCAGGTCCCGCAGCATTGATAGCTTTGACTCTGAACTCGTACTCGACACCCTCGTCGAGATTGTCGACACGACCTTTGCAATCCGGCCCAGTCTCGCAAGCTTTGATCCATTTGGGCGCACCCTTTTCCCGTTTCTCGATCACGTATCCGGTGATTGGAGATCCGCCGTCGTTCAACGGTGGGGTCCATCGCAAGTCCACGTGATCCTTGTCCCAGTCAGTCGCTTCTGGACGTCCTGGTGCGCCGGGTTCATCTGCGGAGCAAAAGTGACGTTTACTTTATTTTATATGCAGGAAAAAGAAACCTTTTACGAAAAATATTTTCTGGCTAAGGCAATATTTATCACAATAGAACTGTTCACATTAATGTTTTTCGTGATTTTAAAATATGTTAATTCACAAAGTTTAAACGAAAGATTAAATGTATATTTAAACGGAGAGGATGTGAAAAAGGGTCAAATCTTACCGAATGGATTCTTCGCGATGATTCCATGTTCGGTCTCCAACGGCTCAGACTCGCCCTCCGCATTTACAGCCGCGACTCGGAACTTGTATTCCTGTCCAGGCGCCAAATTCTCCACCACCATATTGGGATCCTTGGTGCGTCCGACAGGTATCCATCTACCGGTTTCTGTATCCATTTTTTCGACCACGTAGTGATCCAAGGGAGCACCGCCGTCGTCCAAAGGTGGATTCCATTTAAGAGTACAGCCCTCTTTGTGCACGTCTGAGACCTTGAGCGGTCCTTCCGGCTTGCTGGGTTTGTCTAACACCAAAATTTCGATCGACGCCTCATCTTTGCCGGAGCTGTTCTCCGCCTTTAATGTTAGAGTGCCACAATGCGCTCTGGTTGCCGACGAGACCACAAACTTCGTCTTGTAGTCCTCCACCTCGATAGTCAAGCCGTTGCTGGACTCTTGCTTAGCTTTGTTCAGGAACCAAGTCTTGCTTGGTGGTGGTTCGCCCGTCACCTTGACGTCCAATCGAATGATGTTACCAGCCTTGATTGTGATGTCCTTCAGGTTGGTGCGATCGATCTTCGGTGCGGCATAGCGATCCTTGGCAGTCAACGTGTCGCTGGGCTCGCTAGGTTTACTTTGGCCGCCCTTGTTAACAGCCTTTACCCGGAATTGATATTTTTGACCTTCCACTAAATCTGGCACTTTACCTTCTGTCTTATTACCCGGCACTTCCGCGGCCTTTTGCCACTTGCCGTATTGGTCTTTCTTCTCGATAATATACTTCTCGATAGGAGCACCGCCGTCCTTCTTCGGGGCCTTCCATTTCAAGTCTACATGATTCTTTGACCAGTCTTTCAATTCTGGCTTGCCGGGTGCGTCGGGCTCGGCTGTGATAAAAAGTTTATCATTGTTGACGAGAAGTCAATAATTAAGTGTTATAATATTATAGAAAATTATAATACCATAGAAATATGATAGAAAATGATACGTATAATTATGGTTCTGATAAATTGTATGTCATAATAAAGATGGAAGATTAATTATTACACTTTGTATAATAAAAACTGAGAAAGAAAGTTCTCTGGAGAAGTCAATTGTGCGTTTGACGATGGATGCGATAAATAAACAAGATACTCACAGTAAGGATTCTTGGCAGTGGTTGGTATACTCGTCTCCAGAGGCTCGGACTCGCCTTCAGAGTTAACAGCTTTCACACGGAATTGATAATCTTTGCCTTCGTTTAGGCCAGACACGTCTGCCTCTGGAGTCTTGCTGGTGCCACATGGTACCCAACGTCCGGTATCTACATCCATCCTCTCGATGACGTAATGATCAACTGGCTCGCCACCATCGTCATCGGGTTTGTTCCACTTCAATTTGCAACCTTCCGCGGTTACGTCAGATACCTCGAGTGGACCTTTCGGTTTGCTGGGTTTGCTCAACACCTGGAGATTATCAAATAGATGAATTAGAATTGGTTTGGCAAGTACTTAATAAATGATTTCGTATTTCTAACAGAATGCTTGAGGCACATAAATCAAATTCGTGAAATAATTGCTTCCTTAACGAAGCTACCAACCTGAAGCTCGACTTCAACTTGATCAGTGCCACTGTCGTTCTTGGCGATGACAGTGTAAGTACCGGTGTCAGAACGCTGGAGCTTGTTGAGGATAAACATAGTGTGATAGTCTTCGTTCTCGATCTTGAGACGATCCATACTCTTCAGTACTGTATCTTTAAGTTTCCAAGTAACGACTGGAGGCGGTTCGCCTTTGATGTCAGCCTCGAGCCGCAACATCTGGCCGACTCGCATAACTTTCTTTTGAAGATTCTTGCGATCGATATGTGGAGCCACTGTATAGGAAATAAAATATATAAAATAAAATCGATAACTGAATTTTGAATAAATGAAAATTTATGAGTTTATTAAATTCGATTTAAATATCGAGTCGACAACTGAATTTAATAAATGATCTTAATTTGTGTAAAATACAGATTATTGAACTTACAGAATCGGGGTTTGGCAACGACGCTCTTCGAGGTGTCGCTCGGTTCACCAGGTCCAGCTTTGTTCACCGCCACGACCCTGAATTCATACTCATGTCCTTCCTGAATACCATCGGTTACCCTGGTAGCAGTGCGTTCTCCTGGAACCTTAGCGACATCCACCCACTGTCTACCCTCTTTGTCTCGCATTTGTACAATATATTTTTCGATCGGTGCACCGCCATCGTCCTTGGGCGGAGTCCATTCGAGATCTACAAAGTCCTTGTCCCAATTCTTGAGTTCTGGTCGTCCAGGCTTGCCTGGTTCATCTAAAATTGAGATAACATGGCAAGCATAAGATTGGAGGGACGATATATTATTTTAAATTCTAATTTCCAGTTCTAAATAAAAGAGCTATAAGTTCTCCTCAAGTTGGAAATTTCAATTATATATCGTGCTGAAGACATACCGAATGGATTCTTGGCTATGATAGATTTGTCTGCTTCCAAATCCTCGGATTCTCCTTCTCTGTTGACCGCTTTCACGCGGAATTTATAAGGCTTGCCCTCCTGCAATCCGGTGATGGTGGCTTCCGGTTCAGTACTGCGACCGCAAGGTATCCATTGTCCCGTGAGAGGATCTAACTTCTCGATTTCGTAGTACTCGATCGGCGCGCCGCCGTCGTCTTCGGGTTTGTCCCACTTGAGTTTGCATCCGTGCTTGTTCACGTCTGTTACTTCCAACGGGCCCTGAATTGCAAAAAGAAGCATAGTTTTAATGACGTTTTAATGACGTTTAATTATTTCATATTACATTACATTACATGCTGATTAAAATCAGATTATTCTAAGTTAAAATATACCGTGAATTACCTTTGGCTTGCTTGGCTTGCCGAGCACGGTGATTTCCACTTCGGCGGTATCCTCGCCGACCTCGTTCTTTGCCCTGATCACGTACTTGCCGGTATGTACGCGTTTAGTCTTCAGGATGAAAAACTTGGTGTTATAATCAATATTGTCGATGCGTATTGTATCATCTGACACGAGTTCCTTGTCTTTGAAGGTCCAAGTGACCTTTGGAGGTGGTTCACCAATTATGTTAATGTCCAAACTCACAGTAAGGCCAACCTTCACTGTTAAACCTTGCAAGTTCGTGCGATCGATGTACGGTTTTACTGTAACATTCAAATAAAATTAAATGATAATGAAACTACGATTAAGAGGGAAACGTAACACGACATCACGAAATTCTTAAATAAAATTTAACGAGCTCATTTCTGGATGTTACTGCATTTATGTAATAAATCTTTTAGTAGTGTATCATTTTTAAGCAACTTTATTGAAACAAAGCGACACTTACGCCAGCGAGCTTTAGCGGTATGCGGATTGGTGGCTTCGCTAGGTTCACCAGGACCAGCCTTGTTGACCGCACGTACTCTAAATTGATATTGATTGCCTTCTTCCAACCTGGGAACAGTCCCGGTGCATATAGGTCCTTCCACTTCAGCCGCTTTGACGAAGTTGGTGCCGAACTTGTCTTTCATCTCGATGATGTATCCAGTGATTGGCGCACCACCGTCCCTTATCGGTGGTTCCCATTTGAGTTTCACCATGTTCTCCGACCAATCGATGATCTCTGGAAGTCCAGGTGCCGCTGGAGCATCTGAAATATTTCGGAAAATATCGTCAGTATATGAAAATTAATTATAAGAAGCACTTTCATTTCTATAACTATTTATTTTATTATTTATAATAAATGAAACTGTATAAATTATAGTGCCTGAATAATTATTTCTAAATTAAAGTTGTGTAAATATATGAAAAAAATTTGAACGTTATAATCAAGATTACAATACTCTACCGTATGGATTCTTAGCTACGATAGCGGTATCAGTTTGTAGAGGCTCCGACTCTCCCTCTTCGTTCACGGCCTTCACACGAAACTCATACTTCTTGCCAGGTTCCAAGCCGGTGAGAGTGTGCTCAGTTTTGTCAGGGTCCACGATGCCGGCTGGTACCCAACGACCCGTTGTCACATCCATTTTTTCCACTATATAGCTGGACAGAGGAAGACCACCGTCGTCCTTCGGTTTGTTCCACTTCAATTTGCAGCCCTCCTTATGCACGTCCGTCACTTCCAATGGTCCTTCTGGTTTGCCAGGTTTGTCTATAAAATTATATAAATTTTCACAGCGTGCGTGCAAATATACGTTATGTAATATACAGCTTTTTAATGTTTAAGTGTAAGATTTATTATTTTACTAAAACATAGAAGTTAAGACATTCTGAAATTATGTGACAACTGGGATCTGCAAAAACCATCAAACATTACAAAATAATGGGAATTCTCTCACAGTCTTTTTGAATTAAGATAGAATATCATTTGTTCGTGTTCACTCACCGAGAATATTAATTTCCACATCGGCTTCATCTTGTCCGGAATCGTTCACAGCTTTGATAGTATATTTGCCAGTTAACTTCCGGCTAGTGTTCGTCAACTGAATTTTAGTGAGGTAATCTTCGTTATCGATTTTCACGTTGGCTCCAGTCTGGAGCGGTGTACCGGCAAAGCTCCATGTGACAGTTGGAGGAGGCTCACCTTCGATATCAACTTCGAGCTTGACCAATTGGCCTGCTCTGACTTTGATAGTTTGTAGCTTGTCACGATTAATGTGTGGTTTCACTATGAGAATTAATATTTTTAATTACTTCAAATCTCAATGGGACTCATTTTTTAGTTAGTAATTACCAAATGTTCCATGCGTGTTGTTCAATTATTAATGTTAATATACGATAATTATATATTATGTTAACATACGATAATTATATATTATGTTAATATACGATAATTATTTTTTACTTGTCAGTTAACGACATAAAATGTACTCACAGAATCTCGCTTTAGCAACATGCGGTTTGGTCGGATCGCTAGGCTCGCTAGGTCCAGCCTTATTAACAGCACGGACGCGGAATTGATAAGTAGAACCCTTCTTCAAGCCGGTAACACGGCCTTTCGGTTGAGGCGAGTCTGTGACGAGAGCTTCTTCCCATTGCGAAGACGGTTTCTCTTTCTTTTCGATGATATATCCGGTGATCGCCGCACCACCATTGTCCTTGGGAGGTTCCCACTTTAGGTCCACACGATCGACGTCCCAATCCTCGAATTCTGGTGTTCCAGGCTTGCTAGTCACGTCTGTCGAAGGAACATTACGTCAAATATAATTTCACGAACATTGATAGACAGAAAGAGATAATTTTTATTATTTTATATTTTATTCTATATATTTTATTTTCTTACCGTAAGGATTCTTCGCGATCGTAGAGCCGTCCGACACGAGCGGTTCCGACTCTCCTTCTTCATTCAGAGCTTTCACTCTGAACTCGTACTCGTGTCCCTCTTGAAGACCCTTTACGTCCATTTCAGTATCCGCAGTACGACCAACGGGTACCCATCTGCCTGTTGCTTTGTCTAATTTTTCCACTTGATAGCCAGTGATCGGCTTGCCGCCGTCATCCTCCGGTTTGCCCCATTTCAACTTGCAGCCGTTCTTCGTGACATCCGCCACTTTGAGCGGTCCTTTTGGCTTTCCAGGAGCCGCTACATAGGAAAAAGAAATCATGCGATCAACGTTATTAAAAATTTAATAATAAGGATAATTATATTATAATAATAAGTATAAAATAATTGTGACACGAAACTAAAGAAATTTCTTTTTTAAGAATTCATAATTTACGCAATCATTTTAAAAAAACGGATATGGTAACTCACATAATATAGTCACTTCGACTTCCGCCTCGTCCTCGCCATGAGGATTAACAGCCTTGATCTTCCATATACCGGTATTCTTGCGCAAACTATCGCTGATGGTGAGTTTCGTGTTGTAATCGACATTGACGATCTCAATGTTCTCACCGGATTTCACCTCGCTGTTGGCGTGGTACCACGTGATCTCTGGTGGTGGTTCACCGCGCACATCTATGTCATACTTGACAATTTTGCCCGCTCGCACGGTAATTTGTTTCAAGTTCGTTCTGTCGATTCTCGGTTTCACTGAAGTAAACAAAATTACGAGTATATTCTCAGTATATGATGTCGAAATAGTAAAAATGTAATATATGTGTAATAAAATATAATGTATATAATGTAATGTAAAATATAAAGAAATGATAAGTAAAAATGTAAAAAAATATTTGCCGAATGCTCACGAGCTTTGTGCTTGCAGATCTGCATCTTCGATGCATCCGATGGAGGTGAAGGTCCGGCCTTGTTCACGGCGATGACTCGGAACTGATATTCGCCTCTTTCTTTTAAGTCCGGTACTTTGGCATCGAGTTGATTTCCAGGCACCTCGATGGCCTTTTCCCAATCGGGCTTATACCGATCTTTCTTCTCAATGATATATTTCTCGATCGGCGCTCCTCCATCGAAATCAGGCGGGGTCCACTTCAAACTTATGGATTCGTTATCGTAATCGGTGACTTCCGGCGTTCCTGGCTTCAACGGTTCATCTGAAAGAAAGAAGTATTGTATTATTAATAATATCAAAAATATTAATGCATTTAAGTTGAGATTGTATTGAGATCGACGTACCGTATGGGTTCTTGGCAATAATGCCACGCTCACTTTCTAAGGGTTCCGAATCACCTTCATCGTTGACAGCAGTCACGCGGAATTTGTATTCGCTTCCGGGATTCAGGCCGGTGACCTCGAATTCCGTATTGGGCGAGTTCCCAGGCACCTTGCCCACTCTGACCCATTTTCCGGTTTTTGTGTCCATCTTTTCGATCTCGTATTCTTTGATCGGCACACCACCATCATCTTCGGGTTTCTCCCATTTCACTTTAGCTGTGGTGTTTGTGACATCAGTAACTTCCAGAGGTCCTTTAGGAGCACTCGGTTTTCCTAGTACCGTAAGTTCGACGGTTTCTTCGTCCTTGCCGTTGGCGTTCTCGGCAATAAGAGTGTACTTTCCGGTATCTTTGCGCATCGCATTGACAATTGTGAAATCGGTATGATAGTCGACATTGTCGATTTTGATACGTTCGGTGGTGGTCAAAGGGATGTTGTCTCTCCAGATCCACCTGGTTTCTGGTGCAGGTTCACCACTGACATCCACTGACCACTTATGTGTACGGCCAGCCTTGATGATGATTGATTTGAAATTCGTTCGATCGATTCTCGGTCTCACTGAAAGTATTTTTTCCACATTCAGTTGCTGATAAAATGATTTTTAAATAACAAAACTTTTTGATAATATATAAAATATCAAATCAAATGTTGTAATGCCAAACATATAATGATATGTGACGTAATGTGTGTGGGAAGAATAATATTCAAATAATAAAAACTTCAACCTACAGTTCTTGTGCTTGCAAAGATGGTTGTCCGTAGGTTCGCTGGGTTCACTAGAACCAGCCTTGTTGTGAGCACGAACACGGAATTGATAAACCATCTTTTCTTTAAGGCCTTCTACTTTAGCCTCGGGAGTCGAGTCGGTGGTCTTCATCACTTCGACCCAGTCGACGGCGAATTTATCCTTCATTTCAACAGTATAATGCGTGATCGGTCGTCCACCGTCGTTCTTTGGTTTTTCCCATTTCAGTGACACACTGACGTTGTCGTAGTCGAAGATTTCAGGCTTGCCAGGCTTACCAGGCTCGTCTATCAATAGGATTATATAAGTTCGTTTAACAATTTTTTTTTGTTTTAATTTGGTGTCATTAATTTTCATCGTAAAATATTTTTATTCTGATGCATCCTTACCGTAAGGATTCCTGGCGACAATAGCTTCTTCAACTTCCAAGGGTTCAGATTCGCCTTCCTTGTTTACAGCCTTAACACGGAACTTGTATTTCTTCTTGGGTGTTAGACCGGAGAACGTGAAGGACTTTTCATTAGGACCGGTTTCTCCAGCTGGAATCCATCGTCCAGTATCCAAATCCATTTTTTCCAACACATAGCCAGTGATTTCGGTACCGCCATTGTCTTCGGGTTTGTCCCATTTGACTTTGACGTGATCAGCGCGAACTTCCTCCACTTTGAGGGGCCCCACCGGAATCGATGGTTTGTCTGCGAAGAAGCAAGATCAAGTTTTATTATCAAGTTAATCAAAAGCATATTCAAAATTTGTTCAACGACATGCCATATAAAAAATTTGTATAAAAACAAATTTATTTCGACTCTTGGTGAAAAAAAGAGATGCATACGATTCCAAGTACACTGACCAAATATGATCAACCGACTCACCAAGAACGACGACGTCGGCGAGGTTCTCGCAGGTGCCGGAACTGTTTGTCAACACTAGCTTGTACTTTCCGGAGTCGGATCTGACAGTCTTCCTGACTGTCAGTACAGTGTTCCTCTCGTACTTGTCGATCGTGATCCTTTCCGCTGCGTCTTGGAAGATCTCCTTCTGACCCAGAAACCAGTGTACTTCTGGTTCCGGTTCGCCGGCGTACTTGATGTCGTATTTGATAACTTGTCCTTTCTTGATAACCATATTGGTGAGACCATCGCCGATGATGTACGGCTTGACGAATCGAGATTTCGCTATGATCGGCTTGGTGGCGTCGGACGGTTCGCCAGGACCGGCTTTGTTCACCGCACGTATCCTGAACTCATACTGCGTGCCTTCCTTCAGACCGTCGATAGTTGCCTGAGTGATGTCACCTTCGATCTCTTTGCCTTTCACCCACTCTTTGCCAAACTTCTCTTTGTACTCGATTACGTATCCGGTGATCGGTGCACCGCCGTCATCACTGGGTTTCGTCCATGTCAGGTCAGCATGGTCCTTGTCCCAGTCGGTGACTTCGACATCCGTGGGTTTACCTGGCTCATCTGGAACACACAAGGACATTTTCCATTGACTTTTGCTTCTTTTTATTCTCTTATTGTTCCCTCAATAGTTCAAGGTTGAAAAAAATAAAATTAGGGGATGAAGCCAGGATATTATAGAAATGAAAAAATAAAAATAGATGACTAAATTTGATCATCTTACTTAAGGAAATGGCTTTGTTTATTCAAAGAAAATTTGGTAATTTTGTTAAAGTAAATTACTAATGAACAAATTACTTGTACTGATATTAATATGTGAAAAATATCAGATTTGTTCATTCATCTACAATTTCTCTTTGATTGATTCTGGTTCAAGAAACTTACCCCATGGATCCTTGGCTAGGACGGGCTTGCCGAACAATGCAGGTTCGCTGGAACCGAGTTTGTTGACCGCCCGTATACGGAACTTGTACTCCTTCTTCGTCACAAGATCCGTCACCTTGTAGACGCACTTTTCGCCTGGCATGACTTCACCCACGTTGTCCCATTGCGCCTTCAGACTGAGATCGAGACGCTCGATGATATATTTTGTGATAGGTGTGCCGCCGTCATCTTTCGACGGTTTGAAGGACACAACGCACGAGTCGTGGAAGATCTCGTTGACCTCGACGTCGGTCGGTGGAGACGGGACGTCTGAGAAGAACGAATCGCAAATGAAAAGAACAGAAGTAACGGAGACATGCGATTTTATGAAATTAGGTTCTTCTTGCGCAAACAATGCGAACCTTGCATGACGATGTTGACGTCTTTCACTTCTTCGCCCTGATTGTTACTAATCTTTATCTGGTAGATTCCAGACGACTCGCGCTGAGGTTTCTTGATCTTGTACGTGATCTTATCCTCGCTCACGATGATTTCGACGTCTTTGAGAGGTAGTGCCTTGCCATCCTTCATCAATTTCGCTTCCACTTGACTTTGTTTGGTGCCATCGACTGTATAAATCGCAGATGTAAAATTAAAAGCAATTTACAATTTGCAAGACACGTGCAAAATCAGTATTCCAAGATGTTAATTCAAAACTCACTGAAAAGGTAAACGTTACCTTTGAAAGGCACGACAAAAATCAATGGTGCGCTGCAAGGTCCTTCGATTTTGTCGGGGATATCGGCGATCGGTTTACTCTCTCCCTTCTTCACGGTAAGTTTGCAATTGCTGGTCAGTTGACCACTCTCGCACATGATCTCGCCATCGTCTGTCATCTCCAATCGGTTGAAGATCAACTGATGCTTACCACCGCCCAGATTCTTGATCTCCACCCTCTCATTCGGCTCGATCTTTTCGCCGTTGAAGTAGAATATAGCTGGCGCTGTTTGATCCTGCAGTTCGATATCCAGCACCAACTTCTCTCTCTCCACTGCGACTGTGTCTTTTAGCTTCTTGTTGAAACGATTAGCGTCTACGATTGCACAGAAATACGTTATTACGCGATTGTCATTATCTCGAGAGCGATGAAGACAAATTCGAAGGCAAATTTTCGTTACATACAATTTATCACGATTTCAGCTTCCGTCTTGTCGGCGTTGCTCACGCAAGAATAGAGACCGGCATCGGTGACTTTGCAGTCTTTAATGATGAGCTTTCGTTTCCTACCCTCTTCCTTGATTTGCACCCTGGCATAAATAATGCTTATGAATAATGAGATCTCAAAATATAAGATAACTATGTTATAAATTAATTATTAATCTGGCATTTTAAAGATTATTATATCAGAATACGTGCCTCTTATCAGGCATAATCGCCTGGTCGCCTTTGAACCATTTGACTTCACCAGCGGCATCGTCCAACTCGCAAAGCAAAGTGAGCGTCTCTTTTTCTACCAATTGCTGATGTTTCAGCACCTTGACGAATTTATAAGGATATTCTAAAATAGAAAAGACATCACTTCAATAATTTACTTTGCTCATCGTGGAAATTATATGTTATCATATTTTTATATAAGCTGAACGCGCATCTGATTGCAATATTCTTAGATTCTTTTATAATATTAATATCAATATCATCTTCTACCACTCTTTATTCAAGAAACGATACATACCGATTACAGTGAGAATTGTATCGGTCTTGTCCGTTTGTTTGCTAATCTTGCAAGAGTACTCGCCGCTGTCTTCAAGAGTCGCGCTCTTTATAGTCAGCCGACATACTCCGGATATATCTTTGGAGATACTATACAAATCTCCATCCTGAAGAACAACATTCGATTAGCACGGGGAAAGAATAGCGAATGTAGGTTTACTCAAAATACCAATGTCACGAATTACCTCGAGTTTCGTTTTGCCCTTGTGCCAGGAAACCTGCGCCATATTGGAGCTGACTGTGCACTCCATGTAAGTTTCGTGTTTGGTAAAGCCGCTCGTCTTCTTCGACAACGGTTTCGTGAACGTGTAAGTTGGATCCGGTTCTGGCAGGAAAAAGTTTGATTAATTCAATGAAAAATTTGTTAAAAAGAGGAGGAGGGTAATCTTTTCTGTGAAAGTATGTTGCCAGTACCGTCCACGTTGAGGAAGCCTGTGCTGGATACGCCGGAAATTTCAATCGTGTACTTCCCGGTATCTTCGACTTTGGGTCCCATGATGACGAGCTGGTAGCAGTCTTCCTCGTTTTTGAATTTGTACTTGGCCGACGAGAACAATTCCTGCGCGCAAAGTAAATTATTTATGCAGCACTGCTCGCATTCACATGTCTTTTTATTTCTTGATGATCGTCATGAATATGTTGCATGTAAATATTTTCAATTCGTTATTGAAAATATAATCTTTTTATATACAGTTGATTAAGAAGTAATTCCCGAGAAATACTCACGTCCTTTCGGAAGAACCATTTCGGTTTGCAGTTCGGCTTCGAAAAGTTCGCTTCGAATGTGACTTTCTTGTCCTTGCCCTCCTTGGCGTATTGATCCACCAGTGGTTTCAAGAAGGTTTCCGGTTTCTGTGAAAGAAAATCACCGATCAGCCGTGGATCACGTCCGTGAATGCGGCCGGTAGAAATCCAATAATATCGTTCAACATCGACAGCGGTCACTATGCTAGGCGATAAAAGGTAACAGAAAAAAAAATCGATGGAAAAATCATAAAAGACTCCGCTGCCTCTCCGTGCGAGCAGGAGGGCGAAAATGAAAAAAAAAAAGAAAAGAAAAATGAAAAAGAAACGAAGACAAAGTCCTCGTCGTGAACACCTCGGGAAAGACTCTAGAAAAACGATTCTAGAGAGAAAAACATGGAAAAATCGACAAAAAGCTCGATCGACCGTTCGTTGATAGAGCTGATCGGACTTTCAAGCCTGTGACTTGTCATGCTTGCTGTTGTTAAGAGTTGCGTTATGCAGAAGAATAAGAGTAGGTGGGCTTCCTCAGAGAGAGAAAAATATATTCATTGTCATTGCTCGAGCAAGATGCGCGAGAAGATAGTTGCTGGAAAAGGCGCTCTGTTGACAACACATTTAATACGACATCGACGACATTCGAGAAAATACGTTAACCTGACGTTAGGGATTTCAATTGTGGATGTTGCTTTTATACGATTGATAGAATAAAATTTGCAAAAAAACACACAATAATGCCAGAATATTCGAAATGATTCTCGGTTAAATATATAATTAAAGAGATTTTACATCTAATTTTATTAAATATAAAAATTGTCTCTCCTTTTTCTTAAATTACGTAACGCAGGAGTTGCTTCCTTTCTTATGCCGCAAATTAAAATCCCTCTTCAAGTGCTTCCAGAGTTAAACAGTTAAACAGAGAAATCTCGTCGGAGAAACGATAGAAGAATTAAGAAAAGTGAAGCTATAGAGAGATCGAGCTGGAAGATGCAACAATTCGAGAGACAGCGATGTAACCTGAGTCTTAAAGGATTAATTCAATTACTACAGAGCTCATTAATTTGTGAAAGTAGTAGAAACGGTAGAGAGTAGGGTCCGTAGCAAATCGATTAATATGTTGCGAGAGAAACCGTCCAGAAAGATAAAGAGAGTGAGTTTCGGAACGAATGAAAGAGAAAGAGAGTAAAAGAAATAGAGAAAGAGCTTCGAGAGGATGTTGTCGAGCAATAGAGCGACAGGCAAACAGACAATCGAATATCACGTGAGACTGCTGAGAGAGAGATTGATTCACGTGAAAACCCAACCTCCGTCCTGGTGAAGTGATGTAGGGTCGGCCAGTCGGGAATTAATTCGGCCAGGGATTGCCTACGCGATCCACTATTCTAGAAACAACAAAAGGCATTCGCGATCACAGCGTCTTGCCGATCTTGGGTCGTCAATCTTCCTCATTGATCGTTTTCAGCAAGGAAAGCTGTTTCTTTTTTTGCGAAACTCGGTCGTCATTGCTAATTTCTACCTCTTGTACCGTACTCCTTTTTTTATCGTTATCTCAAACTTTCCGGATAGATCGTCGCTACTCGTCATTATGAGTTATGCGTCATTCAACGGTGATTACGAAGTTGTTAAGTGTACTGCAAAGTGCATCGCAATGTATCTTTGTTATACAATGAGCGCGATCGATTGTTATCATTAATATCATAAGTTTCAGTTAATGTTGTCTGTTATTATCGTTTTACTCTCTATTAACTGCGTCATGATGCTGCAATTTTACATACGAGTGAGTCACATAACTCAACGGGGCGAGGTGCAACGACGAGAAGTGATGATTGACTTAACGATCTACGTGGTGTTACGTGTTTTAGTTCGAAAACGTAAGCGTGTGCATGCGTGACAACAAGCGGTGTGTAGGTGTTGAAGCCTCGTTTAAGAAGCGTAAGAAGCGTGGATGACCCAGCCTCGAGATTCGTTAGTTTCCATTTCAGTTGTGTGAGTTCGCGAGGTGAATTTGCGAGAGTAAACGCAAACCACCACTTATTTCATTTGTTCGCATTTCCGTATTGTGACATCAATAAATTTCTAGAGACTGTTTCTTGAGAAAAGCGCAGGCCAAAGCAATCTCTCAATCGTACAATAGTCGCAAGAATTTTGAAAGAATCTTCCAAAACTTTCGCGACTTTTGCGACTTTTTCGCTCGTCGACTAATTGTGTGCGCGCGAATTCCGATTGGTGCTGCATCGAAAAATTCTTGCAAGTAACTGACTGGCTTTTCTTACGTTTTTCTGACCGATTTGATGTGAACACCTATCTTGATGAGAACAAAGAGATCAATCGCTGTATTCTCTTTCGTTTCCGTAACTTTCAACGTCCGCAGGAGCCGTGCAAGAGCCCCGATATCTCTTTGCCGTGTTACAGCAACACCATTTTCCTCTCCTATCTTGCTCAAAGGATCAGGTTTAGAAAAATCCAAAGAACGCGGGTATTCTGGCAAATTATTATCATGAAGGGTCGAAACGTGAATTGAAAGGCGTCGAGGGCCGTTTCGGCAGCATCGTGACGTACTTCCGGAAAACTCAACGCATCAATTCCATGAGGAAGTTTCATCTAATTATATATATATTTTTTATTTATAATTATAATTTGGAAGAGAAGGAAGAAAAGAGGGCGAAAGAGGGCGTCAATCGTCAATCGAGTTCGGAGACGTATTCGGACTCGGAAGGTTCTTAATTAACCAGAATACCGCTGAGGAAGTGAATGGAAGCCTTGCGGGGCAGTTCTGCTCTCTGTTTCGTGGCATTTTGGAATCTAATGCAAGGTATATTACTTTAAGACTTTTTTTTCGCGAACCTTCTCCTTGGCGCGTGTCGCTAGTATTGGCCAGTCGACGATTAGCTCCTGCAAACTTGGCCTGCGCTGAATGTCGAAGATGTCCTGCATGCCCGGCACACACACATCATGGTTAATGCCACTCTTATACAATTAGCCAATACCAAATTTTCAAAGAACTCTGATTTGAAAAGAATGTTCGATAAAAATAAAATCTCGAAAGAAAATGATGGCCAATCGTACTTTTTTTTTCTCTTAATGAGGAGTTTCTTTTCTTAAATTTATATCGTGCACTCTATGAGTACTTTGTTATGTTAAATACTTTTTTCTTTTTCTATCTTTGAAATTTAGGCATATATCAGAGTTCTTATTTTTTTTTTTTTTTCTATGATACTTCTACGCGTCTAGAGATAATGCTTTCTCTCCAATGTGAGAAGTGTCACATGCAATGGACATTCGAAATAGTGCCAATTTCGTCACTCGTTTCATTGACAGTTCATGTTCTTGACAAGTGACTATTTCTTTTTCTCTACCAGCGGTAGGCTCTCGAGCTTAACGTTAATCGTGCTTGCTTGTTAATGGACAAATGTGTAATAAACATGGAAAAATATACAGCTATCCCTCAATAAACGCGTGGTGAGATAGTAGTGAGATAGTGTCCTTCAATTAATACTTAAAATATCACACAATAGGCTTTTCTATTAAATATCCTACAAAATATTTAATAAAAATATAAATAATCGATGATTTCAATCTTCAGCCATAAAATTAGAATAATTTGGTAAAGTTCGGTTAATAATTCAAGAAAGTTAAAGTGTCGAAAGTTTCGATTGAATCGAGGGGTAGATGTATTTAGTACAAAGTGCAGCATTAACTCTAAACTATACGTGTACGCATAGGTGCATACGTTAAGGACAAGAAGAGAAAGTTACGTTGCTCGCGCAACAAAGTCGGGCCAAGGGGAAGAGTGGAGAATATATGTGGCACAGTCGAGATTTAGTTGGTCTCGTGAGAGTGGAGTATCAGATTTTTCGATAACGATTAACAGTCCGACAGTATAATACAATATAATCAAGATCGAGATTCACTGTTCTACAGCTCTTCACGATTGTTCTTAGCAATTTATCCGATGTTAATTTTCAAAAGAACCGCAGAAGCTGATCGACGGATTGTAACGTTTCATCAGTGTCCGAAAATCGTCATCGTCAAAGTGTCGTCATTGCGGGGTTCACTATGCGGGGTCGCTCAGAAACCTTGAGCCAGCTCCAATTAGTTTCACCCTTCCTGACTAGGGAAATTCGAAGTATCTCCACACCATCCGTCAAGATCACTATTTCCTCGCCGTCTTGGTACCAGCTCGGTCCATGCAGCTCGTTTCGTAGCGACTAAGAAGACAAAGGTAGACAAAGAAGAGAAGAAGAAAGGGAGAGAGAGAGAGAGAGAGGCCAAAAATGCACTGATGCGAATGAGATCCTGAAGACCGATCGTTGCGAATATTACGGTGAAGTCGTTGTGAAGCATGTGCGAGCTAAATAAAAAAGACCGTGTCTTTCTTTGAGCCTAATTCGCTCGTCAAAAACATCAAGATTTGCGACTCCATCCTCTAGATTTGTAAAAAGGTAAAAAAAAAATCTATTGACACCATCGTAGAGAGATTTCCTCGACGCAGTTGTCGATTAAAAATGAACAATGGAATTTAGAAGACGGGCGGGTATGGATTAAATTTCTAACATGTACGTAATACGATGTAATACGTGTCACCTGTTCTTTTCACTCATGAAGACATCACGCTGTTAATGGCGTACTGCAATTGCATTCTCATCCACGTTATGAGTATTACACCGATGATTGTAAACACGATGCATAGTAAATTTTCTTTTACAATGTTACGCGATTTAATCCTAATGTTCCATTCTGATTAAATTTATCTCGGAGTCGATGATATCCGACCAACGTTAAGTAACCGCTATTGCTAGTAATCTAACGGAGAATTCATTACAAACATTTCCTGCAATGTTTTGTTTATACGTTGTAATTTGTATGCGAGTAAGTAGAGCCAAAGGTGAACACATACCTTTTCCACCTTCTTCAACGCTGGCATGGGCTTCTCGACTTCCTTCAAGTCGACCTTCTCTTGCTCGGCCTCTTCTCGCGCCCATTTCTGGTACTTTCTCTTCTTCAACATAGTGCGGAAGTCCATGCCACTGGCGTCTGTTATAAAATTCGTATCATCGGTCAAGAATTTAAGCACCGGTGGTTGTTCTTATTTTTGACTGATATTTCTAGCATCAAAATGTAATGAATGTTAAATTAAGTACGAAAAATGATTGACATTGTTATCTTAAATATTAAAATATTCGTGAACTATTTTTTTTAATGAGAAAGACTTTTCAAGTAATGTTCACTGGATCGCCAGATTGTGTGTGTCGGCAGAATCAAATGCGAATTTTACCGGAAACGTAGAGCTGCATTTCGGCGGAATCCTCGCCATGGATGTTGCTCACGACGATCTTGTAAGTGCCCTCGTCGTTGGGCTTCGTCTTCCTCATGCAGAGGGTGATCGTGTTGGTCTCCGTGTCCGTGAGGAACTTGAAACGGCCACCCTCGATAATCTCGGTGATGCCCTTGTAAAACTTGAAAGTTGGCGCGGGCGTGCCCTCCACCGCGACGGTGAGATACGCCGTCGAGTCTGCGGGAAGTCAGGTCAGTTATATTCATATAATTACACAAATTTTTTCAGCAGAAGAGACCGTCGAGTCTTTTATGTGCATAATGATTTTATACTATGTAAAATTAAATGATATATATGATGTAACATAAAAGTAATATGACATCATAAGGAAAAAAGGATGGACGCACCTTCGACGGCGGAGTACGACTCCTGGACATCGACGATCTGGGGTGGTCCGGCTGGTCCGACATCTCGCAGAGGTGTGCTAGGCTGATTGATCTTATTCTCGAGGTCCGCCACGCTGGGTCTTCTGATGTCCGCTGTGCTCGGACGACGACGCTACGCCATTCGAATAACAACGTGAGTAAATTCGTACACGCATGCATCTCACGCAATTCGCGCTCGACGTAGAAGGCATCGAAAAGCTTTCGAGTGAAAGCGAGAAAATACGAAGCGCGACGCGCGACAACTTCCGCAAAGCCGAATTTTAAAATTTTGTCTGCAACATTTGGCTCGTGAAATCGGAACCGAGGGGACGCAAATTACAAATTGCTACAGTTAATGTGTGGCACTACGATCGGAGATATAATAAGTTACATAAACATTTAATTACCGCCTCTACGGAAGCGTTTCCTTCAATTCCGATTTCGATTTATCTCTCGCGTGAGTGATTTTATCTCTCCTCGAGTTATTCTCTCCATTTCTCTACAAGCTAAAATAAAAATAATTGGAAAAGACAGAGACACGGAAGTTGCGGTCGTCGTTCGATGAATCTGCGCAGCTCATGCGGCTTCGCATATTTTCATTAATTATTACTTACGTTTATTTACATTTATGACAATGCTTTGTCGTTATTTACAGTTAATCACGTTAATTCACGTCGTTAGTCAGCGTTACGTTTCAATCGTTAGTTTATCGTGTGTTAGCCACAGAATCGGTGAGTCTCAAAGGGATTAGTGACAATACTACAACTCGCTCCTTTCTCAAGATGCATCGATTAGCAAGAAGATAGGATCGATATACGTAGGTAATTTCATGTGATGATTTCCCGACTGTCGTGGTAAGCGCTTCTCCAACTACGCGGCTTCGTGGCCACATTGCGATTTCAAGGGTTCCGTTCACTTAATTTTTACGACTACTTCACGAGACTTCACCAAACTGTCGTTAATCACTCGTAAGCGGACTTCTGTATCTTACATTTGTGTGTCAAGACACACAATTAAAGAAATTATTCTACAGACTCTGATGCGTTATTAACTTACGTGTCTTCCGTTGTACGCTCCTTTTTGTTCGCGTGCAAGGAAGATATTTCAGAATATTAATAAGCAGATTCTTACAATGTAACAGGAATGCGATATGCGCGAGAAATCCCTTGAATAATCGCATAGTCGGCGGGGGAAAATATACGGCAGGGGATATATTAATCGGATTGATGAACGAAAATCGGCTGAACGGATTAAGGAAAACCAACAACGTGACTGAGGATTCTTCAAAGTTGCCAGAGGTGAAAGAAAATACGAATGATAGCACAAGAGCAACCTTTGAGGTGATTCTCTCACGTTGCCTGTTTTCAACCCCGAAGATGAATGAGGATCCATTTACTCGATGATAATACATGTTCTCGCGGTTATTCGTGAGCACTCGGTGCTTCGCAAGTGACAACGACGCGCTCTCAGTGCGCGTGAAGATGAGACAAACATGACAAACGCTCTTGTCACGGTGTATCAATGCGTGAATCGCGAAGCGAAAGTGCAGGTTACGCGTGTGTAAACATAAAACCGGTGAATTGACGACGATATTAATAATTATTTACATAGAATCGTCGTCAGTCGGAGGATTTTTAGTAACAGGACGTGATTACGTTGCACCGAAAGTGGTAACTTTTTCGGAGTAAGCGAAGAGGGGAATTTTTATAAATTGATCGCTTTCTCTTGGCACATATTCCAGAAAATATTTTCTGATACATCATTACGACATGTGAAATAGTGATCTGATCTGTCTGATTAATTTTCTACACCGTTATCGCTGTCAGTGCAATCTACATTTTTTACGGTAATCTTCGTAGAATGGACATCGTTAGCGATGTTGTCGATTTCTTCTTGTAAGTGCCGTCGGTGTTAGGTATTAAGATATCAGTTGAAGCGCATATAAAGGAGGACGAAAATAAGATACGTAGAAATTTCGGGAGGAGAGAAAAAGAAATTTGGGTTCTCGACAATGAGATGACACATGAATGATTCGTGGATGACTATAGTTTTACCGCTTCGACGACACTACGATGTTACGAACGATTACTCACAAACCGATCTGATCCTTGTAACGTCAACTAATTTTCCGTTCTGATGCCCGTCTAACACGAAATTCGGTCATTAGGATTATTTACAAAGAGGCACGTTATACACGACGTACGAGCACGATGTCATGTCATGTGTGTATGCTATCGATGAGAGTGAGAGTGTACTTCGGCCGGATCTATTTAACATATATGGTGTGAGCACGATCAATATTTACACCTATACATAAAATTCTACACGAATAAGTTATTTCACACATATATGTATCCGTAACATATAAAAGAGCAAATTGCTCGGCTTCAAATCTATCGCAGTAACGACACAAAAAATCGCAAAAACGACCGATTATAAATTTTCAACATTTCGACTTTTCGTGTTAACTCAACAAATCAATATTTACTACGGTCTTCAAAATGCATTTTACCCACGACTCGTACATTTAAAAATCATTCTGCATGTACGAATTGTACTGTAGTAATGTAAAAACATAAATGTTAGATATTGCTAAACATGGAAAAACGAGAAAGAAAATAAAGAGCTTTAGATATTTTATTTTATTTGTTTAGTGGTGTATGTGTGTGTGTTTGAATTAGATATTGAAGATATTGAAAATTGCATCACTGCGACAGGTCTGACCCGAGTCGCGCTGCGACTACTTGAGTACTTTAATGGTGGTAGGTATCACACATGAACAAGTTTCCACACAAGTGAATTGACAGTAAATACATCGTAACGATTTCATTTTCCCTCGATTGACTCTAACGTAAATTGATGCCAATCTCTTACCACCATTATCATTTCATCTAAATTGCATTTACAGCTGCATATAAAATGTACAGGTGTATCCGCTCGAACTAAGCAGAATTTACGCTGCGCGGTCGCGACGTGCTTTCTCTGACGCTACGCATTGTATCGATTTATATGTTCCCAAATTAAATTTTTAATGCGCAAATTTTGGAACTATGAGAAATATACGCGATATAGTTTCTGTAAAAATAAATCGACGCAATGCAAAAGCGCTGTCTGCAAGTATGTTCTCGATTATCGTATAACTATCGCGAGGAGCTGCAAAGTGCTGCCCTTTGCAAAATATCTATAGACACAAACAGATTTCGAATAATATCCAAACACGTTATCGCATTGTGCAAAATTTTATTTTTAATTTACGTTTGAGCAATTCTTAGCTGAATTTTTATATAAGATTTAGCTGTCAAAATCGTTTTCTTATAAATCTAGCCAAATTTTTATTTGATACCGTGCAAAAAGATTTTGGATATTATCCGAAAATATCCTATATAAATGATTAAAAAATTTGAAAAGCACGCAATAAATATAGAAAAAAATGTCGAGATAACGTGCGTTCGTATGTATGAAAACCGTACACAAAAGAAATATTTATACATGAATGCGTGTGTATATATATTTATATGCGTATGTACACGCACAACAGAGATATTACGCTAACCTCTTTCTCCTGCAGCGCGCCTGGTCGGCCGGGCTTAGTCTGTATGTGGTGCGTGAAAAAACAAAAGATGAGATAGAGACAGAGGTAGAGACACGTAGTGGGGGTGAGAAAGAGAGAGATTACAAACTCGAATTTCTGGGGGTTTACATAGGGGTGGGCTCGTGTCAGGCGCTGCCCGACAAGGGGTTGGGGGCTCGCCTCCTTTCGATATGTGAGAGAAAAGAAAATTAAAATTATTGATCAGTAAATTATTTGTCAATGAGCTCTCTCACGAAAACGTAGTATTAAAAAAACGCGATATTAAATCGCAGTGATTGAAAAAAGTAGCGGCTAGCGTGTGACAGCGACAGCAGCAGCAGCAGCAACCCCAAAAAATCCAGCTAAAAATGTCGCAGAATTATATTTTTTATTATTTTATTAATATTATTATTATATTATTATCATTTTTATCATCATCATCATCATCATTATCATTATTATTATCATTATTATCATCATCATCATCATCATTGTCATCGTTGTTGTTATAATATTATTATTGTTATTATTATTATTAATATTAATATTATTATTATTATTATTATTATTATTATTATTATTATTTGCCGTCCCATGGTAATGCGTGGCGTTGTTTTTGCCTCGTTGGATACTTTATCGTCGAGTAGATTTTAGTTTTCGTTTGGTTACTGCTTTGTCTTTTCGGGCGGTAATCGGAGGGCGTGAGGGGCATGGACGGGCAAAATACATAACAAAATCGTAAGGGGAGGCTCGAGTGCGCAGAAAAATTCAAAAATTCAAAAAGGGGCACGGGCATCGTAGAAGAAAAAAAAGAAAGGAAAAGACAGTAAAACAGAGCAACAGTATGGTACAGATGTTCGCTGGTGCTGGCACTTAGCAGGTAAGCTTTGTGTTATTGCGAACACAAATCTCACCTTTGCGTCCAACACCTCACCGGGCCGTAACCTTCCCAACTGCAAAAATCACAGAGACGAACACATGAGGGTGACTGACGTGACTGCCCGTCATCGTGGAGATCGGATTTTCCCATCGCCGCTTGTCACGCGGATCGTTAACCCTTGCCGACGAGTTCGCACAGAACTGTCGTCAAGATTGTTCTCTTTTTTTCTCTTTTCGTGTGTATGCGTGTGAATCTCTCTTTTTGCGAAGAGCGATCGGCAAAAAGCAAGTATCTTCAAAAAAAATATTTTTCAGAAAAAATGAACAAAAACAATCCTGCGCGCCTGCCTTGGCACTTGTTAAGGCTGCGATAAAAGTTACGGGGCAAGTTGTGACTTTCTTTCGCTTTTTCCGCCGAGTTAAATTATTATTTGCCTGGAGGCTAGGGAGGGAGGCCAGAGATAGAATTTTGGTGGGTAGAAGAACAGGTGAAGTGTTGGAAGGCGACGGACAGGAACCTCGCGAAAGACGAACACAATGTGGCTGCACTTCAGGGTGAGGGCTTATTCGAGGCTCGCCTTACCGACGTTCCGACGGCTGTGCATTTGCATTTCGGCGGTGCATTGCTACACAAAAGTGCGATTGGGCGGTGCACGTATCAGAGCTGATGCGTCAGTGAGCTTGAGTACAATGAAATTCGTAGATTTCGCATGTGATCGCACGAGAGACACGAGCCTCTCTCTGTTTTCCTTCCCTGGACGGTGAGTCGCCGTCGTAGGAACAAACCGAGAAGTGCATTTCGGTTCCCCCGAATCCGCGACGTTCAAATCATTATATATCTTTATACGAGACATTTCACGTTATTGTCCTCTGAAAAATGACCATCGGGATTCGAGGTAACCAACTAATGAGGAGCAAGCCGTCGTACATCAGCGAGTCGTCATTATGAATTCGCAATCTCAAAGTTAGTCGCCTTACGGAATTAATGAAGAGTGATCGTTTCGTTGTAATAACATCACTCGTACCGTCACCGGTGATAAGTTCTGCCCGAGGAAGCCAATAAAACATTTCAAGCCGATTGACAAATTGGACTTCATCTGGACTTTACCCGTCGTGACGTACGTCACGATTTTTGCTTCACTCGACCGATCTCGCGGCTTCGCCATCTCCTCGCGGTAAAGACGTTCGAATCTGTCCGATTCACGGCGTCGATATACGGCGGAGGTATGCGATAATTCAAATCAGCCCTTCTGCCGAGTTTGATGATGATGCACGTTCGTTGGCAGAGCGAGGTGACAAGAGACGCTCGTGAGATATGATTCACACGTCGTGTCGCTGCCCGGAACATTTATTAGCGTCGATGTTTGCCGCGACGGCGGACAATGCTTGCCAAGACAAGTGATCTACGAGTCGAAATGTAAGCCAGGGAGAATTCGAAAATTTGTATGCGGATGATCGACGACGCGACTCGCTGATACACGCCGAGCTTCCACTCGCTAACGATCCCTTCGTGTCCCCCATTATTAATATTAATATTAATATTATTATTATTATCGTGTGTGTATGTGTGTGTGTGTGTGTGTGTGTGTGTGTGTGTGTGTGTGTGTGTGTGTGAAAAGAGGGCCAATGTGCATAGACTCGGTTGCAACAGATCCGTGCCAGATGCAGAGGTGCATTCGCTGTTTTTTATTCGCTGCTCAACTTTTGGATTACGTGTGTCGAAACATCGAAGGAGATGCGCGCGCGAGAGTTTCGCTCTCAAGTGCGTCATTTAAGAAAAATCAAGTGTACTCCAGGTGCGTACGTATTCACTCAGGTACGTGTTGAAAACTCTCTCACGCGCAAGTCACGCACACCGTCATCGAGAATCGAACCATTCGCGTACGCTGTGACCCGAGTCGACGATAATCTCGATCAGAATAACGGTAACGATACTGCGATGCTGCGATTAAATTCGCGACGACGCGTGTGCGCTTCGTGCATTGTGTGCTGTCAGGTACAACCACAGTGAGTAGAATAGTAGTAATGAGCAGGCATGATCGGGCAGAGAGAATCGTCGTGGGCTCTTCGTGTGATCGTATCATCGACGATCGACGAAACGATGGATCTATTTTCCCGAAGAAGGTCCCGGCCGATCCTCTAAGCGCGATACTCCAGTGAGTGTGTGTGAGCGAGAGGTAAAGAGTGTGTGAGTGAGAAAAATAAGTGAGAGTAAAATATACAAGTGCACTGCTAGTCGAGTAATAAGGTTGCAGACGAGACATTCGCTTTTTACGTTCTCAGCGATTATTGATCTCACCTTGCGCTCGTCCACCACCTCGCCGGGACGAAGCTTCCTATGCTCCTAGATGGACCAGATCTCTATTAACCACTACTGTGACGAGGTGAACGTGGACGTGGCTGTGTGCACGCGCGCGTGTGTCTATGGTGTGGGTGTACGTGCGCACGTGTAGGTGTGTTTGTGTGTGTGTGTGTGTGTGTGTATATGCGATGCTGTAACACGTCTACATTGCTTCACACGGTCGTTTCGATTCTCTCTCCGTCCGGATTTTCATTCTCCTACCGCAGGCACGCCGGCTAGACGTATCGAAATGCGTTCCCCGCCGCGCGTCTCATCTCTAACTTGAACGCGAACCAAGTCTCGGATCAAATCTCTAAACTAAATGAATTATATTAAAGAGGCCAGCTTAATTTTAGTGACTCCAATTAATAATGTTCCGCATGTTTTCCTGTCTTCTGAAACGGACTTCGAGTTATAATTACTCGCAAAGCCCTAACGGATGTTCTCGGTTGCGCAATTTTTTAAGTAGAACTGTGAGAGAAAGGGAGGAGAAAAGAGTATCGTTTTCCCGAGACGAATCCTCTCATTACGAGCTCGGATAAGACCTCGAAATTACGATTTAGCGCGTCTCAGAACGCTTTCGATCGTCTGCACGCTTGGGCGAAATATAGACTCCGCTTTCGGCAATTATCCGTGTTTCTTCGACCTTCTTCTCGGTGCCTGAGCTCTTCAGGTTGTTGTTTTCCGTTTTCCGTAGCAAAGTTAGCCTCGACATTACGCATCGGAGACCTCCATCTCGTCTTTCGTTTTTTTCCTCTTTTCTTTGCTTTTCTTCCCTGGGGGGGGGGGGAACACCTTTGCCGGTGTTCGCGTGCGACGGGACAAGTAAGGTCGGAGTAATAGCGGAAAATAGCTGAGGTTTCGTCCTCTTTTTTTTTTTCTTATTTGATCAAAGGGACTTGGAAAGGTTTGCCTCAGAAGCTGGCCAATTTCGGATTTTTCATTTGAGGGGCCGGGGGTGGAATGCTAAACTAAATATCACGCCTTGCTGACACTAAAACGCGACGTGCACACTCGACGCTTCACGGCGACGTAGCCGAGCTCGTCGGGGATTCACGTCAGCATGTATCTATCGCTAATACCATCACGAGTACGATCACTATATATCACTGACGTCACTACGAAACCCAAAAAAAAGCTACAAAAAATTCTAGGGCCAACCAGCAGTAGCCAGTCATCTACCTACTTGTTTGTTGTCGAGTATCTTATGCGACTCGTTATTTGTTTACCTAGTGGGGGGTACTCGTACGAGCGCATTGCACCTTGGAATGTATTTTGCACATCGTAATATGTTGTTATAAAAAGAAAAGAGCCCGTAATTTTTTGTTTATGTCTCAAATGGAAGTATCTTTCAAAAATGATAAATACTCGAAAGTTTAGACTCTGTCTCGAAAATATGATAATTTATCTGACTCTGTATATTGTTGAGGTCAGCGTTTTTTTTCGATGAGCGCGTGATAAAATGTGCGCGTGCGTAGAATGTAAAAACTATTGTGATATTAACTACAACATTTTTACCGTAATTTTCGCCGATTGTTCCCGTCATTGCTTTTCATTGTAATTATCATGAGATCGATCTAGATTCAAAAGTGCAAAGTCTGTCGTCTTTTTATCGACATCACCCTGTTTGCTTTATCGATATGTTCGATATTTTCCATATGTTACAATCCTCCGAGAAGGCTTTAACAAGGCTTGAGTCATGAATCAGCATTCTACCGAAATAGACCCACCGCGTCGTGAAATCGTTTATTTTTAGACATCGGTCATTTTCAGCTAATTGGAACAATGTCTGGCAATTTGACAAGATCCTTCCGATAAATTAACAAATTTAGCAACTCCTTCGTCTCCTCGGATATCGACGAGACACTTCGTAAAGCAAACAGCGTGATCTCGTAAGCGCGTATGAACGTAACAGAGCTATTTCGAAAGACTTCCGAAATTTCGTACCATCCGACGAATCCACTTTTATTTTTACGTAAACGTTCGATGATTAGTTATACTCAATTACGCGAGTGATTAAAGTGTCCGATTCTAATGGAACGTCTGATCGGATTAATTTAAACTGACTCCCCGAAGCACTCGGACAATGTAATATTGCGAAAGTCTCTGTTGCATTCTTCAGCTTGGTCCCCTACAAGGTAATCTATATACCTTCGTCATCACACAGTACATTCCGTAACATACCTCGTCACTGATGATCAGGCTAGGTCTACGACCCAATTCCTCGGGCGGTATGAGCGAACCGCGTCGACTGCTGGCACCACTTCCGGGCGCTAAGGAGCCTTTCCTGCTACCGACCGGCGTCACGTCCTTGATAACTTCGATCTTCGGTGCCTCGGGTGCTTTGATCTCCGGTAACTTCGGCTACGATCATTGAAAATTGATCGATTAACTCAAACGCGCCTTCCTTCCGAAATCCGGTCGGCTCGAACGAAAAGCTGAAGCGGATCCTTGGACCCTTACGGTTGATCCAGACAATATCAGCTGCCCCTACTCGTGACGATTCAAAACTCGACATTTTTTCTGTCAGTAGAAAGATCGCAACGCTACAATAGAAAAAAAATAAAAAATAAAAAACGAGCGAGAAAGAAAGAATCACGGAAGAAAAATTTCATACTACTTCATACGTTTCGCCGATACTGCTTCGCGAATGAACGCGCATCTATCGCGAAATCCGTCGAGACGCGCCGTATTTATTCGGCGGACGAAGAAGTCACGTCTGTTCCGGGGATTCATCTTCGACGACGAGATGAAGCTTCGGAGAACCACGAGTGTAACGTTAACCCTCGCGCTCTCGATCCTCGATTAACCCAATAGAACCCAACAGCTTTCAGTTCGATGGCCGACTACACCGCGACAATTCGTTCGGCCCCCGAACGCGGGGGCGCGGTCCCCGGGCCCTTCGTTAAGGGTTTACCGAGAGGGGTGCACCGAGACTTTCGCGGTATTAACACACTGATAATACAACACGCTCGCGCTCGTAGGGCTCGTAAGACTGACCCCGCGATCTGAATCTCACATTCCGCCGCCCGCGATGCAGGCCCGAGGACGACGGGGGTTCGGTCGCAATAAGTCCGAAAATAACGATCGACGTTTTCTCCATCTTCGTGCACGGCGGCGGCGGCGACGGCGACGAGGACGAGAGACGACGCGGTCTCCGAGATCTCAGAGGGGTGATATACGAGCGCTTATCCGCCAAAATAGTTCGCTCGCGGGCGCGGCATCGCATATTGCAGGAAGCATTAATCGCTTGCCAAGGCGAGATTCGGGCCGCCTGATTATTACCCCTTTCCGCCCCCTTCCCACTAATCCGCTTGTCGATCCTCCCCCCTTTGCACAAATCGCCGCCTCGGGAGAGCGGTCGTTAATTGTGATTATTATGCAGATGGAACGAGGGTATTTATGGTCGCGAGGACACCTGAGAGTTCTCTCTTTTCGACGAGAACGGGAAATATGAGGACGCTCCTCTCGCGCTGAGGAGCTGCCAGGTCTTCTCGTCGCGCCAGAGGTCGGCCTCTGGAAGAAATGCGTTCGCTATGTTTGTTCGCTCGAATGTCGCACCGATTCTGTCGTGTCGATAAAGCGCGAGCCGCTTTATGAATAAGAAATTTGAAAGACTATTGTGCGGTGAGTAATACGATTTCATAAACTTTTCGTTATTCAACACTTATTCATCTAAGGCGAAACGTTTCGCTGGATGGTCGTATTTTTAGACGTAGACGTAGACGGTTACTTAAAAAAATCCCCCGTCTTTCTGTCCCGAGCGTCTGTCGTTTTGCACCTCATCTATAATTAGCCCGTGCGCAAATCGAGCGTAAAAATTAATTATCCTGAACTGCTTGTATCAACAGTCCTCGATCAAAACAGCTCTCGGCGACTTAGCGATTGCGAAATCCGCAGGGTTTCTTGTATGAGCGAACTTGGCGGTTTAGCAAAATCATATTCTCCCTTCGTTATTAATAAACGATGATTACTCACCTTAGATTCGAATTTCTGCAAAGCGCCATGGAAACAGAAAGGATATAATTAGTCGAGAAGAATCGCGGCAGATGCCTCTTTCACTTTTCAATTTAAATGTTCCTCAACTATAATCCTCAACTATACGAGTGTTATGCAACAGATAATTAATCAACATCAATCCTGTAGTGTACGCTATCCTTCTCAACGGCTTTTTTCATATTCAAATTATTATTCGATGTATCTCTAATTATTTCGACATTCTCATGTGTTGCTCAGGAGTTACTCGCTAATATGCGAAGGGACGCTCAATTATTTTCTTACCTGTGTAGCCGGTCTGTCGAGTTTCGTTTTATCGCGAGGCACAAACTCGCCGAAATCAAACTCCTGAGGCTTCTCGAGGACGGCCCTCTCGTAATCCGGGATCTCCGGAAGTTCATAACTCGCCTCTTTTGCTTCTTTTGATACTTTCATCTTCTTCACCTCCAGTTTCTCACCCTTCTCCGTTTTCTGCGTGTGAAGGACGTATCAGTGAGCAAAACAGAATCGTACAAAGTGAAGTTAGTATGTACATTATTAACATGTGCTCTTATTTATTAGAAACGTCGTTGAGACTCGGAAAATTTACATGACGAAGAAATATTTACATGATAAAGATGGTGAGAAATATCAGAACAGGCGGATAGATGAAGTAATGCGAAAAGAGCAGTCTCCTTCACACTCCGTGAAGAGTGAAGAAAGACGCGAAAGTACAGAGATGATAAAAATAGAAAAGAGACACAGCGGCCTCTTAGAAATGTCCTGCAAGTCTTGTTACCAAGGAAAAAAAAATTAGGTACGGATTATGTGAAAAAGTTAGCGATTGAATGTTGACAGAATAAGAGATAGGTGCAGTAACATGTAGCTTGGATAAACGCCAAGAGATATATAGATGTAGATATTATTTAAGGATAGTATAGATATTATTAACAGAAAATATGAGAGAACATTCAGTGCTTGAATTAATTTCGCTCGTATCAAGAACGCATTTCGCTTGTATTAAGTACGAAATGTCTCCTGAAATATAGTGTGAAAACACGAATGCATAGAGATATATTTCCGTGCGCTGTTTAACACTGCGAAGTTTTATATACGCTGCAGATTGAAGTTTAGAGACACAGAAAAAAGAAAAAGAGAAAGAAAGAAGAGAGCGACACAGAGAGTGCAGCAAGTTCGTTGATCCCCTTCAACGGGGCTACCTTAAGCTCGACAACATTCTTTTCAGCCTGCTGAGCCTCTTTCGGCTCTCTTGCGACTGGCTTAAGTTGAATCTGCTGAAAGGTTTCCTTTTTAACTTCCTGTTTCGGCGGTAATTTTCGGAGTTTCAATTTCGCATCGGTGGCATCCTTCGGCTGCATTAATACATAATTTCTTTTTTACAAAAAAAAATACATAATTTCTACGAAATAGAATTTTTCGAGGGTCGATATTTCTTACCCGACGGTAATTTAGAAATGCTTTTATTTTAAGGACGACAATAACTCACAAAGCTCTAATATACCACATTAAATTTTAAGGTAACAAATGAAGTGTTAAATTAGGTATTAAACTAACTAATTCTATCAGGGCTGATTTCGTTATTGCTTCTACTTCTACCAAGGACGATACATTGGACAATTACTACGATGAATGATCGTAAATAAATACGACAAAAGGAATGCACGTACCTTAAGCTCGACCTTCTCCTGAGCTTTCTTCTCCTCTTCGAGTTGCTGAAACAAACGAAAGTAATATTTATGTCCAGATACAAAGTATTTTAGAAAAAAATATATGTACAGGAATTTAATATTTCTTTAATATAATCATCATTATTTAATACAAATCTGTCTTAATTACCTTGGTAGACCTCAGACTCATTTTCCTGACCTCTTCTTCCTTCTGCAAATAAAAACACAAAAACTATAGAATTTTATTCCATACGACGCGTCTGGTGAAATCCACATATCGATTCTTAATTCATATTTATCTACATGTAAAGTGTGTTAGACTGCATTTTCTATGTGTTATATGTATGTTATGTAGAGTGTACCTTTGGTTCTTCTGGCTTAGTTGCGAATGTTTTCGCGGGTTCCTCTTTCTAGAAACACAAGAGCCTGCTGTATCTCGATTTTTTTTCGCGTTAACCGATAACCGAATGTTATCTCTCTTTCAATAACAATTTCATCACACTGACTATTGTGTGTAATGTTTAAAAATGTTTGAGTATACCTTCGCTTCCTCTACTTTGAGTTTAGCTTTCGGTTCCTCCTAAAAAGTGTACGTGCAAGATATAATAAAAATTACTGTTACTGTTGACGTGCGATCTAAAATTTTGACTATCAATTTCGGTGTTGATGTTCGAATGTAATATGTATAGAGTGTCTTGTGTACCTTTGGTTCGTCTGGTTTAAATTTAGCCTTTGGCGCCTCCTACAAATGTATGAATAAATACATTTAGTATTTGCTTGTGTATTGTGTATTGTGTTCTATTTGTGTCTCGTTTTGTATTTTATATGTTTCCATCGTCCATTTGTGCAAGTATTTCGTGTTTACCTTGACTTCCTCAGGTTTAGCCTTAGGCATTCCTTCGATCTAAAAGTGTACAAGGGTTTATATAATCGTAATGTTTGTGTGCATCTCCATACGTAAGTGTAAAGTGTAATGTGTCATTGTAAAAATATAACGAGTGAGAGAAAGAGACGTGTACCTTGTCTTCCTGCGGTTTAGGCTTGAGTGTCGGTGTTTGCTGAAAGTGTACGCGTCGTGTTTGAGTATCAAATTAGCGAGTTTTGCAACAATAATATGTGTGTCTGTGTAGTGATGCGAAATAAAACGCAAGTATAACGACTGTGTACCTTCGCTTCTTCTGTTTTAGGTTTAACTTTCGGTTCCTCCTAAAAGTGTACGCGTAACGTATAATAAAACTTGTCTTGCGTGTCAATCGTTGCAGAATAGTGCGGTCTATTTTCATCTACTTCTATTAGTAGTTAGCGACCTAACTGCCAAAAATTAACTACAGAAATGCGCGGCATGATAAATCTTTTATGTACCTTTGGTTCGTCGGGCTTGGCCTTGGCCTTTGGTGTTTCCTAAAAGTGTACGAGTAGTTGTTTATAAGTTCCCTATTCGCCAAATTTCTACTTATATATCTCCTTTCAATCCGAATCTCTTTCTCGTCAATCACAAACTCTATTCGTGTAAGTGTACGTGGTAAGATAGAGTGAGTTTTCAAGTGTGTACCTTTACCTCTTCCGCTTTGGGTTTGATTTTCAGTCCCTCCTAAAAGTGTACGCGCAAAGTTTTAACGATGTGTATTTGTCGCGTCAATTACGCTAAAGTATGTTTCAACCGATTGGTGAAATCAGTGTTAGAGAACGTGACGTAAAAAGTATTTCGTGTACCTTCGGTTCTCCCGGCTTAAGCTTGGCCTTTGGCGCTTCCTAAAAATGTATAAGTATATAGTGTTTAATACTGTCTCCTACTTGCCACAATTTTAATCATATTTGTCGTATTTTATTATTTGTACGTATAAGTATATAAATTGTGGTACATAGTGTATATGCGAAATATACCTTTACTTCCTCTGCCTTGGTCTTGGCTTTTGGTTCCACCTAGAAACGTCGAAAACGTGTTTAAACGTGAGTAGATATGTGCAAGTCGCACATCAATGACACCATGTTAATATGACCGCTGCTCATTTTCATATTATGATTTTAGACAAAGAAGTATCGTGATTTTAGAGAATGCAATGTTATTTTATAGATCATGTTAAATAATTTTATATATTGTAATTTTATACATCGGGCGTTAAATTCTTTTTTAATATTTTTAAGTCAGTTTAATTGTCATAATTAATTTACGCAAAGTGTTAACGTCAGTATTAAATAAGTGAGTAATGAAGATGTTATGTATGCACGGATAACAGTATAATTGTGTTCTGTATATACCTTCGCCTCTTCCGCTTTGGGCTTAGCTTCCTCCTAAAACGCAATAGATTGATGTTTTCAGATTGCAATATTGTGTATTTTTTCTTTTTTTTCTAAGAAAATTTAATGTAGTAATGCGCGAGACAAATATTAGAAATAAATCACGCGCAATCACGTGAAGGGCTTTATATGTGTGTATCGTTTCTCGAATTTGGAGAGTGTGCCCTTTGTGTACCTTGCGTGTTTCTGGTTTTCCGGGAGTTTTCGCTTTTGTGGTCGGTTCCTCTTTCTAGAAAAATATACGTATTGTGAGGCACATTTTACAAAGGGTCTACATCTGTTTAAATGCCACAATAACAGATAAAGAACAGGAATATGTAGAAATATGTATTGAGATATATATAGAGTTATAAACGCCTCTGTATAATTAGCTCACTTTTATATGTAGTATATAATGCACAACGTAATTTGCATGTTAATGCAATTTTAAGACAGAATAACAATACATTAAAAGCATACGGCGCTTCTGCGAAGGTTAACAGCAGATATTTGCGATCAATACAAAAGATTATGTATATTTTAATGTGTGCAGGAAATATAAAAGTCTGACCATTTTGTATTGTATTTTTATACATTGATATATTTGATGACGATTTGTATACCTTAGCGTCATCCACGGGTTTAGGTTTCTTCTTCTTTGGTTTCAATACCGGTTCTTGGTCCTGGACAATATTTATAATAAATGAGATTGTCGAAGATTAGAGGAGAAAGAAGAAGAAGAAGATCAAGAAGAATAAGAACAAGAAGAAGAGTATCAAGAAGAAGTAAAGCAAAAGAGGAAGAAGAAGATATCCAGGTTACGAGAAAGAAACAGAAGAAAGTATCATAAGAATGGTTGACTTGATAGAAGATATCAATATTTATGAAGAAAGGGTTTCGAAAAGGCGACCGAGAATTGAAAAGAAGTCGATGACGAGCATCGACAGAGAAGAAAGATCACTCTGTACCTCTGAGCCCTCGGTTGACTTAGTAGACGACCTACGTCTAGTGGTCAGCTTTTTCTAAAATTGCACAAAGACACAATGAGACGGAATCGTCAATTTCGGAAAGTGCGTCACGCGTGACAATATACTCAAAGTATAAAATTTCTCATCTTATACCTTGGGTACTTCTTCTTTGTCAAGTGTAGAGTCAGTGATCTCAAGTGTATTTCTGATCTAAAATAAAGAAAAAGAAAGATATTTCCAGTGTCATTTGTATTTATCGTGCGTTAAAATCGTATTGGAACGTTTACGACTATATGTGTACCTTAGGTTTGCTGTCGGTTATTTTGTGTTCGGGTATGTCATCCTCCTAAAAAGATCGAAGAGTCAGGTGTAAGAGCATGTTATCCTCTCGTAAACAACGAGTAAAATAAGCGTGATGTAAAAACTTTATTTTAAGTATTTAAATGGTAAAATGTGTTTTTTTCAAGTATGAAGTCTATAATTGATATTTAGAGACACCAAGTGTAATATTAACATTTAAAGTATTTATCTCATGATTTATATTATAATAATTAATATCTAGATTTAGTTACAAGTATAATCAATATTGAAATATTAGATATAATTGCGTAATTCGCCGATTATAATTGTAAGTGTAAAAAGTGTGTACCGTGGTTTCTTTGAGTTTGCTAATACTGCCCCTGGATTTGGTCGCAGGTTTAGATGCATTTGTACAGGCAGGTTCCTGTCAATATCGTATGCAAATTTTAGAAACCATCGAGTGGAATCAGATACACTCTAATTTATAACGTACTGAGAATATACGAATATTTGCGTTAAATATGTATATACCTCGACTCCATCCTCGATCTTATACGACGCGACTTTGGAAATCCGCGAGTCCTGAAAGTTAACCGATAATGTATTACGATTTCATGCCGTGAAAGATATGACAAAGATAAACGCAGCGTCAAGTATAATTCGCGAGTTCTATACCTCCGTCCTTCTAATAGATTTAGGCGCATCGTCCTCGGTTCTCGAAGCCCAGATATCCTACGATCGCGTATTCTTTCGTTACATTTGGTATAAATTTGGTATACATTTGGTATAAAATTAAATAACAAGAAAAAAATACAATGTATACATGTCTGCGAATTTTGTACCTCAATATCGTCGTCGGATTCGTGTGTTTGCGGTTTACTGGCGGGCAAAACAACGTCCTAAAAAAATTAAAAAAAAAATAATTTTCCACTTACGCATATATTGCGTAATCATATATGTGTGTGAGTATGTGTGTATATGTGTGTTTATGCACTTGTCGTGTACCTTGTCGACCGTGACGGAATTCTGTTCATTCTCGGTGGACGTCGGTGCCCAAATGTCCTAAAATAATAAGCCAATTGAACAAAAATAGATAAATAAATTAACGATGCTGCGCTATAGTATCGCAAGTGTTGTTTGACTAACATAATTGTAATGTGTATAATAAGTTTTGACATCTTGATCGAGTGGTGTTTTGTGTGGTTGTCGTGTGTCTGTGGAGCGCGACGTGTCCTAAAATGACAACATACTTCATATCAGGATGTTTCGCGGAAGTGTGTGAATGTAAATTATAAAAATGCAGAAAGTATGGACATGAGATGAGTTTGTGCGCTCGTGTACCTCGTCGTTGCGTGGCACGTATTTGTCGTCGTATCCTCTCGACTTTGGCGTCAATTTGTCCTAAAATTTCAACGATTTGACTTTGACACATCCCAGATGCATACAGCTCAGAAGCTGACGGTATATTATACGACCAGTAATTTTGCAGATATGTTATCTATCACGTCATCTATAACTGTCTACCTCGTTATTTTGCGTAGATTTGAAATCACGTGTTTTCGGTTTACTCGAAGGCGCGTTATCGACTTCGCTTTGTTCATCAGGTTTCGATACACGTCGCATAGTCTTGATTTGCGGTGTGTCCTATAATAACGATGTTTTTTTTGTTTACGAAATATATTAAGCGTGTAAATGTGTAGAGAAATGTTGTGCGATGTACCTCGTCAGTTTTGCGTGGCTTGCTCTCACGTTCCTTCCGACTAGACCATATGTCCTAAAAATATGTACGAGCGTTAAAAAATATATAAAAAAAATGTATACGATGCAATAGCATGTGTAATGTGTCATGTGTACCTTGATGTCTTCATCGGATTGACGGCGAGGGGATTTATCTTTAATTTTAAGCGAATCCTACAATAATATCGCATTTAAAATGTCGCGTCTCTTATGCTCTAACTTTGATGCTTAATTTTGGTTTAATAAAATGGTAAATTTGGTTAATAAAATTTTTTCCTTTACGTATGTAACATGTACCTCATAATTTTTCTGTGGCTTATCTTTACTCTCTTTTCGACTGGACCAAATGTCCTAAAAGTTCCAACGTTAAAAAATATAGAAAAAAACATGTACGAAGCAATGAAATGTGTAATATATATACCTCGATCTTTTCATCAGACTGACGACGAGGAGATTTATCCTTGATTTTAGGGGAATCCTAAAATAACATCGAAATTGTAAATTGTGTTCTTTTTTATTTTAACCCGATATCGTAAAGTGTACCTCGTAATTTTTGCGTGGCCTATTCTCACGTTCTTTTCGACTGGACCAAATATCCTATAAATATCGACATTAAAAAAATATATTAAAAAAATGTAAAACACGCAATGTAATGTGTAATGTGTAATGTATAATGTGTATACCTCGATTTCTTCGTTAGATTCACGAGGAGACAGTCTATTCGTAGTTTTCGGCGAATCCTAAAATATCGATGTACTTAAAATACTATTTATTTTTACACGCTTTATGTTCTATAGTGTCATACTTATATCATTCAATAAATTAAAGTGTGCATACTTTAATATATTTGCTGGAAGGAATATCCTTCGGCTTAGTCGACCAAATATCCTAGATATTAACATTGAGATATTAATATTGATATTTTAAAGATACGCAACGTATGACCGAATTGTATTATCAAGGCATCATGTACCTCAATTTCCTCGTCGGATTCTTGTGGACGTGTCGTTTTGTCGATGGGTGCGTCGTGTAGATATGTTTTATCTTTCGATATTTCGTCAGACTTTCGTGGTTGTGTTTTAATTGTGCGTGTGTCTTGAGAAAATGTTTTATCTTCGTTAGATTTTCGTGGTTGTGTTTCAGCTGTAAAAGTATCCCGCGGACGTGTTTCATCCTTCTGCACGTCGATAGACTTTCGTGATTCCGTTCTAGTTGTGGGTGTATCATGTGAACGTGTTTCATTTTTCGGTACCTCATCTGATTTTCGTGACTGTGTCTTAACTGGAGGTGTATCTTGTGGACGTGTTTGATCTTTCGATATTTCAGGAGATTTTTGTGATTGTGTTTTAGTCGCGGGTGTATCTTGTAAATGTGCTTTATCTTTCGATACGTCATGCTTTCGTGATTTTATTTTAGTTGACGGTGTGTCCAATGAGTATACTTTGTCTTTTGATATCTCGTCAGATTCTTGTGGTTGTGTCTTAGCTACGAGTCTATCAGATGGGTGTATTTTGTCTTTCGATTCTTCGTCGGATTTTTGTGGCTGCATTTTGACCGTACGTGTGCCATATGGAAGTGTTTTATCTTTGGATATGTCCTAAAATAACATTACATAAAAAAAATATTGTATTTAAGAAATTCTAATTTCTCGCGTATTTATTTTACATATTCGTGAAATATTTATAAAATGTTTGTTATAATAAATATATTTGTGTACTTTATCATATTTTCCGGAGGCGGTGTCGCGTTCTTTTGGCTTAGTGGACCAAATATCCTACAAGAGATTAGTCATTTAAAAAGTCACTGCGTAAAATAAAAAAAACATGCCTAAACGAAAAATACGAATATACCTCGATTTCCTCGTCAGATTCTTGTGGACCTATTTTATCCGTACGCGTGTCACTAAGGGGTGTTTTATTCTTTAACATTTCTTCGGATTTAAATGAAGACTTTTTATCTGTGAATGTGTCGTGTAGATGTGTTTTATCTTTTGGTTCTTCGTCGTATTTGTATGGATAGGTTTTAGCTGTGAGTGTGTCATGTGTACCATATGAAGGTGTTTTATCTTTCGATATATCCTAAAATAATATTTTAAAGTATTATATTTCCTAATTGATTATTTAAAATTATCTATGATAATTGATAATTGTATTCGCGTACTTTATCGGGTTTCTTGGATTCAACGTCAAGTTTTGTTGGCTTAGACCAGAAATCCTAGAAATAATAACGTTTTAAGAATGTGCAACGTGCACTTTGTGAATTATGGAGCGACAATGTGTATTATGTACCTCAATTTTCTTGTCAGACTTTTGTGGATATATTTTATACGTTGATGTTTCGAGTGTTTTATCTTTTGGTACTTGGTCGAATTTATATGTGAGTGTCTTGCTCATAGAAATGTCGTGTACTTTATTTCTCGATGTGTCCTAAAGTAATATATTTAAAACTTTATGATATTTTGTAATCGATTGTGTTTTAATGTGCATCGGATTGTATAGATAAATTTATCTAAAGATGAAAACTGCACGATTCTCCACTGAGTTTCCACTGTAAAATTGTCTACGCACTATAAATTTGGCAAAAATCAACTTGGCTGCAAATAAAACTACTTTCTAAAACTATTTGGGAAAAAATATTATCTTAGGTTAACACATGCTGCTGCTCTGGCGAACAATAAAATTGAACACTGAGTTTTCTTAACACAGAAAATAAAAATTCCTCCTCTACGTCAGTCTTGAGAAGGTGACATTTCACTCACATTATACTTACTTTATTCTTGTAAAAATTACGACGAATTTACGGACTAACGATAAAACATCTTGTTAGCACATTGTATAGCCAATGGAAAGCATATGACATATTTTTTCCTACCTTTTCGACGGCCGCTTTCTTCTTTTCTATGGTCGAAGATCGCCTGCTTTCTACCTTGACTTCTTCTTCCATCTAAATTAATTAAATAATAATGTTTAAATCGAGCATAATATACAAATTTCCCAACTATTATGCTAATTGATTTTTTCAACAATTTTTAACGCAAAATAAGGCTAATCAAGACAGAGCCGGAATTGTTTTTCGAATGAATTCGAATGGACTTTATAGCGACAAAATCATTTATATTTTAATGTAAATTCATATTATATAATCAACGAATTAAAGTACTTGTAGAAATAATAGAGATGCTAATAGAGTTGTAATTGCTTCTGTATAGTATGTGTATGTGTGTATGTGTGTACCTTCTGAATAGAAACTCGTCGTGGTGTCATGGTGCCATCACTGAGTATCTATGCGATAATAAAAAAAAAAAAATGACATAAAGATTTTTCGCAAATAACATTTGTGTGCACAGTCGTAGGATGCAGCCGTAGCTCTCAAAACGTTTATAAAATGTGTGATATTATGATATATTCCATACCTTTCCTTCGGCCGTAATGAGCGAGCTGCGACGACTCTCCTGCTTAATTTCCTCCACCTGAAATACGAAGATTCGTATAGTGAAATTAGCTGTCGTTCCCGCGATTATCCAATCGCTCAATTTTTTCAACAGATGCAGGAGATAAGTACTTACCCTGCTGATGGACTCTTTGCGAGCCGCGGCGGTTTTCTCGAGTTTAGGTGTGGTTTCTCGAGATTCCTATGTGCACGAACAACAATCCATATAACACTATAAAATGCGCATTAATCGGAGATACGGTCGCGACTTAAAACAATGCCTATATTCAGTCGACAACACGTACCTCCGACATTCGTCCTTAATTACTGTCTCTTAAGTGATTTAGTGCGCGGAAAAGGGACTCTCGTGCAGAGTTACATGCAATACGAGGAGCCAAAGCGTGCAGAAATTTAAATATGTGCGATATAGGATTAAGTACTCTTTAATCTTAATATCAGGCGATTTCTTAGGGAACCAGCTTCTGCGATTTAAGAGAGAACTCAAGTTTCAAAAATCTGCTTTTACCCAGGTGAAAGAAAGCAAATATTGCAGCAATTGTTTAAGCGTGCGTACACGAGACTCATTCGAAGAAACATAGCGGATATAAAGCCGAGGTTAAGCGAATGCTGTGAAAAATAAAATAACATGAGCAAAGAAACATGGTATGAAATATTTATCGCTTGTAAAGCTTGTGATTTTGCAGCTACGAGCCGAAAGTTCATGATTGAAGAAGGCTGAAAAGAAGCTAGAAGAGATTATTTGCGGTGGTTCACATAAAAACACGTTATCTCGCATATCGGTGGAATATTTTGTCAAAGCTTCAAAACGCAGCAAATTATTCGTCTCAGCGGATCAAAGCTACTTTCTTCGAGCGCATACATTACCAAAATCCGATCGTTCGAGTTTTTGCACTCACCTGTAGAATCTCCATTTTCTGAAACAGAACATACCGAAGTTCTTTAATTTAGTTTTCTTCGTATAATTCTGTGGAATTTAAAGTATATTTTTTCATAGATATAATCAATATTTTTGTATAATTCAGCTATACATTTTTGCAACGTTTATAATAGCATATTTAAGTATATTACTTCTAATTTAATAAGCTTTATGTACACATTGTGAAACACACACAGTACACATAAACTACAAGGTATAGGGTGATACAAATGACAAGATAACAAGATAGATAAGAAGAACAACGGGGTAAACAACAGGATGATGCGAATAACAAATAATTATTATCACGTGTTGTAACGTGTTCTGAATATGATGTATTGTTTTTGTAAAATTATTCATCTTCCATAAAAAATTAAAAAGAAATAACCAAGTCGTACCTTCCCAACACCTGGTTTGTCGATACCGTTCGGTTTCAAGTCGGGCTTATCCTTAAAAAAGTAACAAGAAAAAATTGTTTATCCTATGAAGAATGTAGAATGAAGAAAGAGAAAAATGAGAGGACGCGAAAAGAGTTCGAAAATAATGTATGAGATAAAGATAAGTTGAAAATAAAATTGAATAAAGTAATATTGTTAAGAATTATATTTTTGTTATTAATAAAAAATTTAACTTTAATTTATTTTTATTATGATTAATGTGAAGAGATAGTATCTATGTGATAGTGTTGGTATATGTTGTATATGTGTGTACCTCGACGCGAGATATTATTTCTGAGTCTGACTCCTCGAGAATGGCTTCTGTGCTGATAATGCTGGACTCAATTACACTCACCACTTCTTCCTCTTCTTCCTCCTCCTCTTCCACCTCTTCGTAATCCTCTGATTGATCATCCTCTTCGTCGCTCCATACCGACACCTTTCGTGTCGCAATATGAGACAAATTTTCAACAATGTGCTAATTATCGCGTCGAGGAATTAAAAGATTGATCGTTTTCGCAAGTACATGATATACAAGATAAACTTTTCTCTCTCCTTTCCTGTATGTGAAATAAGTTTTCTTTCATTTCAAATATTTTCTTATAATATTCCATGACTTTCAGATAAATATATATCAAGCTTGAAAATTAAAATGAGTACACACTATAACAAAATTTATGAAACGATCAATCTTTCCATATTAGTATCAAGTTATATCGGTGTATTGATCAGTGTACGAATATTTTGTTAATCACAAGGAAAGATGTGATGTAAGGGAGTAATAGGGATTACAGGAAAAAAAAGAATCGAAAACGAAATAAAATGTCAATCGGTTCGCTCGTATCGGCCGCGCTACCTTCTTCTCTTCTTTCTTTTCTTCAATTTTCTTCTCCGCTTTTTTCTCGACCTTCTTCTCTTCTTTCTTTTCTTCAATCTTCTTCTCTTCTTTCTTCTCCACTTTCTTCTCTTCCTTCTTTTCCACTTTCTTCTCTTCCTTCTTCTTCTCCTCCTCTTTCTTTTCTTCCTTCTTTTCTACCTTCTTCTTCTTCTTCTCTTCTTCCTCTTCGTCTTTTTTCTTTTCTTCCTTCTTCTGTAATTTAATGAGGGGATTGCATGCAACATTGGGGAAGATGTTTTATTTATGACGAATAACTATCGGAACAATCACCGTCGGGAGATGGTAGTTTAACCACATAAATAATATGGTGTAACATTGTACTTTTTATTTAACACATACTAATTTTTCAGGGCATATATATCGATTATTTTTTACTGTAATATGTTATTACACTACAAATTTACGTAAAAATTGAGAACGACTAATGAAAAGAATTTACACCAGTATTCGCATATCGACGATAATCTCTGTTTAAAATTTTTGAAATTCCTTACCTTGATGACGACACGGGCCGATGATTCATCTTGGCCGTATTCATTACTCACGACGACTTTGTATGTTCCCGATAACTCTGTCGATGACGAAGTGATGGTTAATTTCATGTCCAGGCCGTTGAAGGAGATCATTATGTCCTTTGACGCTTTGACAACTGTTGAGTCTCTGAAGTCATACCGTAAAGAATATTATAAATAATTACAAAAATTTGGAAAAATTTTTTTGACGCGATGGAAAAGAGAAGATGATAAGTTTTTTCATAAATACATACCTATACCATGTTATAGTGACCTTTCGATCTTGTGTTGCGAGAGTAGCGATGAGTTCGACCGTTTTGCCTTCTTCGACAGTCTGGAAAAATAAAGCAGTACATAATCAATTTAATAATTAATAGAAATTTTGTTAGAATAACATCTTCTTTGTTTTAATAATAATATTTTTATTGCACTAAGTATTGACAAAAAAGAGCGTTGCATTTTTTTAAGCCAACATACTTACAATTGATTGCAGGCCAGTAACGATCTTTGGCTTTTCACCTTGGTCTGGAATTTCTGTCACTTCTACTACTTGCGAGGTGGCTTCACCCTTTTCGTTGCGTGCTACCAACTTGTACACGCCTTTGTCTGTCGTCGACATTTGTTCGATTTCGAGTTTTACGGCAAATTCTCCCTACGAAAACAATCGGAAGAAACCAAATTATTAAAACTCACATTGTTGGTTATTAAAACTCACAGAGTAACGTTTTAAAAATAAGATTTAAAAATAATATAATAAAAGAGCTATGTAAGGTCCAAATTGCAATTTTTATGATTTCTAATTACAGGACTAGATTTGTCATAATAATAAATAAAAAAATTTTTGTCGCCGCGTATTCGCGTCAATCTTTGACTTTACTATTGATATTAAGTTATTTTAAGATAATATGAAACTCACTTCCTTGACTTGCTCGACGTGTAGCTTATGCCTGCTGTCTTCTTTAACTGCCTGATTCTCCTTGAACCATGTGCACTCGGGCGAGAATTTGGAAAGAACATGACACTCGACTATTACGGTCTTTTTCTTAACGATCTTCACCACCTTTGGTTTCTCCTTAATCACTGGTATAACTGAAATCACGATCATTAGAGCATTTATTCAAACTATATTTAAGAACTTATAATTGTCATTAAAGACATAACTGTTTCTTGCATTTACAAATTAGTCTAGATTCTCCGATGGTATCTACTATATGATACTAAATCGCAGTTGTACTAAAACATTGTAATTAAAGAAGAACACTCACTCTCGACGTTCAGTGTAAGATTAGCGTTGAGTTCGCCGAGCTCGTTCTTAATATTGCACTTGTAAAGGCCGGAATCCTCTGGCCCAGGATCGTTCAGAGTGAGTTTAATGTAGTAGATGTCTTCCTTTTCATGCACAATACTGATAGAGATCTTGGAAGACTCCTTTACAACCTGGCCAGCGTGTGTCCATACGATTTGCGGCTTCGGTTTTGCCTTGACCTTGCAGTCCATGATGACGAGCTTGCCTTTGTTCTGCGACTGTATCCGCGGCTTCTCTACGAAGGTCGGTCCGTCTCCCTCCGGCTCTGGTTCGGCCTCGATGTTCAGATTTAGGTTGGCGTTGCTCTCGCCGTACTCATTTTTCACGTGACACCTGTAAGTACCGCCATCAGGTGCTGATGGATCCTGCAAATGAAACAAGATATGTCAGCGCTCTTGCAAAGACGACTAAAGTAAAACAAAAATGTGTGGATCACCTTGATCTCCATGATAAGCTCGTAAATGTCTTCCTCGAGCGTTTTCGTTTTGATCGAGATCTTGGATGATTCCTTGACTACGTTGGTGCCACGGAACCACGTGACCTCCGGTTTGGGGTTCGCCTTGCACTTGCATTTCATGGTGATCAGCGTGCCGCTCTCGTTCGGGATGATGCGAGGTTTCTCAATGAAGGACGGAGCGAAGCCCGCACCCTCTTCTGCATCTTGGGAAGATCCGCGGTTAGACATCATCGTGTGAGTGTAAGGGCGGCAGTTTCCGGATGCGTCAGTGATGCCGGAAACGCAGTCTTTGTCGCCGACTAAGTCGGCCAAGGGAGTCGCGGTCGCAAGATCGAGCCTGCGACCGCGACTCCTCCCGATGGTCCCCTGTTAGTCGTGTTGGCAGCTCAATGAGTTACGAAGCGAAGAGAACAGAGACTTCACGATTGGTTAGCAGTAGCGCGGCTGTGGCTTACCTGATGGGCCGTCACTGTCGCGATCGTTCATCGAAGGACGATCACGGTCTTTTCGTCTTTAATGCGCGATCGTATAGAATGCCCGAAGGACACTCGGGAAGAGTCGATAGGATTCGTCTCGGACGAAGTCGACAGGAGGGATCTCATCTCATTCAAGCGCAATTTACAACTTTCAGATTAATTTCAAGCGAATATACAAAAAATTGAAGTCTTTCCGACAATATTTCACTTTATTTCGGATAAGATGAAGACGTGAAACGTTCCATTACTTTTTATATCTGAAGGAAGAAACTTCCTATAAAAAATATAAACTACAAAAGATATCTGATTTGAAAGAAATCTCTGTATTTTGTATTCCCAAGGTGTTATCCAAGACCGTAATTGATCTCTTTTTAGAAGATTCAACAACATACGAGACAAGTAGTCCAGCAAGTTCGAGACACATCGGGATACAAATGAAATCCCTCCCGCATGCTTCGAGGGGGACTTGCCTTGGAAGTTTAAGGAGATGTTGGCGTTACTCTCGCCGAAGTTGTTAAAGGCGTTGCAACGGTAATTCCCGCCGTCGGCCTTAGTCGGGTTCGAGATCTCGAGGGTCAGCAGGTACGTGTCCTTGCCAGTGGCCTTGCGCGACATCTTGACGCGCGTGCTGTCGGTAATCGTTTTCTGACCCTGGTACCACGTAATGTCCGGTACCGGGTGTGCCTCCAGGATGCACTCCATGATAAGTACGTCGCCCTCCTGGCGGATCGTCGGCTTCTTCGGGAAGCGCGGTGGCTTACCGTCCGGTATTCTGCGTAAATCGACACGTCAGACACGAGAAATCCCTTTCCCTGGCGGAAGAACGGACTCTCGCAGGAGCAACGCCGTTTCTCGTCTGTCGTTCTGCCCGCCACGCCACGCGAGTGTGTCCTCGAAGCGACGCGGCGCGATGTTACGATGTATATTCGCGACTGGAAATCACAGGCTCTAGCTCTTGTCGCTCTTACGACTATACCTTGCGCGATTTCAAAATCCCCAAAATCTTCTTATTAAACATGCATTGAATTTACCCTGATTTCAACTCGCTACGCTTCAAGGGGGACGCAAGTCTCCTCAAATAACAGTTTACGTTTTTCGAAAGTTCTTCCTCGGAAGGTAATTTGCTCTCAAGATCTGTCCACAACTGACGCGCTCGACTGACTACAAATTCAATGTCATGTGCGAAGGTCTGCGTCCCGTTCTAGTGTTCTTCGTGTTCAGCGACTTCAATATTTTCATGCACAGCAGAGCGTACAATTTTTGTGTAATGTACGCTCGAGCGTAACGGATCGTAAAAATTTCCACAGAAATGACGAATAAATTGGAATATATTCCCAGTATTTTGCTCCGCTTTGCTGTGAATCTCATTTCGTTCCGAAGTTCCAAAGAGATGAATCCGCTGCACTCGACCGTTGCTTTCGCGCCGCGTTCATCGGACCGGAAGAGCTCAGCGTGGCGGGACAAGTCGCCGAGGACAAGTCGCCTTTGTCTCGAATGCCTACTTGAGCCTGTCGCCACCCTCGAAGTTCAGATTAATCGTCGCCACCCCTTGGCCGTGCTTGTTCTTCGCCACGGCCCTGTACTCGCCCGCGTCCCCCTTCGCCACGCTGTCGATCCTCAGCCTCGCGAGGTGGTATAGCTTCTGATCGAGTTCCAGGGACGTGTTGAACCGTCCGCCTTCTTTCACTTCCTCAGTACCGTGATACCTGCGATCCCGCCAACGTCGAAGTATCCGACCGAAGACTGCTGCGCATCGCGCACCACGAGCGCGCGTTCGGAAGTGCGTCTTACCTTCCGACGTCCACGTGGACCGTCGGAGGAAACGTCAGCTCTCGACGTCACAACGAAGCGATCTCGCGACGAAGATCGAGAAATAACAAATTTCGATTCTTCACTCGCGAAATTGACTGCGAGAATTTCTAATCTCTGTTGAACAATTTGCTCGTGACATTCAGTGACATATTTTGAATTGTATTCAATAGCAATAGCAGTTGAAGTATAGTAACTTACTGTACTCTCAACAGGATGCAATTGCAAGTTGCTTCTTTAATCAAATTATGATTTCTGATTGGCGTCGAGTCTCGCTTCCGATGAGATTCGCGAATGGCACGCTGTCCGACGTACTTCCTTGCGCGCGCGTCGCGGTTTTCAAATCTTACCACTTCACACTCGGTTTCGGATCGCCGACAAGTCGGCATTCGAAGGTGATGGTGTTACCGTCGTCGGATTGTCTTATCACCGGTCGTTCGGTGAAGGTCGGTTTAATACCGTCTTCCGGTACGGGTGCCTCGTCGCCTACGTTAGCACAAACGATCGACATGTCGAGAAATGTTCGTACACATCCATGCTTGCCTACTCAATCCTTTCGCTGCAATGTGGGAGCCCAGATGCGCGCGCGCGAGATTCGACAATACCTATCACTAGGATATCTTTTAGGAGATTAAGATAATTTTAGCAATAAATTGAACTCTAACGAGTGATTGGAAAAGCCGAAAGAGAGAGAGAGAGAGAGAGAGAGAGAGAGAGAGAGAGAGAAAGAGAGAGAAATATCAAGAGAAGCTAAAACATGGCTTCTTCTTTACTCTTCTTCGTATTATTTGCGACGAAAAATTCAAGTTGCAGTCTAGCTATATTTTTCACACATACACACACACAGACGTATTATTTCAAGTTAATATACCTCGCGTGACTTGTGATGACTTCAGATGCGACCGAGCAGCGAAAGGTTTAAATACGCGAAGCATTTTACAGTTCGATGCGAGATCGGGAGTCACGTATCGATTTGGCTTGGAAACAATCTGCGAAACTTTCCAGACAGACCAAACACTGATCTCTACTGTTCACGCAAGTGTCTCGCCGACCGGATTTACATTAATTCAACTCAACTCAACTCTCAGCTTCGACAACTCAAGCTCTCCGTTCATCAGTCCTTTCGTTTATTTGTGCCGCCGCATGTAACAAGTGCACTGTGAGATCAACGCTTAGAAACACACGCTCGAGGATCACGATCCTTGCCGATCGACCATCCTGTGAATTAGGTTGCTTTCTCTACTCTCCTTCCGTCTATTCGTAATGTACCGCTTGGTGGAGTATAGTAACTGTGTTCTCTCGAAGTGTTCACCTGCTCCATTTCTCTTCGAACGTCTCTTTGTAACGTTATACGCTCGCGCTTGCGCTCGCGCGCTCAGTTAGGTGAGAATAGAAACACAGTTATGCGCAAGCCTTCATCAAACATTGTTTTGCGAGTGAGTTTGTGGTGTGGTTGTGAAGTGTACGGCTGTGAGACGCGTGGCATAATTTCGTATATCGATCGGGAGATATGAAATAATTTCATCGTTCTGTACGGTGATCGATGTATAATCATTATATTACGGTGCATCATTGAACTCGAGGGAAAGCTCTGTCGAGACGCGAAGGGAGTGCGTGTGTATTTCGATGTTGTGACAATGTACGTTAATATATGATATTAATCGATTATGTGAATATGTACAGTATGACCAAACACACGATGTCAAACTGTTTTACTCGTTAAAGAATTTTTACGAATTAGCCGATGAGAATGACCAGCGCGAAGCACGTGACAAAAAGACACATGTCAGTATATATACAATATTAGAATCGTCATCGTTAACTACATAAATACTTTACTATTCTGTAAAGAATATTTCCGTACTTGTCAGTATTCGCAATAATGTCAGAAAAATATACGCGAACAGTTTTATGCGATCGCTGTCTCTGAATTTGCGTTCGATGTGTATTACTTTCGTGTATAAATTAAATCATCCTTGCGAAAATACATTCTCGCGCGGGCGAGAGAGAGAGAGAGAGAGAGAGAGAGAGACTAATTCGTGAAACTGAAGATTCAGTTTTCAATGATATATTATGTTGCGTCTAAAAGACAAAAGAGAGGAACGTATCGCATTTTCTAAGATGGAATCGCGATTCTAGGATAAAAATTCATACCGACGTGTAGCACAAATAAGGAAATATTCGTCGTTAGCAGGTTTAACCACCACCACCACCACCACCACCACCACCACCACCACCACCACAGAAATTTCGTCATTTCCAATCCACGTGTAATTGTATTTGCGTGTGCATGTGGGAACGATCCTTGGTAAGTGTATTCGAAAAAATCGTCTCTACAAAAGGGACTTCCCAACATTAACGTTGCACACGTCAAACACGATCGTATGAATAGAGAAAAGATGTGATCGAAGCAACCTAACGAAGCGTCAATATGTAAGGCTAATCTGCAATCGCATCTCGCGCATGCATCGTTGTGTTGCCTCGAATTAAAGTCTGGCTATGCATGAAGCGTAATTTATGTCATCTCGATGGAGATAACAATAAACCATCAAAAGTTCCTTCTTTCAACTTATCAGCGCATAATGCGCAGTTCTTATCTTGATATCTTGATACGAAATTTCGTATCATCGAACTTTATTTTATAAAAGATGAAAACGATTCCTCTAAAATGTATTATCATTATAATTATTATCGCGAAGGACTATATCTAGAAGAGGAGTCAGCCAGACTTTGACACGAGCGAGTGTTACACAACAACTACACGCGAGATGCGATTCGAATTAATACGTGATTCAAGCAGCAGTACACGGTGGTTATAAGTTGATATTATTCTGGTCCGCTTTCTACGCATTTTACGGTGCAGAATTCGTGAGAGACAAACGATAGTGCGTCTCGCAATGTCGTTTAGTCGATTAAGATCAACCGGGCTGTATATCGTGGCTCGCGTCGAGCCGGTATCGATACGTGCTCATCGCTCGACCGAGACAAACCATTAAAAAATAAAGATACCGTATACTAAGTGGACAGTAGAAGAAAATAGAAGAAGACCGAAGAAAAATGGACAAAGCTGATGGAACGGAAAAAATTAAATAATAAACTGCGGATATATATACAGTAGAGTCGACATGAAGGAAGCAAATAAGTGGGGCAGAGAGGCCTTAGATAGAACTGAGACACAGATGAAGAGTTGGAAACATGAAAGATATCATCGATATACATCCCGAGTGAGAATGTGAGAGCAGACATGAGGAATGGCACCGATGATCCGCTTTGTTTTTCGCTTCGAGGTACAGCGAAAAGTGGGACGTTTCTGTTATTTTTTGTCTAAAAATTTTTTAATTCAAAATTTGTTAAAAAATTACTTGTTAGTCCGTAAAAATTATTAACAAAAATTACGGAGAATAGTTTGAAGATACGAAGAGATAAAGAGATTGCTGGATATGTCTGAAATGGAAGATAATGGCTCGCATTTCGACGGATGCAAACTGAATTAAAGTTATCCGTAATGTCACATTAACGTACGTTAACATCGACGTAGGAAAATCAATAGTCGTACTGAGCGTACATTTATGAAAAAAAATTAAGCAGACCGAGTTCGTGTAAAGCGGATCATCGGTCAAAGTATAAATGGATTGATAATTGTCGGAAGTTCTAGACACTTACTGTCGAAATTCAGGGAAATCGTGGCGTTAGACTCGCCAAGCTCGTTCTTCGCCGTGACCTTATATTTGCCAGCATCCTCGACGGTCACGTTTTTTATTTCCAGAGTGGCGAAGTACGAATGGCCATCTTTGTCGACAGTCAGCTGAAATGGTTCAACGATCGTTTCCGAATGAGCTTTCGTCGAAATTAAATCGTGTGATAAATTGGATCTTTCCCAAAAGAAGATCCGAGATTACTTATTATCTGAATGAGAATGATGAGAAAATCAATATAATTCTGTACATATATAAATACTTCAAAAATTATGCTACGAGAAAATTGACTGATATTCGATCATTTGACTTCTCATCAGTTTCTCATCATCATCCCGAAGTGAACGAAATAGATTCGCTCACGTTCGGGATTGACGATGAGGACGAACCTTGTGCCTTGGCGAATCTTTGACCATGTTCCCATCGTGAAACCATGTGACTTTTGGCGTTGGATCGGCTGTGATGCGGCACTCGAAGAGCAACCGTTTGCCGTCGTCTTCTTGCCTAATCGCGGGCTTCTTCGCGAAAGTCGGCGCGATGCCGTCAATTTGTCTGCAAGTGCAAAAGATAAACGTCGGAATCGGATGCGTGCGAATTTATCGCTAACGCGTTAATCGTCGCGTTAATCGAGCGACGTGAAAATTTAGGGGTTGCGTCACATCGTTTTGAAAGTACCTTTGAAAGGAGCAACTGGATAAGGTAAATCCGAGTTTACGCATCCTTCGTACATTCGCCGCTGGCGCGACTATTAACGCGTTAATGAGCCAACAGGCAAATTTGTGTGAATTTCGAAAGAATTCTAAAATTCAAAAATTCTAAAACTGGTCTCGACTTTCTGTTTCTCGATGAGCTTCGAAACACGTCCGATATCCAACGAGGAAATGTCTCTTCTGAGAATTGCCAGAGAAAACAAATTCCTTTCTGTTGGATACGTCACGGGTACGTCGCAAAACTCATCTAAATAAACACGTTACATCTTTCTCCCACTGACCTTTTCCACACAAAAGTATTACGACAATAGTTTCACAACACACATTTCGATGACGAATTGCATGCTTCGGTCACACTCGCACACTCAAGATAAGATGGTCGAGTAAAGTCAGTGCATTCCATCCTCGATTATCCGACTGATTCGACTGAAGCGAAGTTAATTTTCCAAAAGTATATCAGGTAAGTCAGAAGGTAAGCGAGAAAGAGAAAGAAAGAGAAAAAAAAAAGAAAAGAGACCGAGACAGTGAGTGATGTTTGGCAAAGCGAATATAAGTGCTGCTTCGCGCAGTGGCTGCGAACGGTGTTACGGGATTTATCGCGACTTTCGCGGATTGCTTGCCCGAAATAACTCTTGTTTTGTTTAGTTAGTCGACGCTTCCTGACGAGAGGAGGCATGTTCAACAGCTCGTTCTGATGGTGTCCCGACAGTTAACAGCCACTTTAAAACAGTAAAGAGTAAATACTTGGCCATCATAACCGATACTATTCCCTGCCGGCGCCCAACGATACTTCCGTCGAATTCTTCAATACCTGATTCAGGTTTCTTCGGGAAGTCTAAAGTTACCTGACTCTCTCTCTCTCTCTCTCTCTCTCTCTCTCTCTCTCTCTCTCTCTCTCTCTCTCTCTTTAGGATTTTCATACAATGACATGTTATTGTCTTCTCGTCTCTGTCAGAAAAGGAAAGACTTAAGCTTGACTTAATGGGAATTCACCCAACAGCCATGTTAATAATGTTCATTCGACTACGTGAAACCAAGAGTCATCGGAGCCTCTGCAAATTTTTAAACTAATAATGCTATTCGCGGGAATGTAGCTTCTATGGGACAGAGCATGAAGCTGTCGCGACGAAAGTGTTCAGACGTGTGTTTTCTCGAAATCCGTCTGCGCAGCGGCATCGCAAGATTCCAGTCGGAGGATAAACACGATCACCGGTGTTTATCCTCGCAAATTGAGAGGCATGTGCTTAACACGCTTATGCATCCCGCACGGACCATAAGTGCATTAGACTGCGCACCGGTGTATGATGTGGCTAAGTTTAGCGAGGAAGTAGGCTGCAGCTGTTTTCCCTCGACTTTTGCTCTCGTCAACCGTCGTCGTCGACCGATTCGTTTCCACGCGATCGACATTCGTCGAAATTCCGCGAAATTCCGCTCGTGGCTGGAAATTCGAGCTGGGATCTGCAAATTCGCGCGTCTACTTGCAGAATCTCGCGAATTCTACTCAGAGTAATATGATACGCGTTCGCGAGACAATTGTCTCTCGCACCTGTGTCGGCAAATCGACGGTTTTCTTTTCTTTTTTTTCTCTATGCAAATGAAGCGCGAACCGCGACATTTCGGGAGACGCGTGGAAGCGGAAAGGCTCGCGTTACTTTTAGAAATTCACGGGAATCACGTCTGTCGATGCGTTCCGAAAATACAGCATCTCGTCGTGTCGTCGACGTCGTCGCCGGCGACTGCGTCGAGAGAGATCTCGTCGGGTCTGCTTTCGACCCAGTTTCGAATTATCTTGGAAAATCGTTAAAGTCGCGCTGAGACGCCGGATATTTGAAGGCTGATAAATACTTTCCGCTCGTGCGAATAACGGCAAGTCTGCTCACCGATCTCGCGATTGATTTAACGTCCGCGGCGCGATGGTGAATTGTTGTTAGCGTAATTAAACAGCAGGCAGACAGGGTTTGCACTGCGAGCTACTCTGCAAAATTTCGCAATTTTCCAAGCAAGAACTCATCGCGTGGCACGTGCTTATTTATTCTTCGCAGAAAAAAATCCTAAAAAGCCAAGCAAAATTTTCGAATTGAACAAATATGCAAATATATACTCGTGCGAATTGTGAAGCTTTCGATCGCTATTAACGTCTCTGTCATAAATTTTCATTATCCCCCAACAATTTGTTTTTACTTTAAAACGTGATTTTTTGCCAAGTCCTGCGAGTTTACTCTCTCATCAGCCGGTCTCATTAACGTCACTCAATTATTACCTCCGGCTACTCTTTTCAATCGATTTCCCGTTCCCCCCTGACCCCTTTTTCTTTCTCTCTAACCAGGACCATAATGTAGACAGATCGCAGTTTGAGCGAGATTTAGTGGCAGCTCTCTCGCGAGAGACAACATCCGAAATAATCCACCACTTTGTGGTCGGATCGCGCGAGGCACGACCGCGGTCCAAAACTAGAAGACCTTAATTCTATTTCCATCCGCATTTCGCGTTCGCGGTTCTATGCGTGGGCGGATGGATCGGTGAGAAGCCGATCGCAAAGAGAGAAAGAAAGAGAGAGAGAGAGAGAGAGAGAGAGAACTGGGAGGCACACACGGCGGCGATCTGGCCACCACGCGATCTCTATCGAACGCACGCGCTGCGGCGTGAACACGACCGAAAATAGCGGGCATACCGCGACGTTTATTCTCGGTCGGGTGCATTTTAACGTGTACTCCAACGTGTTATCGGGACGAGATAACACAATAAAGGTAAATAGCACGTCTGAAACTTCTCGAGAATCTTACATAACTATCTCCCCGTACTCTCGCCGCAAACGCTTCCCGAACTTTCAAGCTTTATTCAATGACCAATTCAGACCACATCGACCTGTGTCTGCCGCGGAGATTCAAGTATCGAGAGATACGGCGGAGAGGAGGGGGGGGAGGGGTAGGATTATTTTCGCTTCAACGGAGAGAGGTCTGTAAATTTGCGAAAGTCGACGGAGGACGGCGAGAGTTGGATGAAAGAATGGAAGTGTCCAAGGAACGCGTGTTCTGCTGCTTCATTTCCTACAGCATTTCCATCGTCAGTGAATAATAATACAGTGTTATTGTTACATTCACGATCCAATTGTTGAAGATACTCACACACACACACACACACACACACACACACACACACACACACACACACACACACGGCAGTTGCTGTTAAACGTTGTACAAACATGTTCGTGTTATTGTACCGTCAAATGCGTACAGAGATGTATTCATTCATTCTTATCAATAACGTGTTAAATACATTTATTGATAATCGAAGCTCGCACGATCGTCGGACGTGACGACAGATTGCGCAAGCTTCACACAGACGTTCTTGCAATTAATTTCGCCATCACTTCATTCACAAAATAGCGCGTAAGCGACGCACTCACCCCCTTCTCGCAGGTTGCTCGGCGGCTAAAATCATAAATGAAAGAGAGACAAAGGAAGTAAGCGAAAAGCATATAGAAAGCGAGATGTGTGTACAACGAACAAGATAACAGAAGGAGCGCGTTAGTGCGTGAAGCGTGAAGCAACAAACGGGTTAATCGATCAGAGCCTAGAGAAGCGACAAACAAAATTGTTCTTCGCCACAAACTTCACGGACTTACTTCTCTCTAGGCTCATCCATCGCTAGAAAAATATAACGGCGGCATGTTAATTGAGGAGACAGACTAATTTTCCAACTAGAGATAAAATTACAAGTATTGTGCAGTTAGATAAACTCTCCGTGGTGATCGCTGTCGACGAAATTTTGTGCTTAAAAGAGACCTTCTCACTAGTCAGATTCTCGATACGACTCGATTTTCATTCGATTTCACCCGTGTGAAAAAAAATTCGCACAACGTGCTGAGACATTTAAGCGTGAATCTAAACATCCCTCTACATTACATCGATGAGTGAGTACCCGATTAGACTAGAAAGAGAATAATCAATGTCACGAGTACTCACGACTGAAGTTGAGATTGATGGAGGCGGCGACCTCGCCCATCTTGTTCTTCGCCTTGACCTTGTAGAGGCCGGCGTCGGTCTCGATGACGTCGTCGAGCTCGAGCACCACCAGGAACTTGTTGGTCCCGACGCTCTGCATCTTGAAGTTGGTCCTGTCATCCTGGCTGAGCTCGGTCTCGCCGCGGAACCAGGCGATCTCGGGCTTCGGCGAGCTCACCAGCTGACACTCGAATATCAGCCGGTTGCCGTCGTCCTCCTGCCGCAGCTGCGGCTTCTGGGTGAAGCTGGGCGCGAAGTCGTCGGCGACCCCCATTCTGGAGGCACGCCTTCGCACCTGTCTCTATACCGACGACGAAACTACCCTTTCACGTGCTCACGTGGGAAGATACTTGTCTCACCCTTCGCCCTTCGCCTGCTCGTCGGTTCAAACGGCGCCGACCCGCGGCACCATCCAACCTGCTTTCGCCGCGGCTTTTTCCTCAGCCCGACGTCCACCGCCGCCAGTTGTTCGCCGAATTCCTCTGAGAATACTGGAAACGATAAGAGAGACATGATCAGTTAACATACGTCGAGGATTTGACGAAACTCGTCCGACCATATCTCGTTGCTGGTATCTAAAGTTCAGATTTCGCCAAGGCTGGCGGTCATGAATCGTCCAGACAGATAAAGTGCCAAGATTTCGCGGGTGATTCCTCAGACTGCTCAAATTTCAAAACCTTTCTAATTTCGGCGCTTTGATTTTTTCGGGCCGATGAACGTTCCACCGAGATATCGATTGTATCGCGCGAGTCTCGTCACTGTGGTTCAGTAAACCTTGGCAGGCTGAGACGCTGTCACCTGTAGTTGCCTCAATCGCGGCTATTTTTGCGCGATTGCCTATACTTAGCCTTCTTTAGCGGTGCCTTGCACGGCCATGGCATCGTGTGATGAGGCTCCTACACGGCTCCTACACGTTCATCCTGAACGAGAGAAGCGTGTGCAACGACAGACAGAGAGAGAGAGAGAGAGAGAGAGAGAGAGAGAGAGAGAGAGAGAGAGAGAGAGAGAGAGAGAGAGAGAGAGAGAGAGAGAGAGGAGAGAGAGAGAGAAGAGAGAGAGAGAGAGAGAGAGAGAGAGAGAACTCTCAGTGGAACCGTCCTCGATCTTGCAATAATTATTACCGAACGTTGGGAGGAAATCCAGCGTGCTTCTCAGGCTCCTCAGCCGCGCGTAAAGTCGCAAGAACACCGAGAGAACGAATTTATAGAGTTTCGCTTAGATTCCAAAACGACTCGCATGTTCAGCTTCGTTCAGCGTCGTAGAGAAATATCCGGCTTGGGATCCAAGCCGAGCGTGCTGAAGTAATCGATCGCGCGCAGGGAGACTCGCCAGGAAACTCGAGAGGAAACGAGGCGATTCTGCGTCAGTGAAAAAACGTTCGGAAATGATTTATCGCGCGTAATAAATATGAAAATAAGCTTATATAATAATACACCGAGGAAGTACGATCGTCGCGTACTCCCGCGGCCGCGCCGCGCCGACCCGCGCTTCGTCTTCTTGGCGTCCACCGAGGAGCCGCGCTTTCGCGCGGCTTGCACCGCGAAAGAGAAACGCGGATTCCTCCGAAATAATACCGTCTGGTAAATAACGACCGCTACGTGCCGTACCGTACCGCCGGCGGCGGTTTATCGCGTATACACGCGCCCGACGATATTTTGTCGAGCGTCTGTATTTTCAGAGCGTCCCGTACACTTTCCGAGAAACACGTTATTTCACGGAGCAACGATACGGAGCTTGCGATCGCGCTTCTTAAAATCGCACCTTTGCGAAAGGGGAGAAAAAGAGAGAGGACTTCGTGAAAAGTCAAGACGTTGAATTTATCCGCCGCTAAATAGCCAAGATAAAAGCGCGAACGGACGTTTTCGCGCATCACGCATAAATCCGAGATATACGCGCTATTTATAATAACAACTATACGTGCGACATGCCGGCACAGCGTCAGCGGGGAGAATCTTGCCGCGCGGCGAAAATCGAGCGGCAAGGATGCAGGGACGAGATGTGAATCGCGAAAATTATTTTCGCGCCCCGGTCTAATAATAATTGCGCGATGGAACACACTCGGGACAGATGCTGCGTCGAAAGGACTTCGTAATTTATGAGTGTCCGAGTTGGCCAACAGGGGAAGAGAGAGGGGCTATTTTCGGCTGGCCCCCGCGGCACGCACCCTCGCGCACCCTCGCAGGCTCGAGTGACGAGCCATTAGCGGGCCGTATTAGCCGCAAATCGGGCGCGGCGAATTTTCACGGAAACCGCGAGCATATTTTCCGCGGAAGCCCAAGGCCGCGTCAACGGGGCTGACGCAAGACCACTATTATTAATGCGGCTCTTGGCTCGGAAATAGGTGAGCCAGTTATCTTGGTAATCGGTTATTATGTTTGGCATCTAACCGTGGAAGCGCGTACATTTGGATCGCGGCGATACAAGCCGTCGGATGTAATATGCTCGAACGTCCGCACAATTGTCCTTTTCAGACCGAGGGAAGGCGTCGACGGCGACCGCGAGTGCCAGAAGAAGAGTGTCGATTCGCTGAAGCGATCGCCAGCTACGCGACGACGGGGTGACTTTCGCGTCACGATGCATCCCGACGTCACGGGATCGACGGGCAAGTGACGGTGACAAGGGTCGTTGGCCCTCGAGTCGTCACGGTCACGTGAGGTTTCTCGTTAACGCGTGATAAACACCGCACCATCTTCGTCCGTCTACTATTGTCTACAAGTCTGCCTACACGTTAACCGAAGGTTAACCATATTGATCTTAGCGTTCATTATTATTCTCGCATCGATAATGGCATCATCTCGCAATTCCCGTTTCAACTCGACAAGATCTATCTAATTTGCGCCCACGCAAGGACCATAACAATTGTATGTTACGGCTTATTTGCTGGTACTCATTCACAGGCGAGAAAGATAGAAATAATTTCGCGAGTAATTTCATGAATAATTACATAAATGGCAGGGTGATACTTTTAGTTTACACGTGAGCTCAAACGATCGCTGTTTATGATTTTTAGTCATTTCGCAAATTAAACAAAACAACGCACGCGTTAGGCCTGATTACGAAACCTGTACGGATGTCTGAATAATTGTCTACGAAAGCGTGAATCGGTATCTCGCGTAACGCGCTGGGAAACTACTTGCCAAGTGCAAGGATAAACGTCAGAATGACACGATATCACCGTGACGATGTAAGAGCCGCGTAATTGGTCGCTTGCCATCGTCCAAGCCGCAATTGTGGTACAAATCGTCCGATTATGTCAGCTCCAGCCAGGTGATGGAAATACGATACGTCTGGCTGGTAACTCGCGCTATCCCGAAGAGTGCTAGGTAAACAGACAGAGGTAAATCGTAATGCTTGGAAAGATGACGAATGAATTTCCCTCTTTAGGTTTGGCACATCAACAATCCGAAAAAAAGAATCCACATTTAACACTTGAAAATTAAATATTTTTTTGCCCCCATTAATTCGTTTCTGACCGTTTCTCTCGCGAAAGAAGCTAGCGAAAGAGGTGGCTCGGTTTGATTTTTCATGTACCAGCAGAAAAGGGGGGGAAAGCAATTAATCAGCTGTCGACGTACGTACATTTTTAGACAGTTACAGTTAGAAAGAGTAAGCCAAGAGTGCGATGTTAGCAGTCGACATGACTCCGAGCAGTGGTCGGCCCTTTTCAGACGAGACGGAACAGATGCGCGCAGACCAACGAAACGATGTACAAAACGGACGAACCGAGTATTACAACGTCATGGTAAGACTTGGCAAGCGACGCCGCGTGCATTCCCGAGATTACTGCACTTCGTAATAGCCGTTCGCATTCCACCACTCTTGCCCGTCTGATTTTCGCGCCGCTGTTGTCATCCGACGATCGATCATTCGGGAGGGGAGACGAGGCGAGTGCAAAAGTCCCGATCGGGTGTGACGTTGAGAGATGAAATATTCGCGGCGTTACGCGGCATTGTGTACTGCGAGACGAAGCGGCGCATTGATCGCACGATGGATCGAACAAATAATTAACCAGCGTAGTATTTCTCTTAAATTCGCGATGAGAAGAAAAATCTAGAGGGTTATTAATATTTCCTTGTTACTGTGGCAAATTCATTTCTAGTTTACAGTAGCGCTGCGGGCTTGCGAAAATTTAGTTGGCATGTTTTTCGTTGGAGAGCTTTCCTAAATCTAAATAATATAAATAATCAAAGCGGTACGTCATTCAGCTAATGCCCTGCTTTGTTGGAACCAACGCGCCGTGATTAAAACACTAAGGCGAAATTGGCAAAGGGAAAGAATTTTCGAGGTTCGTGATTTCACGGGAGAACTGCGGGCGGTATTCTTGCTCTTTGTCAAAGTTACTCTCTCTTGACATCGAGGCGCCGTTAGTGCCAAACGAACAAGGAAATAACGAAAGGTCGATGGGGTCCTCGGAAGATTGCATCATCGCGCTAAGCGATACAATAGTAATTTCTGAACGACGTTCATTCCTGAGTCATCACCTGCAAGGCATCATTTGCAAGGAGAGAGAGAGAGAGAGAGAGAGAGAGAGAGAGAGAGAGAGAGAGAGAGAGAGAGATAGAGAGAGAGAGGGGGAGAGAGAGAGAGAGAGAGGGGGGGAGAGAGAGAGAGAGAGAGAGAGAGAGAGAAAGAGAGAGAGAGAGAAAGAGAGAGAGAGAGAGAGAGAGAGAGAGAGAGAGAGAGAGAGGGGGAGAAAGAGGAGAAAGGAGGAAGAACAAAGTGTCAAAAACATGCTATTTAAATCCTTGAATGTGCGGACGCGTTGCATATGAGAGACATTGTCGGCATCCAACTGACCTGATATTTTTGCTGGCTATATAGAAAGCGTTGCTTCACTTTGGCATAATTCTGCCAGCTATTTGCGATACAATGTATATTTGATGACACTGTGACCCAATAACAAGTAGCACGTTGCAATCAGGCATTAGAGCGTCGATTAGAACGCATTGGTGAGTAATAAACGGACGAATAATTGTGTACACGCGCCTAGCGGAAACGTGTTAATGCGTGCGTCTCTCAAAGTGTCACGATAAAGATAAGCGTCCGCAGTATCTGACAATGAACCGACATCGCGAAAAAGACGTAATTACTTCTGGCGGAGCTCGAGGCCACGTGACTAGCGAAACGGCTTCCTTTCTTCGCCGTCGTGAATTTACGAGCCAACGCGCGTCCATACGACCGTCGTCCGAAAGTACGGCTCGGGGGAATCGTTAAGATATTGCGAAATCTACGAGACCTTGCGATACGACGTCGAGATTTTTGTACGTCCGGCCAAGCATGCGCGCGTTGTGTGTAGGACTCCGAGCAAAAGACGTGTCTTTCGATAAAGTTCACCGGTTTACAATTAAATCTCGGCTGTCTCAATCGTCACCTATTTTAATCAAATTAATCATGAGCCAACGCACGACACACCTACACGGTTTATAATACGGTCACGTGGAGTGAGTAATCTCAAAATATACAGTGCAGTTCGTACAGCGTATTTCGTCACGAGGGGGTGATTCACGTCTCATGTGACGTACAACCCCTCGGGAGGAGGAAGAAATCCTGATCGCAGACGTGCGCTCTTAGTTGCGTATAAACGCAACTCAAATATCCAAAATATTAATTCACAGTATCAAACATCGCAATTGATCGCGTTGATCAAAGCTACATCCTTGGATCGTCGATTAGATGTCGACATGTCTTTGTCTTAGAAAAACAAAAAACCGAAAACTGAACTCAGTTTTCATTCGGGCCAGATGTAGTCAATCGAGAAGCGGAATTTGAAAAACGGCCTTTTCGCGATCACGTCACGTCACGTCACTCGAGGAAGCTCCTGTCACACGGCAATGATTCATCTTTCTCGCCGAGTGCGGAACCACGAGTCTGCCTCTCGTGCTCGAGGGTTTATAATTATTAGTCGAGCGACGCGTGTTCGCGCGGTCGCGCTCTTCGCTGTCTATACCACTGGCCGCGTTACTTACGTCGCACCGTCTATTTTCGCCGACTGACTCAAGTCGGCGAAATAAACACTAAAATCACCGATCGACGTACTCCCGATCTGTGTACGATAAAACCGCGAAAAATCGCTCGCGCGCGCGAGCGCGACGTTGTAAACAAGTGTTCGCGTCCGACTTTTTGGCAGCGCGTTGCAAAACGTCCGGTCGCGGAAATCAAATGTTATGTAAAATAATAACGCGCGCCCGAACTTGGCGAGCCCGTAATAGCAGCGTAATATGTTATTCGCGCGTTAGATAAAGTCGGAACGTCCGACTGCTGCACAATGTGCATAAATGAATGACAACATATCTGGAGAAATATCGAAAATCTGGAACGAAATATCCTGAGACGGCTTGAGGTGGAAGAATTGGGAGAAATAAATCTCAAAATGCGTGGTGTGTCGAACGTCCTGGCGACGCTAAGTGCAACTCGCTCGACTTTCGTCGATGACGTATTCTGCGTTATACCTCTCTATAGTTGTACTCGATAAATCATTGTTTACGAGTAGAACGTAAAAATACTCGCGACCTTCTGCGACAGAACTGAACGACAGGCATTATTCAAGTCTGAAGCAAACTCGGATATATAGACAACCTTGTTCTACGATGTTGTAATGAAGCGAGGGTCAAGAACACGAGATGCTTTCTAGGCCGGGCTTCTGTTATTAGTTAGCCAGATTAGCCTTGAACGACGCGGTCGACTAGATGAAATGGGGTTACCGATCGAAAGAGATTTCCGATATATCGAATTATTGCGACATCGCTTGGAGACTTATAATTCAGCGTTTTGTCATCAAGAATTGGAAAACATCATGATGATAAAAAATCTGATATCTTTCGCGGTCGTCGTAACGCGACGAATTTAATTACGAGATTCGGCGGTGTATAATGAGCGAACTATTGAATATTTATATATTAGCAGCGTCATTGACACAGATTAATTACGCGCAAGGAGAAGTGATAAATTTATCAGGTCGAATCATTGGACGACAATAAACAATGCTAAGAATAATATATTAGTCACTTCATACCGATCGTGACTGAGTTTCATGATCAACAGGTAAAACGTTGGGTTGACATTTGGTGACAATGCGTCTAAAAAAATACACCGGTATACATTCAAAAGAACATACATATTAATCGGCAATATATTTGAAAAGAGTGATGATTAATAAGTTTAAATTTTATATCGATATCGATATATGCACTCTACGTGTATATGAGTTTGTGACGGAACTAGTGCGGGCAGGAAAATTAATCACTAGTTTTTGTATCTCTCGTTTAAATTAAAATTGATTCATCTGATGGCAAGGTAACATTCGATATGATCACAGCCATTTATAATCTCAGCCATTTAGACAAACGTGCCTGGCGAATATAATGCAGCAGAAGTGCTTTGAAAGTACATCGACTCGATTTGATATCGGTGCGGCATGATCGGGATTTTTTCGCAGTGCGCGTGTTTCGATTTATATTTTCCTCGCCTTCTCGTCCAACCATCTTCCCCGGATTCGTCGAATCTCATGGAACTTGCGGTATGCGGGATATTTTTAAATCGGCCAGCATTCTGAGCTCCTCACCGGTCGTAATCGGTGGGGAGAACTGTACAGCTCGCCCACGATGGTGGCAGAAATTATTCATGCAATCGTCGTCGTCGACGACGACTCGACTTCCTCGCCAGAATCGCGGTACAGGCAAAACTGTGCATTCCAATCATCTTCAACGGCAACATGATTTTACAAAACCATTCGTACTATTATTAGAGAAAGTATTGCGACAAGTCTTACTTACTTTAATGTCGCGATCATTATTATCGATCCTATTTTGCCCTGAACGTTTTGACATTCCTGTTCCTACGATGTTTAGTCTATTTCGATTTATGTGAAAAGCGTTATCATAATCTTACATAATCTAACGTGCTTCAGTTTGCATGAATTTGGCGACCCGAATAATAAATTTAACTGGTATTCACGAAATAAATATCGAACACTTATCGCGACGTAACATAACAAGTGGGACAAGAGCTCGACGGAAAACGAGCTGACAAACTCCAAAAATATGTACCGTGTGACAGCAATAAATCCTGATAGTGATGAGATATCGAGGTGGTAGCAGTACAAGAGAGAGCTCAAACTGTAAATTGAACAAACAGGTCGCGAGGAGTGCGTATAAATCGGGTCTATTAATGTCCTCTAGAATTGATGCGGCACATGCAGCCGCGATTCGCACCAACCGCGAAAGATCGAGGAAGAGAAGTGGACGCAAGTGCGAGCTAATAAATGATGCGTTAGACAAAGTGTTAAACGGCAAGTGTGACGCGGCGACGGATGGAACAACGGGCGACGCGACGCGACGCGATGGCGAGATGGACGAAAAGATGGTCGGAACGACGAACCGCTGCTCCTCACGTTACGCCCTCCTAAAAATAAGTGGACTCCGAGCCTAGATACCTAGATAGTAGCCTACGAATAGTCGTCGCGACCGAACTCGTGGCGATTAGTCACGTCAAGTCGCCGAGCGAGAGGTGCTCGTCTGGACCGAGAGCTTATTGGAAGGTGAATCCCGGCGGGATCGAGATATGGAGTCTCACAGCGAGTCGGATTCGCGTCAAACTAGCCGAGATACGCGACGGATGACTTGCAGGGAAATAATCGTGGTGAATGGTGAAGCGCTGGGAAGAATTACGCTGATATGCTGATGAGAAGACTGGAAGAGACAACGTGCTATGCTAAAACTTTCACGTTTCACGTCGCGAAACGACGAAATCAGTCACTCTCATCGCAAGTTATCGAACGGCGCCGCCGCCGTCGCGCAATAATTATCTACACAGGGACAGCGATCAAGCTACGCACCCTTAGCGCACTCGGAGCGATTGCGG